TAATTTGTTTGTTGTATAAAGTTTCCGTGGTTAGATATCCTCAAATATAAACTATTGGCCTCGCGGTTAAAAAACATTCTTTATTGACTAATCAGAGTCCACTAATTTCCATCCTCGAAGTCGGACGTGGCTTTTGATGACCATTCTATTTCCTTAGTCACGTCCCATTACGCTGGTTTTTTGTTACGATTAGACATAATTTCAATTACACAAACAACGCATTACACAGTCACAGCATTGATGCATTCTCAACAGAGGCTGAGAGAGGCAGATGGAATTCGAGCAATTTACAACTGACATTATTACGTTCGATCTACTTGAATTATGAAGACTGTTTTGCAACAACTTATATTTTAGATTCATTGTTTACCTTCTCAAAGAGGTGATTAAAATGTACCTCTCGTTACAGGAGACACTTTACAAGTGTCAAATTTTGACTTATGCACTGTTAAAATTTAATAGCGATAAATGTTATTATATTTCAACAAACGCAAATGTAATTATTTATATTGATTAGAAGAATAATAATAAAAAATAAAAATACCGAGATAAACAAGAGTCTGTTAGCGACCTCGCAGTAGGGCGATAAATTAATTTACTACTAGCTACTAGTTCATTACAATTATATACAAATTGACAGCTAATACTAAATATATAACTTGAAAGAGCTATTTGCAAACATTTTTAAAGCCCTTCATTATAATTATGGTGTAACTGGAAACACGCTTGGATCGAGTCGAAGTATTCGGACGTTGAGGTATCAACATAGATATATAGACGCATATATAAATTACTCAATTGGATCTAAATCTAAACGGAAAGAACCTGATATAAGAATAGACAGGCTTAGATCTAGGCTCTCTAAATCTAGACGTAATAAATATAAACTAGAAAATATGCGCGAATTAGAAAATGGTTGTCAATGTCAGGAGCCTTATGGTTATGTTAGACAAAATTGATGTATCATGGCTAAAGGCTAATCTCCCAATAAATATGGAAAGCAGAGAGGGCGGAACTAATCTCGGCGGCGGCACGCGGCCGGCCTTGTACGCGAAGCAATTGACCAAACAAACATCGACGAAGGCCGATGAATTTCAAGCATTCCGAGTTCATTCTCCATGAGCAGCATTCGTTTTCGTCTATTACGTGTTACGCGTCAATAATTTAATTGAATATGTGTTATTAATAGATGCTTTTATAGATTGTTATTAATTTTTTATTACTAATGTTAACACAAAGCGCGTAGTATATGCTCAATTCGGTCATTTTTACTGTTTTTACATGATACGACCATAAATATTTCAATAATTATAAATTAATTTCTATATATAATACTAACAGACTCTCAAATGGTGACCTCGTACAGGCAAACGTAGTCTATGAGAGAAGACCATGTTCAACAGTGGACAATTAACGTTTGAAATGGTGATGATAATGTATAATAGGAAAAATATCAATTACCTCTAATACTATGTATTATAATTGATTGTAGTCTTTTTCTTTGCTTTTTTTTTCAATATGAAGTTTATGATAGTCTTTTTATCCATTCACATATTTTTTGTAGTAATCTCAATTTTTATTTGAAAAAAGAGACAGCTTTCTTGCTGTCCTTCTCAACTGAAATTGCATTCCGAACTGGGCGATAGTTTCGTAAAAAAGACTTTTCAAAAATGCTTATAATTAAGTTTATTTGAATAAAAAAAAAAATATAAATAATCACGTATCAACCACATTCTGGCCATGTTCTTGATAACTATTACGTATAACATGAGTACAGAACTACGGACAGTATATGAAAGGACGTTACTGTGGACTTAATATCAGACATGATGTAAGTTATGTAATTGATCGCTTGCATCTCGAAAGCTGATTGCAAAATTCGAAGGAAGAGGCAAATAATAACAAAAAGCTATAAAACTGCAAACATTATATTACAGTACCGCTAGTCTCTCCTCAGTCACTACGAAGCGTCAACTTACTTCGGTGACGTAATCTAGATATTTTGCAAATCTAAGTGCAGCTGAGAATTCGAAGCTTGCTGTAACCTTATATAATCCGAATGATTTAAAAACTTATAGTAAGTCATGCGTGAATACTCTGTGCAGAACAGTATCACATTAAAACAAAGGCTATATAGGAAGCGTTCCTTAACTGGAACGTAGCAAGACACGTCACGTCAACGACATGGTTCACGAGTCGGTCAAAAGTCAAAAGTGTTGATTGTTTTAATGTGTAAAGAACGTGAATCTTAAATATTTTTTTTATACAACTAAGTATGGCAAACAAGCTGACGGCCCACCTGATAGAAAGTGGTAACCGTCGCCTATAGACATGAGCAGTACTAGCAGTACAGTACAGCAATAGCAGGAATATAATTATTATTATTATAATATAAACTGCTTATTTGTCCAGTTCATCTCGTAATATTCATATTTGTAGCTGATTAAATAAGAAGCTTATAATTATATATATTTTTAAGGTAATCCTCTCTTATTATTTTTAAGAGTAAACTTCTTGACATCTACAAATTATCTCAGGTTCTAGAAAGTCCCTACTTTCTTTTCGTAGTAATAGAAGAGTGGTTCGAGCAAAAAACAAAGTATGCCATGGAAGACGACGTTATAAAGATAAGTATGTTGCGCCCAGCGATGCCTCGTCACGTCAAGAGGGTGAGTAATAGCCAGAGTATGTAAAGGAATCTATAATGGAGATCGACAAAATGGAAACGTACCGAAAAAATGGCGTATTAAAAGAAAAATATGGAAATATGTATTAAGAAAGTAAGGGAAGAAGTTGTAATATCAAACGTGTCATACCTTTACGTCTGTAACCACTAGTTATCTAGTGTGTACGTATTTTATCTTTGAACAGTGCCCGTGATTTTTCGGCTACATGTACGTTACGTATACACCTTACGGTGCCGACTTTATACTTTTTATAAACAACAAATAAATATTCTATACTAATACTATCAAGAGGTAAAGTTTGTGCGTTTGGATATTCGGGGTAATTTACGGTACTAATGATCCGATTTAAAAAATTCTTTCTCTGTTAGAAAGGTATATTATCCCTGAGTGCTATAGAGTACTTTTTAGTTTGGTAAATATATATGTTTACAATAATTAATCACAAAATACACATCGAAATCGGCAAAAAAAAAAATGATGTGCGTTGCCTGAACAGTTTGAAATAAACGAATAAAATGTATAGCAAATATATTTTATTACTTTTATCTTTAAAAAATTCCGCAACATATAATTTAATCCATATATCTAAGATTCATGTCTCATCCAAAAAGACGGCTTTTACGTTAAAAGTAAAATAAAATTTACAAGCCGTTCATTTTCAAACCTTAGAGAATATTAGTGCAGTACTTTCGCACACGTCAAAATACCAGCCTTACTAAAATGTGGTGAATAGTTCAAAAGTTACACAAACAAATATGGCACCCGTACGATGCTGGGACGCACGGGTCGCTGATTTCTAATATTTTATAAGACTTATTTACAACGACCTAATAGAGAAATTCAAATTTATGTTTTTTTTTGTAATGATGTACATAATTCGTGAATTATGTAGTTATATAACTTCTTCATATACCTAAGCGGAGTAAACCATCCTGCCTGTCATCCTTTAACTAATCTCAGCCAGTTTAAAGACCCAACACAACACAGACAGATAATAAACACAACGACCAACAAATTTGGAATGAAAACGAGTACATTACTGAGAGCAGTGCAGCCGACGAGCCAATAAATACCGGGTACCAGGTAGACAAACCCTTAGCGACTCGATCCGCCCCTCGCACGCTACGCTTTCCTCTTATTTTTTGTATCAAATAGTTTGTCGAAGACTTAACTCGAGAGTTCCGCATGTGTAGATACTTATTTGTCGTAAAACAACCGAATTATTTATCAGAAGTCATTTTGAATAATGTCACTTATAAATGTGGATTATGACGTTAAAATATAAACTATCCTTAGAACAAAGTCGCTTTCATATTTATACAATAAGTTTAGCTGTTGTCGCTTGGAGCTTTAACGACTCCACCAATCATGCAATGGCTTAATACAATAATACCCGCTCACGCGAACGAAGTTGCGGGTAAAACTAATAAAAGTACACACCTAAAGTACCGACTTGTACAATTAAAATAATATTTTATCTAAATTTATTAAATATGTACTACATCGTACGCGAGTATTTCCGAAGTAGGAAAGCGAATGAATTAGACCGCTTCTAGTAGGGATATCAAACTAAAACATATATCAGATTTTAAATTAGCCCTTCAGAAACATGACTGTGAACCCCATTCTGTTCGGTGCAGTAGGTTTTGCGTGATGCTGGAATAAACATACAAAATTTCTAATAATTATTGTTTTGGCTTCTATGAATCTTAATAAGACCCCCCCCCCCTCATATTATTTTTTCTAAAATACCTCCCCTGTACAGACATCACTCAGTTACAATTTTATTTAATTAAAAAGATAATGTATGTAATAAATTTATAAAAAATGTTATTTTAATAAATACAAAACGCATAAATACATATCGACGTAAGTAGACACGTATGAATTTTAAAAGTCCAACTTGAACTGTACGCACCCTTCTATAATTTATCAAAAGATGTTTATGAATAAAATGCAAGTAAAGTACCTACATAAAAGTACGTAGTAAGTCGATAATTATTATTGCAATTGATAGCACAAGATGACTTTAAATTTATTTATTTATTAAATACCTACCTATTTAAAAATTGTAATGTTTTAATTTAATAAACATCGCAGCTGTGTTAATAATATCTATTTTGATAGCAGACGTTTACCCCGAAATAACAGTAGTTAAACGAACGTATTTAAATAAAATAGGTATACCTGTTACAAGTTTCATTATAACAATAGGATTAAATAAATAATAGGCACAAGATAAAATTCAACGCCTGCGGCAACTCACACCATTAAAGTTAGTAAGCAAAGTTTCCGATGTAAACATAAACTAACCGCGAAGGCGATGTTGATAAAGATGAATATCTTCTCGGAGGTGCAAACACCCCTGGCACACCCCATGTCGGCTGGTGGCGCGGCGGCCGCTCCAGTCACCCGCGTGCTGTGGTCGAGGTGTCCGCGCTGTCACATGGACTGAGCCAGTGGTCCCACACGCGTCCCGTCGCGAGCGTGTATCGAGCTTACAGGCGCGCGGCAGTCATCACGGAGCGCGCCGCGAGCCGTAACGGACGTCAAGCACTCGAAACGGCTGGTAAGGCACTGACTGGCTCGGCTCGGGCTCCGTCGCCCGCCCGCGGCGGCCGCGGCGGCCGCGGCGGTCGCGGCCCGACATTGGCCGCCCGTCGCGGCGCGGCGGTGCGCCCCGAACCCTTCCTCCGCCGCCCCTGGCCACCCTGTCGCCTGTCGCCTGTCTTGCCGCCTCGCGTCCGCGCGAGCCGCCGGCTTACTTCACGACCCCCGTCCTGTCATCTGTCATGCGCTGCCGCTGCCTGCCGCCAGGTGGACCACATTGACAAACCGTCCTCTACTGACCGGGTTCAACGTTTCAAAAATAACACAAGAACATATCAAATATTCATTAAAGCTCCATATATATGCTTATTTGTTTTATTCGAGTTAAATAATACAGAATACTTGATTGACACAGTATCGCTGAAATACTTATAACAATATTTATATCTAGTAAATCGTCAATTTACTCGTATCGTACGTTAAAGCATTAGTAAATAACGGTAAGTGCGGGCCGCGGCAAGGCCTACGACACAGGTGCGGGTCGAACCTCACTTTTTATAATTTAGGGTTCCATTCACAGGACCAATATAAAATACTTAAACAAAATACATACAACACCAGACTTATACAATTTAGAAACAGGACTAATTGTAACGGGTATCATACCATGACAGAATTAAGTGACAGGATTTATGAAACCGAATTGAAATCTCAAAATGTTGTTTATACTTTTGATACAAACCGCGTATTCACGTGATCAATTTGATATAACACCTGTGAAATTTTCACCCTCCTGCCACAACGTGCATTCGTTTCCTACATACTTACATACATAAATATATGTTGTAAATACTAACATTATTAAGAATACTATGATTGACTGTGATTGTAGCTTGGTCATTTTTATTTTCTTTCTTTTTATAAAATTTTAGTAATTTTACTTATTAAATAATTTATAGTTTCATAAAAAATTACTATTCAAAAATGCTTATTTTTAAGTTCACTCGAATAAGCATTAATATGTTTCTTCGCAAAATATGACAAAATTAATATTGGTAGGCCAACAAAACTAAGTGGAACAATGGAACTGTAATTAGAATGCGGAGTGTCTAAAAATAAATTTAACATCGTAAAAAGCATTTATTTTTTGACAAGCACTTTTTTGCAGAAACTAGGCAACTACAATTATAACAAAATTATTATAAGACCAAAACCAAAGTTCCTGTTGATTGTAAAAAGAATTAACAAAATAGGATTGGAATTAGCGACGCATCGCATTACAAGTATAAAGCTGCATATTCGTATATGCAGCTTTGTACACTGGGCTACACTGAAAATTTTTAGAGTTGGCTACTTGAAAGGAATATAATGACAAAAAATTGTTAAAATTTTGAAAATGGAACTCTTTACCAATAATACTGAGTATATAATTTATTCGCTTGTCATTTGTTTTACGTTTTGGCGGCAACTTGAAAATAGTCTGTTTAACATTATCATCAACTTAACACGAGAAAATCAATTTTTTCGAAAAAATTTGGCGACTTCAGACGTAGAACTACTGGGTCATCCGCCTTATAGCCCCGACCTCGCACCTTGCGAGTTTTATTTATTCCGAAAAATAAAAGAAAACCTTCGAGGAAAACGTTTTATGGACGCCGAGGAAGCTGTGGCTACGTTTCAGAATGCCGTCACAGAGATCCCTAAGGACGAGTGGGCAAAGTGCTTTTCTCGATGGTTCTATCAGATGCAGCGATGTATTAACATGAATAGGCACTATTTTGAAAAGATAAAATAAAGATAAAAACTTGCAAATTTAATCAGTTTTTTTTATTTTCTAAGGACTTTCAGTTTGACCCTCGTATACGAGTGGAGTACAGACGAAAGGAGAACTTTGTTTGGATCACAGCAAGTCATAAAAGTGAGCAAATTATACTTAAATCTAATAATATAAATGTTAAAGTGAGTTTGTTTGTTTGTTACCTCTGAGCGCCTTATTGACTGAAACGATCACTATGAAATTTGGTATACAGTTACTATATGGAGGTTCGAAGTAGATACTAGGTCTAGATTGTACTGAATATGAGTGCATATATGTGTATGTATGTACAGTAGATATGTATGTAATAGCACAGATAATATAACACCATACTAGTAGTAACAGCAAGTCTATCGTAGATTGACAGATATTTGGATCGGTCGCGAGGTCGCGCTCTCACAAGTGATTCTGAATCGAAGACACAATTTGTGTCCTGCCCTGAGCCGTGCCTCGGCTACTTGTCCCAATTAGGGACCCTTGGAGAGCTAATAAACCACAATTATCGTCGTCTGGAATGCTTAAATACGAGTATGTTTCTAGATCGGTGGCCAATCATCATTCTGATGTACGGAACAAGTGAATTTTGTGTTGTAGGTACAAGCAATCATGACAAAATTTACATTGTACGGGTAATCTTACTACGTATCTTTAAAGCGAATAAAAAGCAACGACGAACGAATCGATTCATACATACATCCCATCAAATTATACTATACAAAATATTAATATAGGGAATAATCCTTGCCCCCTGTCCTGTTCTTTTTTGTTGAATGAAAATGAAATGGTACCCTTTCTTGCGCTATAAGTATACGCTGGCGAGAAGCCAATAAAGGATAGTAGATCAAGACAAAAGTAAGCCAGTTCAAAACGGTTTCCAAGGGAAACCACGAGGAGGTCAACCTAATAGTTTATATTTCTAGCAATGGGGCATCTAGATCCCTAGATTACTAATAATCCCTTTTCCCTTCTCTTAATCGTTTTTTTTTTAATGTATATAAATGGAATGGTAACCCCGGTCCGCCTGCACTATTGATGTACACCGACGGACATGGTGGGGGGGGGGGGGGAAGATATTGTTAGTAACGGGGATTAGCAGCCTCGTTGCTAGCAATATACTATATCAGGTCGACCTCTTCGTGGTTTCTCCTGGAAACCATCATGATTGATTTATTGTTAGATTCGTCACGGTGGGCTAACTGACCTGCTTCATCCTCACCTATCCCTCACTGGTGCCCCGCCAGTGTATGCCGATAGCGCAGCCGGAATTACCATTCCATTATCATCCATTAAAAAAAAGACAAACATGGGCTGACCATTTGAAGGCAATTCTGTACGGAATTGTTTAAGAATAAACATATTTTCAGTTACTTTTAACAAATAGACAGATTTCATATATGTACATAGAAAGGAACGTACCTAATAATTTTTAGCTATTTAAATATGGACCTGCAAGTTCTTCAAAAGGGGGATAAAGAGGTTTCTTCAGGATCGGCAACGCACGCTTAATACCCCTGGTATCGCAAGTGTTCATAGGCTACAGTAACCGCTTACTATTAGGTGGGCTGTATGCTTGTTTGCCACCTCAGTGGTATAAAAAAAGACTGATTGGTCAAAATAACGACAATCAGTTCTTAAACACTTCTTTTGCATTTTAAATACAATTTTTATTTTTTCAAATGCTCTATAAGATAGGGTCACATCGTAAATTAGACATGTCATAAGAATAAAATGCCACGAATGCCACGATTGCATCTCGAGTTACGCCAGTCAATATTCTTAGAAGGTATATATAATATATACTCGTATCTATTTATATTTATAACTCAATATTTCGTATGCTGCAGGCCAGCTTGTATGACTGTCAAGTTGTAGTCCCAGAAACATTACCGTGTACATAACTTTACAGTAGCGTGGACATAACCGAGTAGGTATACTGTATCACCCATGATGCCCTTCATACGTTGCCATTGAACTATGGTATGCCTCTGTAACCTGTATTTTCATACACATATCTCTTAAACCGTCCTTTAAACCAAAATACAACCATGCAAACACAACTACAGAAATATGAATGGAACAAAGGTCCCCAAGCAGACATTTTTTTTAAAGGAAGCTAGTTTTTTTTTATACCACTGAGGTGGCAAACAAGCATACGGCCCACCTGATGGTAAGTGGTTACCGTAGCCTATGAACACCTGCAATACCAGAGGTATTACGCGTGCGTTGCCGACCCTGAAGAAACCTCTTTACCCCCCTTTTGAAGAACCCCATGCTGTAGTCTCTTGGGAAAACCTCGGCTTCCTAGTTCCCTTAAGGAGGGAGACTTTGTACAAAAGTCGATTGCTTGGATACCTCTGTCCCATTCGTGTTTCAACCGTGAAGCAGTTGTGTTTGCATGGCATTTGTTTGCATTGTCTGCAAGCAATTTATAGGGTACAGAGGAATAACACCTGAGTCCTCAGGAATGACAACGCATGGGGGGTATCATAGGCTAAACAGTATACTCTGTTATGTCGATGGCACTGCTCATGTCTATAGGCGACGGTTACCACTTTCCATCAGGTGGGCCGTCAGCTTGTTTGCCATTCTAAGTTGTATAAAAAAAAGGTGGAGCCTAATATGCGTTGCTTACGGGATACGATATTATCAACCATTTAACCCTTCTTTGCAAAGTTTTATTTATTGGTGAAATAAATCAAGGTGATATAATTCATGTTCAAAATTAAAGGAAAAATGTTTACAAAATAAATTGGACAGTTATGTTTTTTTTTCTGCAATGGACATTAAAAAGGTATCCAGACACGATCGACTTAGAGTGAACTTATTCTTTTATATAATTTTTGGGCATTCAATGTTATGAAGGAAATTTCCACCATTATGCAAAGAAGGGTTAAAAATATCAATGTACCTGCAACTTACAACGTAATTTAAATAATTACCGAGGCATAATTCATTGCATACCCTTGTCAAGTGAGGAGACCTTTTAATCGATGATTGTTCATCAATGATGATTGAAACAATTCTGTTTACGATTGGCAGCTAATTGTACAGAAACGCCGACAATGTAGGTAAATTAATGATTGACCTATTTAGATAATTTTAGAACTTAGCTGATCGGCCCCGTCTAAGCCTCTGAATAAACAAGGCCGAGTGCCAGCTAAAACTAGATCTACCTATTGCCCTTTATAGATCAGTCTGGTGCATCTCCAACATTCATTGGGACCTCAGTTTAGTAAATCAAAGGATGGAATCTTTATTTTTGGTTTATAAATAATGCCAAAACAGCTGATGGGAAACTAACATGAACTGATAACATTACCAGAAGAAGACTTTGCACTAAAGTCGTCTCCATGAGTTTTTCCCACTCATATTTCTGTCATGTGGTAGTTGTGCTTTTATGGCTGTGTTTCGGTTTGAAGGGTGGGATATGGCAGTGAATTTACAAGGTAAAGAGGAATAACACCCGAGTCCTCAGGAATGGCAACGCAAGGGGGGTTTCATGGGCGAAACAGTATACTCTGTTATGTCCACGGTACTGTGGCTATAGGCGACGGTTACCACTTTTCATCAGGTGGGCCGTCAGCTTGTTTGCCATTCTAAGTTGTATAAAAAAAAATACTACATAGCAACTTCATGTTTCGTGATTCGTCGACACTCGTCCCAGGTGGACTTCTAGAGTGTAACTGAAACTTTATGATAGACCGAAATAAATATAAAAAAAAAAATTAACATATAAATTTGAAGCTAATTTTGTGTTAATTTCATATTAACTCATATTTTTACTTTTGATGTTTTTGAATAATTTTTGGCTATCAAAATAACATTTTTAGCAACAGCCTAATAAGAATGCGTTTTAGTTCGCTATCAGAGTACTTTCATCCAGAAATACAATTTCAGCGTCCACGCCTCAGTATGGACACTGTTGAGATATTAAATAGATTATAATAAATAAAACACATAATTCATTTTATAATAAGTACATTTATTAGTGTTCAAAAAACGACATAAATAATATGTGACCGACTAAGTCTATACTATGGCACCGCGACGACCGCGCACCGCGACGCACGCTCTTACCAAGACTCTAGACGGCACGGCACGGCACGTCACGCCACGTCACGTTACGTCACGACATCTGACATGAAGGGCCTACAAAATTGTAATGCGCTAAAACATCATGTCACACATTTACAATAACTACATCTATTAGAGAGCTCGGGGTCAGTGCAATTATTCAGAGTTGGAACGACCCGTTGAAAAGAAAGTCCAAACTCCTGAGTTACCATACTTAATATATAAAGAGCTTGCGTCGCAGTCCGCTTATTATAAAAAAAAAAAACTTAAAAGTAATATAATTAGATATAAAAAGCACATCAATACACTACCGCCGGCCGCAGACGGAGTAACCATTCGTGGCGAACCCGTGACGACACTATTTGTAATCAAATGGAATTAAATAGAAAGTTTTCATCGGCTCATATTTATTTTGTATTCTCGACATGTAGTATAGAGAACTGCCATGATCAAAACTAATCTAATGGGCTCTATACACGATCTAGTTGATCTTAAACAACTACTTACATATCGTCATACTCGTAGAATACTGACGGATCTGCCGAATATTACATATAAAGTCCAATAAGTCCAATTTCAAAATTAATTTCCAAAAATTCTTAATTGAGAGGCAAAAGTTAGACATTCCAGCAAGTTACCTCTATGTTCCATTTGTCTGCTAGATAAACTGTCAAATATGTCTGTTTACTGTATATCTATCTTTTACTGTATAGATAATCTGGTAGTATTGTTTTATTGTCACCCTATTCCCTTTGGCCGCAACAGAATATCAGTGCTTTGCTCTTTTAAGGGCGAAGCAATAAACTGAGTTGTGGCCATTTTGTATTGCTATGGCACACGCACAAACGAAAATTGTATTTAGCTATGTGTTTTTTTTTATCATTTATGTTATCTCGCTTTTTTTTTGTATATATATGTTGTAATTTGTGTGCTGTAAGTAATGCAAATAAATTATCTATCTATCTAAAGATTGGTCAGTATTCTATGACTATAACGATATTGGCGCTAGTAGTCCAAAGACGGACGCGATACATCTTTATCATAAAAAGACAAAAGACGTGTGTTTAACTCGAATCGCTTGACCGTTTACAAACCCATAACAATTCTGTTTATTATAATCCATCATATTTAAATCATACGTTACAAATGAAGAGTGGACGTAACAGACACATAAGTATAAACCGAAAAGTATTACCCATATTTTTTTTTGTTGCGTAAAAAATAAAATAAATAAACTTATTTTTGCATCAAACTGTGTCAAGGTGACCAATAACTTTGTCAGGCAGATGATAATGTTTAACACAACTGTTTTAATATGGCCATACACCATCCAGGTGTTAATAAGCAAACTGATCCGTCACGACACTCGTAAAATATCGTTTGTTTTTTTAGTTTACCTTTTTTATTATAGATACTGATACTATCAGCGTGCAGTACACAACCAGGCAATTGGTACACTCGATTTTGTACTTTGTTATGCACTCTGTAAGTACATATCTATTGTACGACACGCCATGCGAGTGGCTAAAACTTTTAGAAAACTCAGATCATACTACATTTTACATCTTCAAATATCTTATTTAAGCTGGCCGTGATTACTCTATGTGTAAGTACGGTATATCGCGAGAAAAACATCCATTGCAGAGCACACAGTGTAAACTTTACATCACAAAATCTTTCATATGTCAACATTACTTTGGCTGATTTACCTTATTACCCATGTATCTCAGAAAAACAATTGTCATTTTATTGCCCAACACATAGACATGTATTCTACTACCGTCATAAACCGTCAAATTACACGACAACTGGCGGGTAAACAAATCTATGTGACATAATGAAAAACTGAAGTAATAAAACCCTCCTACATCCCTTAAACTTCACTACATGGAGTCTACACAGTATGTAAGGGTGGTGTCACGTGCCGCCACGTGGCTACTGCTCAGTTCCGAGCGGCCGGCGATCGGTTAGTACTACACCTAGGAGAATCAGTCCACGACTAAACTATACGGACAGCTCGTTAGAAATAACAATCAAATAATATTATTATGAAAATAACACGTTACTCACTAAATTATTTGTACTCTGTTACAACGTAAAATATTCGGGAATTATATTTAAATAGGAAAAAAAAGTGGAAAGTAAATCAGTCTTAAGTCAATAAATGCTCAAACATGGCAGTGAGAGGCGGCGGCGTGCGCGCAGGTGTTCCCCCACCCCTCCCCCCTACACACGCACACATACACACTTCACAATAATTACATTACGACTAGAGAGCGTGTACAATATAAAACAATTGTAGTGTTTGTACTATGTAACGATAAGTGCTGCGAGCTGCCTCACAAAATAGTATAATATGATATAATTTGTTCAGCGGCTTGCTTCATTAAAAGTATTTGAGTATAAATCCATTAGACACAGCAGGAGCCCTGCGAGTGGGGGGGCGGGGACACGACGCACACACGGCACGAGGTAGGTACACGCGACCAACCAAACGTACGTACACGGCGATCAAAGTATGAACATGACCATAGCGACGTCTTAGCTATAGTAAAAAATCGAAAGCTTACGTAATAATTTTGTACTTTTAACAGTTAATTTACAACTGAACGGTCGAGGGATGGACAGCGGCGTCCCTCTTCAACATCACCAAAGCCTAACTGCGGTTGTCAACCCGCCTGCCAGGTATGGCAACTACTGGCTAAACCCCCTAATAAGTGGAGGCCTACGCAGCAGTGGACAGTTAATGATGATGAAGAGTTAGTTACAAGATATAAAATATAATAAAAACGTGACTATTCGACACAAATGGTCGCACTGTGCTCGTAACGAAGCATCGACTGGACAGGTGGGCGTCACGGCCGCCGCCGTACCTTACTTTGATCGCCGTGTGTTACGTCGGAGTATTATACTATTCGAGTACCGTTAGAGTACACAGTCTTATATACAGCAGATCAGCGGCGCCCGGCTCCCCGGGCGGCCACGCATCGACAAACAAACAACTCGACGACATACGATACATAACATACGCTAACTAGGTACACAGAGATATGCTTCAGTTTTAACATGCACGTATCAACTGCTCCACCATTTTATAATATAATACCATAAGAATAAATAATATTATAGTTTACCACAGGGAGACTGTACAAATGACATCTGTTTGGGTACTTCTGTCCCATTCGTGTTTCTGATGTAAAAGTAGTTCTGTTTGCATGGCCGTATTTTGGTTTAAATAATGAGGCAATGAAATTACAGGGTGCAGAGGCATACCACCTTAGTCATCAAGGATGGCAATGTGGCATGGGCGACATAGTATATTCTGTTATGTCCATAATACTGTTCATATCTAAAGGCGACGGTTACTACTATCCATCAGGTGGGCCGTCAGCTTGTTTGCCATTTAAACTTGTATAAAAAAAAGGTAAACATGTAAGTATTTTTCCTACGAAATGTGACAAAATCATAATTATATTTTTATGAGATAGTGAATGACTAACTAGCGATCCATCTACTGGATCGTAGGAACTATCGTCTATAATCATGAACAGCGCCATAGATATTACAGATTGCACTGTGGCACTCACTGCACACCTCGTGCGTTGTTATTCTAGAGAACCGGAGGTGCTAACAGTAGTAACTTCCAGTTGTTTGGTGGCAGAAACACAAGTGGGACAAATGTGTCCATGTAAACGATTTTTGTGTAGTTTATTTCTGATAATAGTATATTACTGCAGCGGCCAACAACTGAGGTATTGATGGACGAACGTGCAAATGTAGGCCGAGGCGTAGCCGAGGCACACATACGTGAGTCTATCAATGCCTAGTTGTGACCAAGGCTTGTATAGTACTTTTCTCAAACAATGCGCGGAAATCAAAAACACAATTTTATTTTTTAAGTTAAATGAAGAAATAACGAACAATAATAATTTTTCACGCGCCATAATGTTAATTAGTTTTTTTTTCAATAAACAGCTTTCTATTTGCAAGCCAGTTCGAAATTTAAATAAAACTTTGTATTAGTTACCTCCTTGGTAGCCATGTTTCGAAGTAAAAGGTCATTCCATTTTTAAATTACAGGACAGATATGAGTTTACTTAGTAATTTATCTGGCTTTAAAACACGACAGATATGTATTTTCATACAACTTTTGCCAACAAGAAGATTGTCAAAATAATGCTCTAATTTCCAAGCATGTTTGAGAAAAATAAATAATTTGATATATATTCATACCTAATTTGTAATGTGCTATTTAAGTAGCGTACTTTTTATTTATTTATGCTTATGGTAAAATTTTATAAGATACAAATATATTTATGAGAATTAAAAATAATGTATACATTTTGGAAAATTGGGGTGCAGATATTTGGATATAAAAATACTGACCGCTCGTTTGTTGAAATTGTACAAAAATAAAAAAAAAGAATTAAAATAATAGAAGTATAAACTTACATCTAACACACATTTGGTTACGGCCTTAACGCTAGGTCGGCGACGAGGTCGCCGGTGGCGCCCGGCCCTCGCTCGCCCGTCAAACTTGACACTCGACTCACAGTTACTAAACACAAATATTTGTGGGCTACTAAATGCACTCTACGTAATACTGAACGTGTACGGCCGGGCAGGGGAGGGTCGGTGGAGAGAGACGTACTGAATAATGGCAAACGAGTATTTTTTTTTTCAGAAAGACTCGCCTCGGCCAAAGTGGGAGGAGAAACTCGTACAGCTGGATCGAGGCATGGACAGCGTGCGGGGGCAGCGGGCGGCCTAGGCCTTGTAGCGGCGCGCGGGGTCGGCGCGCAGGCACAGCGCGAGCGCCAGCAGCAGCGCCAGCGCGTGCGCCGCCAGCAGCGCGCCGCCCGCCGCCAGCGGCGCGCGCGCCGCCGCCGCCAGCGCCGCCAGCGCGCGCGCGCCGCACGCCGCGCCCGCCAGCGCCGCGCCGCCGCCACCAGCACCAGCCGCGCCCGCCGCGCCGGCAGCCGCCGCCACGCGCACCGGGCCCGCGCACGCCTGCATCACTCTCGCATTACGTCCCACCCGCTTACATTGTACAGTAATAGAGATTTTTTTCTCGATTGTTATAAATATACCCTATTAGATCGATCTCCCCAAGAAACTATCGTGACCAAGTTATCATTGAATTTGTCACGATGGGCTACCTGACCTGCCTTTACGCCTTCCCCAATAATATCTCACTGGTTTTTTTTTTTATACCACTGAGGTGGCAAACAAGCATACGGCCCACCTGATGGTAAGCGGTTACCGTAGCCTATAAACGCCTGCAATACCAGAGGTATTACGCGCGCGTTGCCGACCCTGAAGAAACCTCTTTACCCCATGAAGAACCCCATGCTGTAGTCTCTCGGGAAAACCTCGGCAGGGAGCTCATTCCATAACCTGAGTGTTCGTGGGAGAAAGCATCTCTGAAACCGCGTTGTACGCGACCATTTAAGCTGTAAGGTATGAGGGTGAACTCCCTGTCGATGGCGAGCCGTACGATGATAGAAAGTGGCCGTAGGCATCATACTGAATAATTCCTCTGAGCACAATCCGTTGTATAAGCGGTAGAACACGCAGAGTGAGGCAAAATCTCTCCTAAGACTTAAGGGTTCAATACCGCTTGCAAGCATGGGATCATCGACAATTCTCATAGCTCGTCGTTGCACTGAGTCGAAGGGTTCAAGCTGGTATCGAGGTGCTCCCGCCCATAAGTGACAGCAATACTCCATATGGGGCCGGATTTGCGATTTGTAAAGCATTAATCGCTGATCCGGCGTGGAGTAATGCTTCGCTCTATTAAGCACACCGAGTTTTTTGGATGCCAGCTTCACCTTATCTTCGAGGTGGCCACGGAACTGTACGTCACTAGAAATGTCGACACCAAGGATCCCAATGCTTTTAGAGATATTAAGAGACGTGCCTTGGAACTGTGGGGCCACAGCAAATGGGGTTCTCTTAGCGGTGAACGCGCAAGCTTGTGTCTTAGAGGGGTTAAATTGGACCAAGTTTTGTCGTCCCCAATCAGAGACTCCAGTTAGTGTTCTCTCGATTTCAGACACAAGCTGTTCACGATTGTTCTCCACGATGGAACGGGAGACATTGGTACGACCCGTATAAAGGGCATCCCCGGTGCTGTCATCCGCATAACAATGAATGCTACCGAAGGTTAACATATCATTAATATGCAGTAGAAACAGCGTTGGGGACAGCACAGAGCCCTGCTGGACGCCAGCGTTAATATCCATGCTATCGGAGCAGCAACCATCTACAACGGTTTTTTTACGTCTGCCGGATAAAAAACTGGCGACCCATTTACAGAGGCTGTCGGGAAGTCCATAGTAGGGCAATTTCGATAGAAGACCCCGATGCCAGACCCGGTCAAATGCCTTTGCAATATCAAGACCGACAGCGAGCGCCTCACCTTGACTCTCAATGGCTGATGCCCATCGGTGCGTAAGATATACCAAGAGGTCACCAGTTGAGCGACTATGGCGAAAGCCATATTGGCGGTCACTCAATAAATCGTGATCCTCGAGGTATTTTAACAGCTGTGCGTTAAATATTCGCTCCATCACATTAGAGAGAAGGGAAGCGATCGCAATCGGTCTGTAATTTGAGGGGTCCGACTTATCGCCCTTTTTAGGTACAGGATGTACAAGGGTGGTCTTCCATGTCGAAGGAAATTGCCCTGTGGAGTACGAGATCGTGAAGAGACGCGTTAATACAGGACACAATTCCGGAGCACACTGCTTCAGGACCACTGCCGGTATACCGTCTGGCTCACTCGACTTATGAACATCTAAGGATAGTAACTCCCGCCGGACTTTACATTGTGTTATAGTAATTTCCGGCATGGAGCTTCCGCAACACAAGATGGTAGGTGGTACAGAATTACCTTCGTCCATAGTCGAGTTAGAGGCAAAGAGAATGCCAAATAAGTCGGCTTTCTTTTTAGCACTGTAGGCCAAGTTACCATTCGGTTTCCGAAGTGGTGGAAAAGACGACTGACAAAAGTTTCCTTGGGCAGCTTTAGCAAGCGACCAGAAAGCACGGTTACCAGAAGGAAGGCTTGATAGTCGCCTACCAATTCTGCCCACAAATTCAAATTTGGCTCTGGCAATTACTCTCTTACTGTACCTCGAAGCAGCATTTAATTTCCGCTTTGCATCACTGATTCCAGGATCAGAGTTAGTGCGAGCCGTAGTCCAAGCCTTGTATGCAGCTTGCTGAGCAAATCTGGCTTTCTTACAAGACCGGTTAAACCACGGACGCTTCTTCGATCCCATTGCCACTAGCGGGTTGGGGATAAATAGCTTCATACCATCAATGATAGCCTCGCTAACGGCAATTGCGCAGTCGTTAGGATCATGTGATGCAAAACAGAGCTGCTTCCACGGGTACGATGCATAAAATTCTCGCAATCCATCCCAGTCTGCTGACTTATAGTGCCACACGCGACGTCGTCCAATAGGACGGGGTGGATCAGGTCGAGTGTTGGGGACATCAGCCCGGATAAGACAATGGTCGGATGAGCCAATTGGCGCATCCACTCTGACGGTGTATCCATCCGGGTGTGTTGTCAGCAGAAGGTCCAGCAAGGAGCTTGTATGGTTCTCTATATCTGGTATTCTCGTTGGAGAATGAACCAGCTGAGAGAATCCATAGGTCAGAGCAAATTCATGAGCAGCTTTTCCCGCACAGTCAGTGGACCGAGAACAAAGCCACTCGGAGTGGTGAGCATTAAAGTCTCCAAGTATCACTAACTCCGCAGAAGGATACTGCTCGAGAACCTTATCAATCGTCGTTTGCAGGTGCTCAAAAAGACGGAAAGTGTCCAGATCACCGCTGTGAGACCTGTAAAGGCACGCGTAAATACGAGTGTGGCTCCCGTAATCCACACGTATCCATAATACTGACAGGTCTCTGTCTTCAAGGCCATGGAGACGGCGGTAACAGACATCCGTCCGGATATACATACATACCCCGGCATGACGAGCAAATTTATGTTCGAGTTTGTAACCGGGGTATAGTAAATAAGATGTATCAGCCGGACATGATATCTGCGTCTCGGTGAGGAATAACAGAGTCGGCTTCGCAGTTTCGAGATGACAGTGAATTGCGTTGATGTTAGAATGAATACCTCTGATATTGCAGAAGTCCACTTTAAATGTGGATGAGGGTGCCGCTGTGTAACGTCTATTTTTTTTAGATCTGGCCATAAAGTGTTAGGTTATTTGGAGGTTAATAGGGAAAGATTGTGCCGATATCAAAGGAACAAAGTGGTGTCCACTCCGTCCCTGCGCTAAACAGGTTGTGCAAATTGCCGACGCGGCGGCCGGAAGGGCCCCCGGTCCCCCCACTGATGTAGTAGCCGGGTCCACTCCGGTCTCCTCCTCCGGCACGACTACCACACCAGGGATTATGCACAGGCGGCGGTTCAGCCTCCCAGGGCGGAGATTAGGTAATCCCTGGGTTCGGGAACCAAACAACCTGCGGGCGGCCAGCGAGCAACCGTTTCACCGGGTCTCCCTGAACGCCGCGTCAGCACTTCGCGTCTGCCCAGCACAAAGACAGTATTAAAACACGCTGGTCCCTCCGATATCGGCACAACCCCTCCCCAAGATGGAACTGGATACCTTACTCACCGCAGGAACACAACGCTATAAAAACAGCGTTGTTTGGCTGCGAACTTCTGCAAGGTAGAGGTCCTTCCCCAGGCGGGCGGTTCCGTTTATGAGCGAGAGTCCCGCTGTGCCCTACCTCTCTTGTACCTCGCCAGTGTATACCGTTAGCGCGGGCGAGCTTACCATTGCAATATCATCCATTAAAAAAAACCTGCTTACAGTAAACTAGACGAAGTGGCGACCGCCCTCCACAGAACGTCGCGCAGCCGTATTTCGACTTGAACGATAGAGAGTTACGACAAAATTCTAAAACACAAAAATTAAGCCCTAAGAATAAAGACACACGGAAATAACCGTGAATATCGAAACGTCAAAATATACCGTAGTATCCACCCATAGCATCGCTCATATCTATGAGTGACGATCATCCCTTCCTGTCGAGTGACCCGTCCACTCATTTACCATTTCATATTTCATAAAAAAAAATCTATAAAAATGAACATCGCCACAAATCGTCATAGAAGATACGCATCGCGAATAACACGCAGAGCGTCCAAAAACTATCAACAAGCAATAAGAAAATATCCAGCAACACATAGTTAAACACCTATACTTGCCTCATTGACTACTTACTATTCGACCATCACTTATCACTATAATATCTTAAAACTTCAAAAAGCTCAAAAAACTAACCAAGACATTTATGAAACCTATTAAAACAACAACAGTAGAAACCAGAAAAACAAAACAAATACAGAAAACAAATTACCAAAAACAACCTAATCAAAAAACCTTTCACAACGGGTGATCGCCGCGGAATAATTAGACCAATACCCACCCTCTAGCAAAAAATCATAAAATACACATGTCAACTCTTAATATTAGGACTTCAAGAACACCAGAATCACTGATAGTGGGTACTTGAAGTAGCATTGAAAGGCCTATAATAAAATATATTGGCACTAAGCGAAGTACGTAGGCCAGGACAGTCAATCGAAGAACATGAAGAATATATAATACGATAATAGGGAAATCCGAGATCAGAAGAGTGTGGGTTTCATAGTTAAATAAATTCATAGAAGATTTCATCGCAGTGATAGAGAGAATAGTCATGTTACGCATCAAAATACCTATGAATATTAAACATGAAACAATATGGGAAAGCTTAGAAAAACAAGGAATATTGAAAGTTTATATAAACATCATTGAAAAAGTATATTCAAACTGTAAAGCAAAGATACAAATGGAATTTCTAGGAGAAGCGTTAAAAATTAAAAGAAGTGTCAGGCAAGGAGACCCACTGTCTCCCAAGCTGTTTTCTGCAATACTCGAAAACATATTCTGAAAACTAGAATTGGACGAATTTGGATTAGATGGAAAAAGATTTGCATCATCTACAAATAGCAGATAACATTATCTTATTCGAATAAAACCCCCTCAAACTTGAAAAAATAATCCAAGATCGAAACAAAGAAAATGAGAAGCTTGGGTTGGCAATTGATGAATGAAGTTGGCAAGCAAAACTAAGATTCTATCAAATTCAACCCAAAACAAAATAAAAATCAATAACCAACCTCTGGAATATGTGGAAATATATCTGGAACAAATAATATATCTTATCTACTAAAGAAATCAAAAGAAGAATAACCAATAGATAGGATATATTTTGATCACTGAAAAAGATAATGAAAGCAACAGACTTCAATAAAAAAAATTTAAATGCAAACTCTTGTATCCTCCCATGCCTTACTTGTGGTTGCGAAATTCGGGCACTTTCTAAACATAACGAAGATACGCTAAAATATTGTCAGAAAGCTATGGAGAGAAGCATGCTGGAAATTAAGAATCTAGACAGTCAAAGAAACATATAAGGTCGAGGAGAGGTGTGACTGACATTCTCACTGAGAAAAACCAAATGAAATAGAGATGGAAGTGGCATATGCTATGAAGGCCTCATGATAAATGGAGTAAAATCTTAACTGAATGCTACCCTAGAAACGGAAAAGGAAATAGAGGTCGACAATGCAAAAGATGAACTTAAACAAACTGTAGGTTACAATTGGAGAAGAGTTGTAAAAGATAGAAAGCAATGGAAGTAGTTAAAGGATGCCTTTGTGAAGAGAAACACCAAACTTCGAGACATATTTTAATAAAAAAATAACACATATGAAAGGTTATTGTATCATCAAATTTCAAATGCAACATACCTCGGAGGCGCTGGCTACGCAGCAGGAAGCCGGCACCCAGTAGTAAGTACTGGGCGCGCTCACCGACAGGTCCAGCGTGTCGTCAGTTCGCGCCGCCGACAGCGGGGCGCCACTCGCGCCGTCCACGCCGCCCGCGCCGTGCTGCGCCGCCTCCGCCTCCACCATAGCCCGCGACCACGCCGAGTTCTGCCAGTCTCGGATACTTTCGGTGCCGCAACACTCCAACTAACAATTTTATAATAATTATAGCCAAATCATCTCCTGGTCGTGTGGTCGTAAGAGACGACTAAGGAAGGATGATGGATAGGCAGCAGTGTCCCTCTTAAAACATCTCTAACTGCGGTCGCTAAATTAGCCCACTAAGCGTGGCAACTACTGGCAAACGCCCCAAGGAATAATTTTACTTATAAACGTGAACATTTCCATGTGTGTATGCTTACGTGTTTGTTTCTCAATCATGGTCAAGTGGTTGAACAATATTTAGAGCAAACTCAAAATACACAAATATATTACATCGCCAGCGAGGCTGTAGCCTCGTCATGCATATGTAACGAGAGAGGCGAGAGAGAGCGGAGAGGGCAAAGATACGAACCCCGTGCTGTATGGCGTCGAGGATCTGCGTGCGCGAGTGCAGGCGGCCGTAGTCGTGGCGCAGCGTGTGGTCGAGGCGGCGCAGCAGCGCGCGGCGCAGCTGCGGCAGGTGCGCGGCGCCCCACCAGGCGGCGGCCGCCTCGGCCACGGCGCTGAGCGCCAGCAGCGCGAAGGCGGCCGCCAGCAGGCTGGCCGAGCCGCGCGCCGCGCCCGCCAGCGCCGCGGCCGCGCCCAGCGCCAGCGCCGCGCCCCACGCCGCCAGCGCGCACAGCCCCGCGCGGCCCTCGGCCGCCTCGCCCGCGCGCCCGTCCCACAGCGCCCAGCACGCCGCGCCGCACGCGCCGCCGCCCACGGCCTGCGCCCACGCACATACCACGCTTACATACCAGTTACGTAGCGGACTACTATCCACCTCGCCCATGGCAGCCAGATCACGTAAACGCCTAGATAGATAGTCGCCGATGGTGCACCATTAGGCTGGGCTACTTGATGACTTGTGAAAATCACTCATGGTTCTCACTTGAAACTGAGCAGTTACTTTATTATAATTAATTATAGGAATTTAAATAGTATTTTTTTCATTTTAATTAAGTAAATTTGTTTTAACAAAACTCAATTTTTTCAAGTCTTCAGGCCGTCATCCTCATAATTTAATGTCATCCTCATAACATTGTTTCTGGCTCTATTCCACATTGATAATGTTGATAGACTGTTACACAAGTATTTACTTATTTTTATTGAATAACTTTATTGACCAAAAGAAAATATGGTACAAAAGGTGGACTTAAGTCCAAATTCGCATTGATGCTAGCAGCATCCTCTACCAGTTAACCTTTGTAAATTGTTTTCAGCAATAAGATCACCTTACCATACCATAATAAGCATAAAGAAATATAAATGCATTATATATATATAGATACTACTGTTGATAGTTTGTAAGGTGAACACAGATTTTTTATTATTTATATTATTATTCATTATTATTTACCATGATTATGTTGGGAGCCACATAGCCATAATACTGGAGAGCCAGTTATATCATTCCTTGTGATAGTCAAGAAATTAGAATATATGGTATATGGTGTGCCATGTTTCCCAACCTTATTGTAGTCTAAAATTTATACTATTAATAAGGATACTGGGTGGAATTATTTGACACAATCTTAAAAAAAACTGGAAATAGATTCTTATTATTCCCTAATGAATTTATGATGACTTCATCCGCACCCATCATCGCTCACCAATAACCCACCAACGTATACCGACAGCAAAAGAGGAATTGAGATTCCATTTTCATCACATAAAAAACCTAACCTATTGACCGAAATTTCACCATATTTGCAAAACTATACAAAAATCCATTTTAGTGCATGCATTAATCGAATATTCCTATTTAATACCACCTAAGAGAAAAAAAATCTATTTTGGTGCACAGACATGAATAGTACATTGACATGTCAGTAAATTTGACCAATGATTAGGCTTTATTTTATACTCTTTTAAATAATAAGAAACAAAATTATTTATCATTTAGGAAACTACTGAAGTAATTTATGTGAAAAAACTTACCAAAAATATAATATTGAACAGAATCAGTAAACACTTCATCAACGAGTAACACCGCGACATCCCCATTATGGTAACACAAAATAATAGGTGAGTTGTTAAATTTTATCAGAAAATTATATAGCAGGCTATAGATGTTCTTAATTTCCGTATTCTTATGGTCATTCAACCAGCGTCCTGGATATTGTTTGTAAATAAATCAATTTAAAATCTATGCGTGTTACAAAAATAAATATAGACAGATGGACTACAGATTTAAGAACAGATAAAACACGAACAGAACAGAGTACATTATCATCGTAACTCAAAGAACCATTACTCCACAATATAACCTATAGACGGTCAAGGCTATAGTTGCGTGTAGTCTAAAACTTCGAAGTCTGTAATAAAGTCTGTTTCGTAGGTTTTTTTCTTAACTAAAATAAAGTAAACAAAAAATAATAATGTGCTACATGATTGCTTTTCATCAGTTTATGCATCAGTAAAGAGCCCTGTCGATCACTTTTGTTCTTTTCATTGAAATAGAAGTATTAAAATTTATCTTGAGCACTGAGTAGATAACTAAAGTGTTCCTGCGATGGCTACTTTGAAACTATAGCACCCACTTTGCATCATTGAGCCCTATGAGCGCATTAACCTCTGATGAATTATTATATATAGTGTTAGTATTTTGTAAATACAAATTTTCATTTTGGTTAAAAATACAAAATTGGTATTTTGTAAACAAATAAAGTTGATGACAGCACCATTTCGTAAAAGTTGCGGTGTAATGAACTGACTTACCTCAGTTAAGATAGTAGGAAGTCAGAAAGATCTAATACTATCTTTAGGACCTTATTTTAATTTCAAAAGTTATTTTGATTTACTTGTCATTCTTAAGGCATAATAATAATAATAAACTCTTTATTGCGCACAATAAAGATGTATACAAGAAGTATTTATACAGAATGTGCATATGCACATTCTGTATAAGTGCATAAGATAAGGCCGCCTTTTGTATATACAAAAAGCGGCCTTATCGCTAAAAGCAATCTCTTACAGACAACCTGGCATATACAATAGGAAAATCATATGAAAGAAAACAAGTATAGTAAAAGTGCAATGCGTTGCGAAATGTAGTGCGAAGTTTCACCAAATAGAATAATTACCGTAAAACGGGGTTACTTTAGCACCGGGGATAACTTTGGCACATGAGTCATTTGCTTTGTTCTTTTTCTTTTATTTTATTTTTTTCGCGGATTTTCAGGTTCCTTTCCTTGTTACAGGTCTTAACAATCAGAGTTGATTTTTAATTTTTTCTATATATTTGCATGGTGTTGTAGGCAATGGTTTATTATTTTAATTTTTTTTTTATACAACTTAGAATGGTAAACAAGCTGACGGCCCACCTGATGAAAATTGCTAACCGTCGCCTAGAGACATGAGCAGTATCATGGACATAACAGAGTACACTGTTTCGCCCATGATTCATTTCATTTCAAAGGGGGGTCCTCTTGTGTTGCCATTCCTGAGGACTCGGATGTTATTCCTCTGTACCTTGTAAATTCACGCCATATCCCACCCTTCAAACCAGAACACAGCTATGCAAACACAACTGCTTCACGATAGAAACACAAATGGGACAGAGGTACCCAAGCAATCGACTTTTGTACAAAGTGTCCCTCTGGTAAACTCTGGTGAATAAAAAGGTTAATTTTTATACAAAAACGTCGTTTTAATAAAGCTAAATTATAACATTTGAAAAAGACTGTCAAAATCCAATTTAAAATTTAAAACGGTGCCAAAGAAGACTTTTAGAGCAGTCTACTTGCATTTTAAGCGAAAAACATATCCTGCCAAAGTTGCCCCAAACGTTTGCCTACTTTGGCAGCCTCTAAACAATTTTTTTATAAGATATTTCTCAATATTTTTCATTCAAATTTTCAGTATTTACAGCCTTATTAATGTTTGTTACAATGAGATTTTTTCATGTGGATTATTGGCGAAGATAAAAAATGTCCCAAAATCTGCCAAAATAACCCCGTTTTACGGTAGCTGCGAAAGCCGAAACTACACGAGATTTGCTGTATTTATTTAACTCTTTATTGCACCATAAATAAAAATATACAATGACAAGTGAATAATTCAAATGAAATACAGTAACATAAATACAGATTGAAATATACACATAAAGGTACAAAAGGCGGTCTTATCGCTAGGGCAATCTCTTATAGACAACCTTTAGTTAAAGGAGAACAGATAGAAAAGGGCAGGTGGCGCAAGAGGGAATTAATAATTTTTGTGCATAAAATACAAAAACATGTAATGCACAAAAATATCAAATACATATAATTTATTAAACTACTTACTATAACAATATATATACATATATACACACACACACACACACATTATATATATATACATATACATACACACATATACATACATACAAAATACATAAACATACACATATAAATACATACGTAGCACACACAAGGAAATATGACAAATCTAGTCCAAAAATTACAAAGGAGTGGAAAAGAGTAACTACAGTGAAAGAAAATGTGATTTGACTTGTCGTTTAAACGAAGCCAAGGATTGAGCACTCCGTATAGACAGTGGCAGCGAGTTCCATAGGCGCACTGCCTGAACGGAAAAGGATTTGGTGTAGTACACGGAGGTATTTGCTGTAGTTGTTGTTACCGCCCAGCAGAGCAAATTAGGAAGACAAACTACTCGTTAAACTTACTCGTAAAAGACGACTAAGGCAATTTAATAGTCGAGGAGTATGTAGAAACGACGTCTTAAAACATCACCAAAAACTAACTTTGGTTGTCAACCCGCCTGCCAATTCTGGCAGTTACTGGTAAAACCATTATAGAGGAGGCCTATGTTCAGCAGTGGACAGTTAACATCTGATACAATGATTATTAATTTATTATTGGTTTTGTATTTTATCAATGGATCGCAAATGACTCTGTCGAAAAATATTGCACTTGACCCATTGCACAATTAGGAACCATTTGTACAACGTCATACCATTTTTGACAAACAATCACGCTGCATTTTTCATATTTTATAAGTAATGGGAATTAACGCGATCATTTAAGTAAACTATGTCATATTTACTTGAATTATCTCAACGTTTCGACAAGGTTACACCAGCTGTGATCTCGAGTAGATTAATATAGCGCTGCATGTCTCGAGTACCGAGGCAAAAAAAATGTTTTTCTACCCACTCATTGTCGCATATCATATTAATTGTGCCACTATACTGAAGGTTTCTGCATACGAAAGCAGAAACATGTTACATCAGTATATTCGTGACCACGGCCGCTGTGACCTAGTCGAAACGCTGAAATAATCCAGGTAAATTATCATAGTTTACCATTTAGGTAAACTATGATAATTTATGATCGCATTAATTCCCATTTCTTATAAAACATAATTTAACAATCGTTTGTGAATTGTGTGAACAGTGTTTACGCGGTATTTATTGTTATAAGAATTAAGTGGGTATGTAAGGTGAGTGACTCGTTGTCGTTGTAAAAATTATATGATATTTGCTGTCAAACATTAATATATTATTAATGCTGCGCCACTGTAGATCAATTTAAAGACTAAAATTACTATTAAGATTTAGTTCCGTCTTTTACCGCCAATTCGTAATTAGTGCTTTTTGTCGCAGGAAATAAATTATTATCCAGCAATTAAAAAGCAATATTTTTTTTATAATCGCAATTTGCAATAATTTGCAAACTGCTCGGTGTATATTGTTATAGAAAATAAGGAGATCATACTTCTTGATAATACACTCGGTGTTGATGAAAGAATAGATAACTATTTCTTTTAAAATATTATATATTCCTTTAATATATTATTAATATATTCTTTTAAATGTTTTAAACATATTATTTATTTATGGCAAGAAGAATTTTTCTAAGGCATTGCCATGTAGACGACACTGAAGTTACACAACCGCAAACAATGAATTTCACCGAGCGCGAACATTGTTTTGACAGCGAACATGGAATGTCTCCCTCAAAAACATAAATAAATGGCCACCGTTATTGTTACGTTTATCATAACCACAAGATTTTATGTTTGTAAAATGGATGCCGACTACGAAGAACGGCCGAGGTAATTCCGTGAATTTCTTTAAAGTATATACAGAAACTAAAAAGTATATATTGGCAATTTCGTTTTGCAAATCAAAACGGGGTCGTTGACAGACACTTTCGCGCCACTATATTTTTATATGCTTTTGCTGATCCCGCGTTTTTCAGTAATGTTATCAACAAGAGGACGCTATTTTCAGAAATCACGATATTTCCCAGCGAGAGAAACGGTGGAGCATGAATTCACAAAGGCTCGAGGAGATAGTAGCAGAGTTAATGAAACCCATCAGCGATGTCCGCCGCAGCTTCGATACGGACCTCAGCGCGGTAAGCATCTACTCGTATCTAACAAACTTCACCTGCTCTCATCTCAATCTTTGGGCCTTAAAACATTATTTTATCCACGTTAAACACGGAATGACCTTGATAATAGTTGGTTTTTATATAAGTGATGACAAAGTGATTGTAGCAAACAATACCTAGGTTCATAAGCACTATTTACATGCCATCTAATATAAGGTATTATTGTGTACTGTAATCCTTACCAATATTATAAATGTGAAAGTGAGTTTCTGTTATATCTTAGTGCCCTAACTGCTCTACTAGTCCTAGTGTGTATAGTAACTGCATACACATAATATTAAAGATGCAGAAGGACATAGGCTGTATTTTAACCTGGTCAGACAGTATATCCTAGTCATTTGGATGAAGTAAAAATTAATATACTATATACTGTTAGTATCTAGGAAAGATGTGTTGATGGATGAATTATTAATGTATGCAATTTTATATTCTAAAAATTTTTATACATAATGAAAGGCTACCGAAACTATACAAATATAGTTATTGTGGCCTTAACCATAAGCAAATATTTGACTTGCAGCATAGATAGTGAATTTGTTATCATATTAGTCTAATTTTAGTCCTATTTCACTAATAAGAATATGATATGAGATAGCTGTGGCAGTTCAACGTTATACTATGAGCACTTGTTAAAACAACTATACTTGAAAAGGTCATTGACTTGTACATAATATGATTTTAAGTCGTGAACTCTATTGCCGTCACAATAGAGTTCATGACTTATTTGGAAAGAATTGAAATAATAAAACTAATTTGCATATACATAGGTATTAGCAAAAGTGCACTTTTCAGTGTAATTTGATGAATAAACATTAAGCTAAGTAAACTTTATAGCCGCTAGCTGTAGGAATATGTGTAATCAATTCAATAAAAAAACTGGCTTTTATGGCGAACATAGTTATTCAAATTTGAAACCTAAAGTATTGAACTAATTTTGATTGATGACATTTCTGTAGGACCAATCTATTTGAAAGTGCACCCTTTTAAATAATAGACATTTTTTCCAAATTTGTTTATAAATGGTAAAAAAAGAAATTATGATGTAAAAAAACATATGCCTACTATGTATCTTTGAATAAGTAACATGTACTGTATTTTAATATTATTGTATTAATCACATTACACTGACTCTGTACTTGTACAAAAGTACATATACAATATCTGTATGTATTTTTCCCATTCTATTGTATCCTTACTTCTAAGAACTGTAAACTTTGCACGCTCATATAAATCTGTAACATGTGTAAATGTATATGTATCTTGGGTATGCTGCCTCAATGTGGTGCATTTAGAGACTATTAGTATATTCTTGTTAATATTATAAATGCTTTTATATTATATTAACTATTTTGAATTAAATGCAAATTCTATGTTTTGAATTTGTATAAACATTTTAGCTACACTCCAGTTACTCTTTAAATAAAAAGGCAATATTTCTTAGTCTATTTAAGTACAAACTTAAATATTAAATAAACTGCATATTTCTCAAAAGAGAATTTTTTTTCTTTTTAGAATTCTGTTACAAATTATGTTGTGTTTATTTTACAGCTTGATATTAATATACCATATTGCCTAATGTGTCTCAGTTAAGTTGACTTTCAATGGGATGATCCATCTATCACACATAAGTACTTTTCATAATATAAAAACCTCGGGCAGTGATTCTATTTCCAGAGGGAGACTTTGTACAAAAGTTATTTGCTGGGGCACCTCTGTCCTATTTGTGTTTCTACCATAGAGCAGATGTGTTTGCATGGCTGTGTTTCGGTTGGGGGGGGGGTATCATGGACGCTTTTACTTTCCATCAGGTGGGCCGTCAGCTTGTTTGCCATTCTAAAAATCTGCATAAAAAACAAAATAAAAAAAATCCTTTTCTCTAATAGTGCAGTGTTTATTTGTTTAAACTTTATTGAGTAATAAAACATCATTAATAAATTGTACTCTCTGCCTGTTAACCTTTCAAATGCTGAGCTTCTCAATAGCAGTTACATTATGTACTCTGTGTTCTTTATGTAGAAATAAGAGACTATTGTTGCATTCTGTATTATAAAAGAATTTAAGATTGTCTTCAAAAAAGAAAACAATTTTGGTAAAACCAGTTATTTTGATTTCTAAACTATTGAACGAATTTTGATAAAATTTCTATTTAACAATACTGCAAGTATATCCTTTCAAATAAAAAAAAGAATCTTCCAAAATGGTTTATGAATGATAGATGTTTGTAAAATATGCTGGTTCTTGTTATATATTTTTATTATTTATTAATTATATTATATTAATTGTAAATGAAATTACCGTTTGTTGGCTTGATGTATTGTATGTATTTTTGTTTCTATTTCAATTGTTTATAAATTTTCTTTTCTATAAAAAACTACAAATGTCATTGTATGTAAAAAGGTTAATTTTGAACAATAGAGTTATAATAATAATAATAATCTTTATTATGACAGGCTACAATGGCCTAATGTGTAACTAACATAATCTTAACCTAATGTTAGTACATCTTACAATAAAATATATAAATAAAAGAAAAAGAAATAATAAATAAATTTGATCACTGTTGAAGCATCCCACTTGAGATACCATAACAGTGACCAATGTAAGGGCAGTCCAGCTTGCTTGCAATCATATTCAGGATGCCATTGGTGCTGCCCCACAGCCCATGCATCAGTTATGAGGTAACAACCACATAGAAAATACTTCTGGATTGAGAAGCTTCTTATTTTTAAAGTCGGTTCAAAATATAAGAAGTGTTATTACAAGAACTTAATTATTGTTCGTTAATAGTATTTTTAGTCAATAGAATATTAGCAATCGAAAAAGAAAAATATATGAACAAGTACACATTTCTATAATATATTATTATCATATATAAATTCCTCTAATCTGTAATATGCCTGTTTACAAACAATGCGTATTATTCTAGATTTAAACCTTTTTTTTTCAGGCATATTCAAAACTCACAGTCGGCCAGGCCATAAAATCTTACAGAGTTTCCGAAGAAAGAATTACTAATCTTAGACGGCACTTGGGTTATATTACTTTATGATTATTGCATAAGCTTTTTTAATATAAAACTTTGTTTGTGACTTGTTATGGTAAAGATATCTTTATCATACTACATGTATATGATACTCTTAGTTGTTGGAGGAATACCTGACGGAGGCGGGCCTGCACGCGCTGGAGGCGGGAGAACACGACGACGAGCCCACTGAATCCGCCTGCGTCGTGCCCAACTTCGCAGAGCTGGCCCTGCTGTTGCAGCACTCCGCCAGTGTCTATGGACGGAAGGTCGACTTCCTCTACCAGCATGTACTCAATGTCAGCGATTCCCTACAAACTAGTACGCAGTGAGTGACGCCTACAGATACTGTTCACAATAGCTTCTCATACTTTACGTTGCTGCAAATGAATTCAGGTGCCAACGGTGGTCTCCTCGTGTCAAACACGAGCGTGAGTAGAAAATGAAAAAAAGTGTTTCTACATCAGAAATATTAACATATTTCGCTCGGTCTGCAGAGAAGCGACGGGAACGGCAACCGAGGAGGCGGCGACACCTAGCGGCAAGCGAAAGCGGCGGGCGTCGGTGACGGGCGGCGGCGGCGCGTTCGTGGCGCTGCCGCTGGAGGCGAGCGCGGCGGCGCGGCGCGAGCCCGGGCCGGCGCGGCCGCCGCCCACGCTGCCGCGCCTCTACGTGGAGCTGGAGCCGCGCCAGCTGGCCGCCGCCGACACGCCGCTGCGAGACTACGCGCGCGAGCCCATCGGCCTGCTCGCCGACTTCCACGTGGCCTGGCGCCTGCGCGCCGGCCGCCTCGTCGACGAGCTCGAGGACTGCGCCGCCGACGCACCCTCGCTGCGCCCCATCCCGCTCATGGAGCTGCAGGCCGCCATCGAGGCCGCCGCGCAGCCCTCGCCGCCGCCGCCGCCGCCGCTCTGCTCGACGCCGCTGTGCTGCAGCCCGTCGCCGCCACCTCTGCCGCCGCCTGCGTCCCCGCCTCCGTCGCCGCTCATGCCGTGCGCGCCGTCGCCGCCACCCGTCGCGGCGCACGACGTCGCCGAGTCCCCGCAGGTCGAACTAGCCGCGGTCTCGGTCAAGAGGGAGCGAAAAAGAAAGTGCGACCTGAAAATCGAAGATATCGGGTCGGTGAAGCTTTTCATTAATAAAGGTAGTATTCGCTCGTATATTTGTCTCGCTCGTCGACAATTTCCTCGGAGCGGTGTACTACATATATGTATTCGTGGTCCGCCGCAGAGGTGCGGCGGCGGCTGCGCGTCGTGCGCGAGTTCTCGCCGGAGCCCGCGCTGGTGGCGGCGGTGGTCGAGATGCGCAGGCGGCACGTGCTCGCGGTCCGGCGGCGGCTCGACATGCACGAGCCGCGGCCGCCCAGTCCAGGTGAGCGCCCCGCGGGCCGTCCGTTCGTTAGCGGTGCTCCCCTCTGCGACCTTACTAAGCTGACAAATCGTGCTTTCAGATTTCCATGGATTCGATTCCACATATATCGGCGGTGAGCGAGTCAGTAGAGTTGGATTAGTGCGGAGAGGCCGGGCGAGTGGTAATGAGAGTGGTGTGCGTGCAGGGTTCCCGGGCTGGGCGGCGGCGGAGGCGACGCAGGCCGAGGCGGCGGCGGCGGCGCGGCGCTCGTCGCTGCGGGCGGCCGAGCGCGACGACAGCGACGACGACGGCTTCTTCGAGCAGAGCTCGCTCGGCGAGTCCGACTCGTCGCGAGTCGACGACGCGCTGCCGGTGAGCTCGCTGCACCTTTAATATTGTTTTTTCATTTCTACACAAACTTACCATGGCGAGCAGCTCCACACCTCGGATCGCAATAGTACATTACTGCAGTGGCCAGCAACTGAGGTATTGATGGACAAACGTGCAAATGTGGGCCGAGGCGTAGCCGAGGCACACATATGTGAGTCCATCAATGCCAAGTTGTGGCCAAGGCTTATATAGTACTTTTCTCAAACAATGGGCGGAAATCAAAAACACAATTTTATTTTTTAAGTTCAATGACGAATAACGAACAATAATAATTTAATTTAATAGCTGCTGCCTGCATGTATTTGGCCAGTACGGCAATTTTGATTTATCTCGAAGAAGATTGTCAAAATAATGTTCACATTTTCAAGCATGTTTGAGAAAAAAAATATTATTTTAATTTTGCAAATCAGGAAAAAGGGATCGGTAGTGGTGAAGTGTAAAAGTGCTGTTGTTTTATCGAGCTGTATTCGGTTTCCGGTTGCCTCGTTTACCCCGCGGGCCGACCAGCTGCGTCCTAGGGGCGAGGCGGCGGCGCCGGACGAGGCGTGGCAGGCGGCGGTGGTGCGGCGCGCGGCGGCGGGCGAGGCGCGCGGCCTGGACGTGCGGCGGCTGGCGGCGCGGCTGCTGCGGCGGCTGGCGGCCGCGGACGGCGCCGCGCCCTTCACGCAGCTGCTGGCGGCCGCCGCCGCGGACCCGCACGACGTCTCCGGCCTCTTCCTCTCCGCGCTCTTCATGGTCAGTCTCCGCCTTGTCCTCGTCTGCTACATACCCGGGAACGATATTTGGCTCACCACTCCACCAAATGTAAAATGGTAGACGCCGCGTATCCATGTGAACCTGCCCTCCTCCACCCGCGATACTCCTCGTATGTTGCTGTTTCAAAGGGCAAAATGTTATGACTTCTCACTGTGTATCTTCCCTGCCGGGGTCCTATAAACCCTTCAAACTGAAACATATTCTTTTGAGCTAAACTGTTTAAGGGCAAAGACAAAGGCAACGACAAAATAGAGCAGATATATTAATAATTGTTTACAGAAACAAACAGCGAAATTATTGTGTTATAACACTAACCTAAGACAAATTTACAGAAATTAATTCTGTTGACTTTAAAAATACTGCTGGTTATATATTATATAATAAAAAAATTAAAAAAAATATTTTATAAACAACAATTACATTTTTATGACAATACTCTGCTCGTTTGCCAATACTAATTACTCAAAAAATCTTAGCTTTTTATATTTTTCCCTTTTTTTTAATATTTTCTCTCTTCTTGTGCATATCGATCTGTGTTTGTTATTGTTTATGTGCTGTGAATAGTACAAATAATATATCTGTCTATATATCAATCAATTCCAATTCATAATATATGAAAGTAATTATTACCTGACCTAATATTTAACGTTCCACAGCGAGGCATAAGTAAAATATTCACTTGCTATTATTACACTAAACATAATACTTGGTATAATGCTTCATTGCAATTTTTCCTTTTTTGCGCTAGTAGCATTAAAAGGTTGCGACTGCCAGGACTTTATTATTTTATGAAAGCTGAAAGTGCTACCAATTCCGGTAGCAAAGGCAGTCTGCTCTTGATCTATAGTATAGTGCACCTTTTTTGTTTTCTGCTTTTTGTCCACGTCACAACTAACCTGTAATATATACAAACACACAGCTATCATTTGCGTATAACAGTAACAGTATAATCATTACCATCCCCACCATCCACTTTGGAACATAGGCCTTCCCCATATACTGCCATAAGGAACAGATGTGAACTATTTGCATCCACTGACTCCCTGCAATGCATTTGAGGTCGTCACTTTATGTAATGGTGGCTCGTTATACACTGCGTTTGCCCATATGGGGTGGCCACTCAAGAACCTTTTTCCCCATCAGTTGTCGATTCTGATTACATATTTTACAATTTTTTTCTCTGTCTAAAACAAGAGAAAATAATTAGTATATATTTTCATTAAATTGTTACAATAAAACAGAGTATCGTTCATAAAAATAACATTAACCAGTGTCCACGACGCGGACAATAGAGGAGTGTGTAAAATGTGCTATAACGGTGGGTGGCGGCGGCAGGCGAACGCGGGCAACGTGGAGGTGGTGCCGGGCGCGCCGCTGTCGCTCAACTCGTTCTCGCTGCGGCTGCTGTCCACCGACGAGCGCCGCTACTGCGCCGCCGCCGCCGCCGACGGACACCTCGCGCCCGCGGCAACCGCAGCACCCGCAGCACCCGCAGCACCCGCGCCGCGGTGAGCCTGCTGCCCGCTGTTAGGACAATTCAACTGCCAGTGATGGACGGCCACGCGTTCAGCTGGCTGACGCTCCAGTGGAAACTATCTTGTTTCCATATTTCTTAAATACAAATTATTATTTAAAATATATTTGTAAATATAGATTGTAAGTTAAAAAAAAAAAGTATTCCTGTATATAGTAATTGAGTTAATGTGATTGACTACTTGTGTAGTAGGCATATTGGTGTCATGTTTGAGATGAAACGTTGGGGGGCGAGTGTTACGTACATTACTATCTAAGTAATGTAAAAGTTCATTGTTGGAAATCGTGTGAATATCAATGTCAAATGTGTTCGTTAGATGTCGGTAATCGTAGCCACCTCCGCCGCCACTGCCACCCACTTCCTGTCCCTTCGGCTTCCTTGAAACCGACCCCAGTGTTCAGTGTCATGTTTTAATATTTTTTAATTGTCATGAATGGATAGCTAGCAACCAGATACTTACCGTATTGTAAATTAATATTCTATGCATATATTTAAATACGCCACTGGGTGTAACCACGAAAAAGTTTAAGTTGAAAATATATTTAACATTTCTATACTACTATATAGATGTTGGAATGTAATCGACAGACAAGCGCGGATACACTGTAATCGCATCTAAAGGCCTATGACAGTGCAATGTTCTTCATAGAACACGGGCTGTTCTAGTTATTCTATTCTTCTGTTCTGTTGGCTGGATTGATCACACACTTGACCCATAATGACGTAATCACCAATTAGACCATGACACAGTGGTATTTAGGTATTGTCTATTTATCACACACCATAAAAGAAATTATGTAGAGACGTTTGAAAATTAATTTTGTACAGTGTAAATACAAACTCAAGATTATTCTTACAAAGACTCCTTTATTTCTGGACAATAACAGGACAGAGGAACATTGCTTTTTACCTGTTTAGATGAATCCTGACGACACCATACTGACAAGTGAATATATTTGTTGTTATGCCCGGTGGCTGCTTGTATATGAAAAATCAAATTTTAACAAATATTGAAAACCGTCCTATTGATAAACATAATATTGTACAATATGAAGTAAACTTAGTGTATTTTTGTAAAGATATAAACACATGTACATGGTTGTAAATAGTGTACAGTACAGATTATAATATACTTGACTACTCGAGAGCAAAGATATACAATAAAGGTTGTTGTAGTGCAATTTATATTTCTTATAAAGAATTGTGAACCGTGTCCGCACGGTGACATATGAATTGTGCGCAGTTGAAATATATAATGAACTCGCTATCTCTTCACCTAAGTTTTACGGAAACTTTAAATCATGTTATTACATATTATAGTCAAGAGTACAATGTCTTATATTCTTCTACAACAAATAGATGACAAGTGTCGAAATTTTATATTTTATAAATTTGCAATTTATGCTTTGTAATTACTAATACAAATTTATCTTGTCAGATCTATTTTGTTTTGTGTCACCAAATAATTTAATAGAGTGAAAATACATTTTATTTTCTCCATTTTATAGTGTATTGTTATTCTCCATAATTCTATTTTTTTTTAAAGATGATAAAGGAATGGTAGCCCCGCCTGCACCAACGGTATAGGCTGGCGGGGCATCAGTGAGTGTTTTTTTTTAATTGGTGAAGATGGAATGATAACCCCGCATGTGCTATCGATATACGCTCACGAGGCACCAGTGAAGGGTGACAGGTGAGAATGAAGGCAGGTCAGTTGACTCGTAGTAATTGAACAAGAATTAACCACTATGGTTTCCAGAAGGAACCGCGTGGATGTCGACCTAATTAGGTGTATTGCTAGCAATGGACCTGTTAAACCTCATTACTAACAATCCCTTCCCCCCAAGGCACCACTGAGTAATGATAGGTGAGAATGAAAAGGCAGGTTAGTTAGCCCATCATGATAAATACACCTGGAATTTATCGCAATGGTTTCCAAGGGGGGCCACGTGGAAGTCGACCTGACAGGTATATTGTTAGCAATCGAACTGGTAGTCCGCATCACTAACAATATAATACTAACTTATACACTAAAGTTAATTCTACAATAGAAGAGATAATAATATAATAAAATGGTTTTCTTTTTTTTTTGATGGGTGAAAATGTAGCTCCGCCTGCGCTAACGGGATACGCTGGCGGAGCACTAGTGAAAGGTGATAGATGAGAATGAAAACAGGCCAATTAGCCCATCATGATGAATTCATCAGGAATTAACCATGACAGTTTCCAGGGAAAACCGCGAGGAGGTCGACCTGGTTGAGTATATTGCTAGCAATGGGATTCTCAGTCTCCATTACTAACAATCCCTTTCCCCCTATTGAAATTGGTTGAAAATAAATGTGGCAACAAAGCTTGGCCAAACTTGCATAAAATTGCCCAAAATTTACTTTAAACATATTGACATCCGCCCTCTTTTCTGTTAATATCCAAAAATATTATAATTTTTAAATAAAGAAAAAAAAAACAAAATATAAAAAATTCACATATTTGCTAAGAATGTCGAAAATAATAAAAAAGTACATAATAAAACCTCAACCAACGATTGAAAGTATAATATTAAAGCGTACGTTAGTCCTTTACAAGTACCAAAATAATTTATGACGTTTCGGTATCCGGAAAAGGAATTAACTATAAAAAAAAAGTAGCTGGATAATGTGGAGCGTTTTGTATAGAATCCGGATGTCGCCGCTCAACTGTCATCTGACACATGTCAATTCAATATAATTCTTCAATCTAGGGTTGTTCTTAGATCTAGGATAGATAGCATCATGTATTTTTTTTTTATGGATGAGAATAGAATGGTAACAGGTAGCCAGTGAGGGATGGTAAGTGAGATGAAAAGGCAGATCCAATTAGCCCACCGTGAAAAATACACCAGGAATTCAGGACGATGATTTCCAGGAGGGACTACGTGGAGGTCGACTTGACAGGGTATAGTGCGACAGCATCATATTCTACCACAGACATAATAATGAAATATATTTTATGTCGTGTGTGTGTGTGTGTGTGTGTGTGTGTGTGTGTGTTTGTGTTTTCTACTCATATGCCCATTACTATTTGTGGTCGGCGTAATATGTTTTTCTCTTCTATTCGCAGTCATCGCCGCATTCACTCCCATTCTGGCCATATTATCTTTCACACAATCCATTCATATGTTTTTAAATGTTCCTCTGTTCTTAAAGCGATCCATATTCATAGTTAATATCTTTCTTAATACTCCTTGTATCTTCTAGGAATTAAGCAGCATTTATTACTAATATTATATATACTGCATAATTTATACAGATTAGAGAGACTTACAATTTGACATTGAGTACCATCGCCTGTGTAGTTGTAATGACTACAAAATTCTTATTAATTCATTATTATGTCAAAATTTATGCTTCTTAATCAAGGTTACGAAATGTTATATATATATATATATATATATATATATAATGGATCGGCCAGCCGCTGTTCCCACTCCCGCTGCAGGACCCGTCGAACCCATGTTCCGCAGTTCCCGACTTCCGCAGCGCAACTTCCAGGCTGGAAGGCTCGGCACCCTGACGCCTCCGCTCCGCACGCCACTCATAGACCGACGCACAGGTATTGGCCCCCAACTCCCAGGGCGGCGAGCCCGTCATCGCACATGCCGCCTCCGATAATTTTAGAGGTCTAGCGCGCGAGGCGTGTTAAATAAAACTTCAAAATTCTCACCACACCAGTATGGTATAGGTAGGTAAGTTTTAACTTCTAGGACATAGGTGTTTTGAAAAGTAACTCCTACGGGGGTAAAAATGGTACCCGATGCGAAGCGAGGGCGGGTCCACTATGCATAATATAGCAGAGAAACACTGATAATTTTAGAGGTTTCTAATGTGATGTTGTAAATTAACGCATTTTTTGCACTTAGCATTGCACCCGTGCGAAGCCGGGGCGGGTCGCTATAATCTACACTAATATTATAAAGAGGAAACATTAGTTTTTTTGTTTGTAACGAATAGGCTCCGAAACTACTGGACCGATTTCAAAAATTGGTTCACCAATCGATAGCTAATCACATCCTTTATGAGTTTTCCTTTATGATAGTTTCGCGAAAATACTGTTTTATAAATCATTATAAACTAAATTTGTAATAATTTTGATTTAAATTTATTAGAAATTTAATCGATATTGGTTCTAAGTATAAAGATTTCGCTGTGATATCAAATTGAAATTTTAATTTTAGAAATAGCACGTTAGATTAATTTTAGTAATAATGCCACAAAATCGACTCCATTGACTTTTAGAATCAAGTAGCAAAACAGAACTAATCCATAATAATAATTGTAGTTCCTATTCTACAGATAGCGCCAAGTTTTGCTCGTTAATTGTTTTTAGGTTGCCACATCGCAAACTGCTTTAGCGAGGTACTTAATAACCACTCGATACAATTAACTTAACGAGGTATTTATTACTATAGATATTATTCTAAATATGATGTATTGATAATTATTATAATCGAAAATTGTTTCCACCATAATATGTCGATACCGACTATGATATTCCATATATTCCTTGTGCCATAATATCGATTAGATAATCGATCACTAATGATATCAATTGCCAATTCCGTTCAAATGATTATCGAGCAACACTTGCTACACTAGTCGCCGGTTCGCATGTCGCATAATATAAATAATTTGATTAGTCATATTCACTGACTGTTCATATTTTTTCCTCGATTCCTCGTCGCCGGTTCTTTGTTTGTCAACGTTCAGTCCAACACCGTGTAGGTGTTGTTATATTGATGAGATACCTTTGATTTTTATGGTCTTTTAGTCCAGTTTGTGTACAATACGTAATAGTGGACAAATAATCTCAGGTATGTACGTGAATTAGCAATATTTACGCTTAATTATAGATTTTGAAACGTAGCCTGGTATAAATAACTATAATTATTAATTACAGTTGCCGGTGACTTGCGTGAAAATGGGGAAAATATTTATATTTTTCGTGGCACTTTCTGTCGTTTGCGTGTCCGGATTTGTTCGGTGAGTACTTTGATAGTGCTGTAATTACTCTTTTCATTTCTAGCATCAGTATCTTGAGATATTAAGTATTATTTTTGTATGATATTTACGTCATTAACACGATGAATATAATATCCCAGGTTCTGGGAAAGCAGGGGGAAATAGTGGATGATAAAAATGTTTAACATCAAAAAATAAAAATGTAACTCATTTGCTTCTAATATAAAAATAAAATGCATAAAGAGGTTTTACAACAGATTGTCTCTAATATTATTATAATTCCATAATAATATTACTGACTTTACCCACTCCATGTGGTGATGAAGTAGCAATGCAATCTATATTTCTGTAATCACTCTTTCAGTCCAGGATATACTAAGAATCCACGAAGGGAGCAATGTACCATGGTTAAAAATAGTTGTCTGTTCCCTTAGTTAGAGAAGGAAAACTGGAAATAAAACCCCACAACAGGCTATTTGCTGACCATCGTGGCAATAGTAGACTAATATTATCTTTTATGCCAATAGACTCATATCCTAGTAGTCCAATATTAGTAGGTTGGTGTGATGACATTAATTTTAACCTCCTGTAACAGTGGCCATTAGGTATATGATGCAGATTAAAGTATTAGAGAAGTAAAATCAACTATGGTATGTTCCTGCCGGGTAAGGAGTCAATATTACTCTGCATGCCTACCATCCTAAAATAAAATAGCATATGTTAGAAATATGAAAATGGGGGGCAATTAATAACAACAAATGTTTGATTGAAATGACAAATTTCTTATCTATAACTTGCTATAACCAGTGGACCACTATTTATTTTATTATTCTATATTTTATAATCCATTTTGATAATAGAAAAGAAATTTCATTTTTGTTTTTTTTTTTTGGGAAATAATATGTTTTTAATTTTATGTTAAATTTGTTATACTATTGTCTGTACAGCTCATGTGTAATTGGAAAGTACATGATATGTGTATGATGCAGGGTGCCGCTGTACCGCATGCAATCAGTGCGTGATCACCTGCGTGAGGTGGACACCGACCTCCATGTATACCGCATGAAGTATGCCGTCTCTGGGCCGGCCCCCGAGCCACTCTCCAACTATTTAGACGTATGTACTACTGCTAACTATCAAATAAAAGCATTGTTAATAATATAATATTGAATATTCTTACTTTAGTCATTTATCTTTTAGTTTTAAACTGAGTTTAAGAAGAGTGAGGTTGTAAATTTGACAAACTTGGTCAGTTGTAAACCGATTTGAAAAAATATTTTTTATCTGAAAGGATATATTTATAGACTAGTCCTATAGAAATTTTATGAAAATAGTTTAGATTTAGACCAAAATAACGAGTGTCATAATCAAAGTAGATTTTTTTTTATGGGACACAAACTGTAGCCATAACGTTTTGTTTCATGATAACAAATTAATTTAATCAGGAAAAATATATGACAATAAACCTTATTGGTTATGAAAATGATCCATGATATTTACAACAAAATTATATGGAAGATATAATATTTTTTTGTATATATAATATTTGGGCGATATGTACAAAACTAAATATGTTTTCTATTAGAGATCCTTTTCAAATTCCTGGTAAACTATAATATTGTCTATAATATGAAGAGGCTCGCTGATAACCTCGCATCAAATGTTGGCGTTATCAGTTGGTCATGCCATTTCTCAGTGGCTCCGTAGTGTCACAAGAGGTGTACTTGAGGTCCGTATCAAAAATATAACATTACACAATGATAAAGCAGCGCGCTACTAATTATAGTTATCATAAACTAGTTTTATTAAGTGTTTGTAAACAAGTCGAGTGTTATTCTCTTTAACTTCACACAGAACGTACCTTATGTACCTCTTTAACTGTACAATGTAATAATGTTGTGTTCTACAAAACAGTTTTTTTTATACAACTTAGAATGGCAAACAAGTTGATGGCCCACCTGATGGAAAGTGGTAACCGTCGCCTATAGACATGAGCAGTACCATGGACATAACAGAGTATACTGTTTCGCCCATGATACTTCTCATGCGTTGCCATTCCTGAGGACTCAGGTGTTATTCCTCTGTATCAATTTGAAAGCATTTCCTTTCAGATGAAAAAAACCAATTTCGTTTACAACTGACTATTGTTATGAAGTAACAAACATAAAAAAATAGAACCGAAACAAGAACCTTTCTGAAGTCGCTTGAAAAAAAAAACAATAGCATCCTTTTAAGGGAGTGTTCTGCCAATAAAACTATACACTTTTTTTCAAAGGAATGTACATTGAAATACCATGATAAATGTTGAGCTTCCATACCAACGCGGCATATTCAACTGTTAATATGACGAAACTCTTTCTCAACATGTTTTTTTTATAACACTTTCTAATATTTTACCTGTTCTGCTAATAAAGCCGTCTTTTTTTTAATGTATGATAATGTAATGGTAACCCCGCCCGCGCTATCGGTATACGCTGGCGGGGCACCAGTCTATCGTGATAAATTCCACTAGAATTAACCACAATGGTTTCCAGGGGAACTGCGTGGAGGTCGACCTGATAAGTAGATAGATAATTTATTTACATTACTTACAGCACACAAATTACAATAAAAAAACATATACATAATACACAGTAAAAGAGATAAAAGAATGAAAATAATAAAGCAACAAAACAAAAAAAAAAACAGGTGTATTGTTAGCAATAGGTCGGTTAGACTCCATTACTAACAATCCCTTTCCCCCTAATAAAGAGGACTAGGCTATACCTACATATATATAGCTTATAAATCCCGCAAAACAAATAATAGCCTTTATTTATTTTTGTTTATACAAGTGATACGTTTTGGTTGTTGACCTCTCGACCGCCTTGCTTTGTCGCAGTTGCTGTACTACTAACGCTTAAATCGACAACTGTGTCTTACTATGACTAGTAATGTTAATATATTGTAAACCGTTGGTAAACATTATGTCTTTATCTTACTACTGTATTAATAAAGTAAGCTTGTTACACAACTAGAAAGAAAAAAGCAAAAAGCAGACACTGATTCTATGTTAGACAAATCCTTGTGCAAGTAAAAAATAATTGTTCTATTAGATTTTGTTGCTGCAGCAAAACATTTGTCTTTTCTGGTATTTAAATTTCATCTTACATTTTAACCGATTTAAAAAAGAAAGATACATAGTTCGGTTGTATTTTTGTAAGTTGGTTACCTCATCACCCCATCATTTATAAACCAATTTAAAAACTAATTTTTATCTAAAAGAATATAACATTTTTACAGAGCGGTCGCATAGAAATTTTATCAAAATCGGTTCAGTAACTTAGTTTTTAAATCAAACAACTAAACTTTGCCACAAATAATTTTTTTTTTTGAACAGAATTTAAAATTATTTATAGTTAAATGTCCTGACTAGATTCGTACTAAGTGTACAATGGTTCATTTGTACTTACCACGTGATGCAGACTTTATTGTTGTGGTACAAAATACTTGTAGATAAGTACACGGGGCGATAAACGATTGTACATTATATGCTGTTACAGTCATTCTTGTAATTGTTTGTATCTAAGTTTACTATTGTAATCTTTTAGAGAAAATAATAGAGTATCTATCTATGTATATGCAGTTGTATAGTGCCCACAGTACAAGTTGTACCTAGTTTGCTACTAGAGGGCGCGATATACAGTTTGCAGGGTTGTATTAATTTATGCGTTGTGTGTGCGCAGGCGCAATACTTCGGGCCGATCTCGATCGGCAACCCGCCGCAGTCGTTCAAGGTGGTGTTCGACACGGGCTCGTCCAACCTGTGGGTGCCCTCCAAGAAGTGCCACTACACCAACATCGCCTGCCGTTAGTACCGCACCATACGCACCATACGCGTCATACGCGACATACGCACCATACTGTCATCGTCCTGTACACAGTGATTGCTGTTGTGAATCAGGACTTGGGTACAACTTCCGATTGGACACAATCCTGACTAGAGCTAGGATTTTTATGCAACTTAGAATGTCAAATAAGCTGACGGCCCACCTGATGGAAAGTGGTAACCGTCGCCTAAAGACATGAGCAGTACCATGGACATAACAGAGCATACTGTTTCGCCCATGATACCTCCCATGCTTTGCCATTCCTGAGGACTCAGGTGTTATTCCTCTGTACCCTGTAAGTTCACTGCCATATCCAACCCTTTAAACCGAAACACAGGCATACAAACACAACTGCTTCACGGTTGAAACACGAATGGGACAGAGGTACCCAAGCAAACGACTTTTATACAGTCTCTCTCTGGTAACTTAATGCATATATAACATTCCCCCTCAGGTTAACTTTGGCGTGTGCCTGTTTTGTTATGTCTAGATGCTGTTCATGAGCAATGCTTGTCATCAGGCTGTTGGCTTGTTGGACATGTAATGAATCAATAATTATATGTGCCTACTGTAAAATCAAGCTCGGAAGCGTGCCTCGGGAGAGGGCTCTGTCCTGCAGTGGACTGCAGCAGGCTGTGATGATGATGATGATGATGATGATGTATTTACTGCAATTTTTATAAGATTACTATCTTAGATTATATAGATAAAGTTTCGAGCCTCAAAAACGGGTCAATTTTTTGTCAGCTAATTGTCAAATTAGCTAAAATGTATCTTGGCATATTATCACTACATAGTATAAAACAAAGTCGCGGTCGCTGTCTGTCCGTCCCTATGGATGCTTAAATCTTTAAAACTACGCAACGGATTTTTAAGCAGTTTTTTTTTTTTTAAATAGATAAAGTGATTCAAGAGAAAGGTTTATATGTATAATACATGCATAATATTGCAGAGAAACATTGGTAAATTTAGAGGTTTCTATTGTGATGTCGTAAATAAACACATTTTTTTGCGTTTATAATGCGAACGCTGGCTGAACACCACGAGATAAATCAAAATAATGTACTACAGTATTGTACACCTTAAAAAGATCAACAAAAAAGTCCGCGATGGTACATGTCTATCTCTTAAGGGTTACAATAACCATTTTTTATCCTTTACATTTTACGAGAAAAAGTGGCTTATTTACGAAGTGATTTTAAGCAATACAACATTATTATTTTTCCAATTTAGTATCTTAATTACATTGTCCATTTAATATAGATCAATATGGCCCTTTACAGCATGAAATTTAAATGGATATTTCCGAAGTTATCACAGATTTAAACTGCAGGGACACAGCGGTGCGGCATTGCACCCCTGCGAAGCCGGGGCGGGTCGCTAGTTTAATAAAAAAAATAAGTATTCACGCATTAAAAAGATGCAATAATTATAAAACAAAATAAATATAGAATTTATAAAGGAATCACTCGTTTTATTACGCAAAAATGTATGAATATTTTGAGCCGTTTTTCTCGAAGCATTTCTATGGAGACTATATGGTATCTGTATGTAATATATCGTCATAGTCGTAGAATACTGACGGATGTTTATATGTAGTCTTCGTCAGATCCGTCAGTATTCTACGACTATGACGGTATGTGACACGTTGTACGCGGTGCGTGTGTGTTGCAGTGTTGCACAACAAGTACGACAGCAGCAAGTCGTCCACGTACCGCAAGAACGGCACCGAGTTCGCCATCCACTACGGCTCCGGCAGCCTCTCGGGCTTCCTCTCCACCGACGAAGTCACCGTGAGTACCGCGGCGCCCCCTGTCCGCACCACAACACTTGCACTTACACTACTAACATTGATACTTGAAGACACCACCCCGGCATACACAGACCATCAGTGTATGCCGGCTGAAGAAACCCAGTGACCCGGTGGTCGTCGCCTCCGGAGTAGAAGCCGGGGTAGTGGGGTACACCCCGAGGCCCGTACCTCGCCCGCCCACACATCATCCGGCGCACAAGAGATGTCCATGTTGTTTGTTTTGATACTCAGTGCGCAATGTGCAAACACCTTATGAATTACGCCACTCGTAGTAAAGTTTCAAATCCGTGCATATCAGTGTTTAAGACAACACTAGTAGGGGTTTTATACTAGTTTAATAGAAATATTCACGGTAAGGGGTAAAATAATTATTAATACGTGCACGCGCGCTGCGAGGATTCTCCGTACGCGTCGATTTTAGAAGTAAAATAAATCGATGAAGTAGACTATTTCTAAATGGCGTATTCATGCAAATTATACATTATTTTTTAAGTTACACCTTCAGAAATGCAACTATAAAAACCGCATCCAATTTGGTGTAGTAGTTTTGGCGTGATACCGAAACGAACATAAAATTTCCAAAAATTATTGATTTAGCTTGTATCGCTCTTATTACGGCCCCTCATATTAACTTTTTCAAATATCTTCCATGTACATAGTCTAGTGACAATTTTAATATATTAGTAAGAAAGAAAGAAAGAAAAATATTTATTTGGCGCATAATAACAACTACAAATTAAAACATGAACAATTATCAATTTAAAGAAAAATGAAGTACAAAATAAGCTTACACCTAATAAGAAATTATGCGACCAAAATGGTCACCACTCAGCTAAGTGTTTAGGCCTTCGTACATAATGCCTAAACGCTGATGTGTCGGCGCACCAGGTGGGCGGCGTCGCGGTGCGCGGGCAGACGTTCGCGGAGGCCATGTCGGAGCCGGGGCTCGCGTTCGTGGCCGCCAAGTTCGACGGCATCCTCGGCATGGCGTTCAGCAGGTATTCACCAGGTCCACTTTGCACGGCTACTCATTACGCTGGATCACTATGTTGTCTCAATCATTAGCTATTTGTCTTTTTTTTTATACAACTTAGAATGGCAAACAAGCTGACGGCCCACCTGATGGAAAGTGGTAACCGTCGCCTATAGACATGAGCACTACCATGGACATAACAGAGTATACTGTTTCGCCCATGATACCCCCCATGCGTTGCCATTCCTGAGGACTCAGGTGTTATTCCTCTGTACCCTGTAAATTCACTGCCATATTCCACCTTTCAAACCGAAACACAACTGCTTCACAGTAGAAACACGAATGGGACAGAGGTGCAAGCAAACAACTTTTGTACAAAGTTTCCCTCTGGCATAATAAATGAAATATATTTTTCTTTCTTCATAAAACGTCAAAGTTCTATAAATCCGTTTAAGCTATTGAACTGTTTTGTTTCTTTTTTCTCGTGGCAAATTACTAATTTAAACAAACAAGTGACAAAACAATGTAATAGTTATATAAAATAGGTTTGTAGCTATGAATTATTTTAATTTGTTATTCATTATCAGTTGTATAGAGAGCGGCGCCGTCACCACCATGTCGGTGGTGACGACGCCGCTCTCGACTGTGACAGTGTGAATGTGTGGTAACTAACGTGCGCGTATTGTGTGGACAGCATCTCGGTGGACGGCGTGCCGCCCGTGTTCGACAACATGGTCGCGCAGGGACTCGTCAAGCCCGTGTTCTCCTTCTACCTTAACAGGTACGCGACACACCGCAACTGATAACGCCACTCGTATGGAGTGATCCATGCTGGTGCGGTACCAGCTAGCAAGTGGGGGACAGGGATTGTTAGCAATGGAGTTTGACAGCCCCATTGCTATCAATATACTCAGGTCGACCTCCACGCGGTTCCCCCTGGAAACCATCGTGACTAAATTATCGTTGAATTCGTCACGATGGGCTAACTGACCTGCTTCATCCGCACCTACCATCCTTCACTGGTGCCCCGGTTACTAACAATCCTGTCCTGTTTATTTATTTAAAACTAGCTAATGTCCCCGACTTAGCTGTTGTCCGCGTGGTATTTGTTATTCCTTTTTAGTATGTATCGATGTATGTATCTACCTATTTATTATGTCTGGCAATACTGGACCAAAATTAACAAATCGACGTGTCGTTCTCACTCTTTGCCTTAGGTCACGATTACTTAAGCAGGTTTTGAACTAAGTTGTATAAGTTACTATAGTTTTTTTAATATCCCACGGGAACTCTTTAATTTTCCCCGATTAAAAGTATCTAAAATATGAACCGGGGGTGTAAGGTACCACCATGCAAAATTTCATTTAAATCGATTCAACAGTTTCGAAAATTAGTCCATATAAACGGACAAACAGACAGAAACAAAAAAAAAAATTAAAAAAATCTGTGTGTTCTATTTCGTTTCTAACATTCCTCCGACTCGGGTTTTAGCATTTTAGTTTTTTCTATGTACAGACATTTGACCTGTATAGTTATATTATATGTATAGCTACGTAGATTGGAGGATATGTGTGGTGTATACAGGGACCCGCAGGCGGCCCAGGGCGGCGAGATCATCCTGGGCGGCTCGGACCCGGCGCACTACCGCGGCAACTTCACCTACGTGCCCGTGCACAAGCCCACCTACTGGCAGTTCGCCATGGACCGCGTCCAGGTCAAGGGCGCCACGCTCTGCGCCAAGGTACGTGCAGCGCGATACCTAAGGTTTTTCCAAATAACTATAGCATAGGGTTCTTCAAAAGGGGGTAAAGAGATTTCTTCAGGGTCGGCAACGCGCACTTAATACCCCTGGTATTGCACGCGTTCATAGGCTACGGTAACCGCTTACCATCAGGTGGGCCGTATGCTTATTTGCCATCTCAGTGGTGTAAAAAAAACCACGTGTGGTGCACTCCCTTCAGTTCTGTATCCAGACGAGTTTAATGGCACGTTGAAGCGTCTTCTATTCTTTATATATATATATTCAAGGTATACTGTCATGTACAGTAAGTATAATTTAGAATCAAACATATGCATTCAAAGATTGATGTCCGAAGTACCATTGTTTGAACGATCCGCCTGATCGTAAATGGCGACTACAGTCCATGAACACTATCAGGAGTTGGTGGCCCGCATCAAATTAGAACAAGCACAAATAGATCAGTCGGAGGTGCAGCTACCATGCAGATTTTTTTTTTTATACAACTTAGAATGGCAAACAAGCTGACGGCCCATCTGATGAAAAGTGGTAACCGTCGCCTATAGACATGAGTATACTGTTTCGCCCATGATACCCCCCATGCGTTGCCATTCCTGAGCACTCCGGTGTTATTCCTCTGTACCCTGTAATTCACGCCATATCCCACCCTTCAAACCGAAACACAACCATGCAGACAACTGCTTTACGGTTGAAACACGAATGGGACAGAGGTGCCCAAGCAATCGACTTGTGTACAAAGTTTTCCTCTGGTAAATAAGAGAAAGCAGATAAGAGTATGGTAAAAAAACACTAATAGCTTCTTAATTATTTATTAAGAAGCTATTAGTGCTGATTACTTGTAGGCTTTAGAGCAGTAAAACTGTAATAAGTTTACACAAAATCTTTACTGTTTACTCTACTAAAGGTAATATTTGTTGAGTATACTCATATCATTGTAGAGGCGTCCACCTTTAGAAATCAGTAAGGAACACAGTGGTAGTTTCGCGAGATTCCCCTACTCTTCGCAGAAGGTAATGCTACGTTGTACGCCGTGGTTTAGTGACCTATCTACCTATATCTACGGTGACAGTTGCCATTTCCACTAAATAGATAAGGTCGAGTATCATTGCCAGTAGTAGAGAGTGAACTGTCCGCGCAGGGCTGCGAGGCGATCGCCGACACGGGCACGTCGCTGGTGGCGGGCCCGGTGTCCGAGATCGCGGCGCTGAACAAGGCCATCGGCGCGACGCCGCTGGCGTTCGGCCAGTTCGCCGTCGACTGCACGCTCATCCCGCGGCTGCCGCCCGTCGCCTTCACCATCGCCGGCAACACCTTCACGCTCACCGGCGCCGACTACGTGCTGCGCGTGAGTACTCGGGGCGCTGGCCGCGGGTTCGACCCCCGCTTCATACTAACATTTGTATTCATGAGGGTGCCCGTTTTTATGTATAAAACATAATGTACAAAAAATATATTTAAGTATGTCTGTCAGTTGTAGTCGCACAAAAATAGAATGATACAAATCATATTGCATCTACTATTCTTGTGGGACATAGACAGGCAGACAGAAACCTTCATTTTTCGTGGAATATCCATGTAGAATTGCAGATTTTTTTTTTCAAAATATAATTATGATATTAGAACTTTATTTGGATGAATGGTGTAGGAGCCAACTGAGCTGTCCGGCCGACGTGACAGTAATAGGCTAAAATCTAACCGACTAGTGGGAGGGATAAACTCGAAAAGTACTTAACCGATTTTAAAAATTCTTTCATCTATAGAAAGCTAGATTTGTATGAGGGAGTGACGTGGACTGTATCTTTGTAACCTGTAACATTTTGTCTCCTTGTAACATTTCCGTGGACGTGACATGTGATCAGTAGCATGTGTGTATGTGTCTGTGTGTGCGTGCGCGCAGGTGTCGCAGTTCGGCAAGACGGTGTGCCTGTCCGGGTTCATGGGGCTGGACGTGCCGCCGCCCAACGGCCCGCTGTGGATCCTCGGCGACGTGTTCATCGGCAAGTACTACACGGAGTTCGACGTCGCCAACAGGCGCGTCGGCTTCGCGCCCGCCGTCTGAACGCCGCCGCACGCTCGTATCCGTTAACCATACACCGTTTACATATATGTATAGTGAGCAGATTGAATTTAATAATGTAATTCTATAAATATATATGTATATATATATAAAACATTGCTGTGAATTTTAGACTCTTCCAGTCATTTTGTCTCTCGAGTCTTAGGCTTAGCGCTAGCTAAGTGCTAACTTTCGATGTCTACGAATGTTCTATGTCTTTAGGAAGTCTGTATTAACTCGTCTCAAAACTAGCTAAGAAGCTTGGCAAGTAGTTTCGTAGACCGAACAACTGCGTCAGCTGATTATGTTAAAAATAGTGAAGCCAAAGAAATATAATTTGTGAGGCTCGTGAATGTGATCACTGTATTTACTGTCGCTAGTTAGTTAGTTAGTTAGTATACATTTATGTCGATCACTATAGCGCTGTTTAGATGTTTTGACCTGACCTCACTAGCTGTTAGCACGCGACCAGAGTGTCAGTGTGTCCGCTCGCCGACTGATACAAGCATGAAATCATTGTAACAAATACTATTTTATTCTAGAAAACACTGTTTTATTACATCATCATGACAATATTTCATTAATTGTAGGTGTTTACTCTATTTATATTAGCATTTACATTAGTTGGTTTCTCAATAAAAATATAAAGTGTAACATCGCATCCAATATATACAAGATGCGTACATGAACATGTACATGTCCATCGAGCCACGACCAGAACAACTTGTAAACAGTCGTTGCAGTAGTCGTGTTGTATTGCAGGCTCTAATGTAAATGTAATAAATATAATATTACAGTTTGTTTAATGGAAATAAAATATATATTTTTTTTTTTTAATTCAAATGTTTTTTCATTTTCATCATCCTGCTTACTCTGTACTAATGTAATCCCAACTGAGCTCCGTATGACATAGACGCGCTTACCCTATGTGTTTCTTCCACCTTCGCGATATTATTTCATTATGTAACCAAACGATCCAAGACCAGACTAAGGGTTGTGCTTGGTTAATTTGGTTCAATAAGTTGTACGCTGGTGGCGCCCCACGCGGCTCGTTTGCATCTCAACTTTGATGCAAACATAATTCTATCTATACAAATATCTTATGTTCCTATTATTGGCTTCATTGGCCATACATACATTCACTATTATATATGAAACATCAAAACGCCCGGCCGGAGCCTGTCGGGGAATAAAATCAAAGTATTCATTGTATATAATGAAATTTAGTTATTTAAACTTATAATTTAATAAATTGATTTAAATAAAACGTTTAAAGTGAAATACATTGTTCATACATAAATTATAATTACAGTGATGTGACAATAAATCATCTGACATGTAGTACGTGGGAGCGGTACACTCGCCACTCGCCAGTCGCCACTCGCCACTCGCCACTCGCTTACTCTAACACTACACAACTACACTACGTATTATACATTACGTTCGCGTCTCCTAAATTGTTCCGTTTGTGTTTTTTCCTGAACTTTTTAACATACGCTTCCACTAGTGCTTGAATCTTCGTCGGGTTGATCTCGCCCGACTTGTTGTGACAGATCTGAAATTGAAGTACGGCGGTCAAGACGGGGGATAAACATTTATAATCAGGTTGATCGACAGATAGGTGGAGACTATTGAGGTCACTATATTTTCCATTCCAAGCGCGTTGTAAGAAAAGGTTGTAAAACAAGTGAAAATTAGTGGAAAGAAACCATGTCTGGCGCCGCTCGGCCGCAGCGGTAATAATGTAATTCTAATAGATTTATTGCAACACAATTTTTATTTCGTTATTAATTTCATGACAATTTCAACAAAACTTGGTTTCCTTGTTAAGTTCTCTTTAAACAATCTATGACTATAACAGCTAATGGGGTAGTCGGGTGAAGCTGACGGCCCACCTGATGGAAAGTGGTAACCGTCGCCTATAGACATGAGCAGTACCATAGACATAACAGAGTATACTGTTTCGCCCATGATACCCCCCATGCATTGCCATTCCTGAGGACTCAGGTGTTATTCCTCTGTACCCGATAAATTCACACCATATCCCACCCTTCAAACCGAAACACAGCCATGCCAACACAACTGTTTCACGGTTGAAACACGAATGGGACAGAGGTACCCAAGCTATCGACTTTTGTACAAAGTCTCCCTCTGGACAATAATTTGGTTTATTATCAAAGTTCCTATTATTGGAAATTTAAATGATACGATATTTGGTGTCGGTCAGATTCGAACTGACGCTTTTGCAGTCTATAAGGTAAGGTAATAATACCACTAGGCCACGATGCGCTCAATGTATGTAAAGATTAGAACGCGGCGCTGGTGGCAGGGATACACACCTTGGGCACGGCGCGGCGCAGTATCTCCTTGTACTCCTCCTTGGTGACGTGCTTCTTGTTGTAGTGCGGCTTCAACACCAGCTTCACCTCCTCCACCACGCGCTCCTGCCGGTTCAGCTTCTTCAGGAACTGGAACATGAGGCGCAAACACATGAGTCCTCAGGAATGGCAACGCATGGGGGGTATCATGGACGAAACAGTATACTCTGTTATGTCCATGGTAGTGCTCATGTGTATAGGCGACGGTTACCACTTTCCATCAGGTGGGCCGACAGCCAGTTTAACATTCTAAGTTGTATAAAAAAAGAGGATTTTTGTTACAGTAAAGATACGCGTTTAATTAAAAGAAAATTTAAGTGAATTTTGTTGAATTTTAATTACTTTCTAAAATATTATTTAATGAAAATTTAATTGACCTGTTAATGAAATTATAAATAAAATAGAAAAAGTTGATTTTTACTCAATTATTCTCTGACCTTTCATTACCTATCCACAGCCCCGGGATAGTCTGTAGACATCCCGTACTCCCGGAATTGAAAAACAGGCCCAGGACCGAATTCCCTATCTACGACACACCCTTACGACTCCGAAAGAGTAGTAAACTAATTCACTAAAATTAAATATCTTTTCTCAAACATGCTTGAAAATGTGAGCATTATATTGACAATCTTCTTCGAGATAAATCAAATTTGCCGTACTGGCCAGATACATGCGGGCAGTGGCCGGCAAAAGTTGTATGAAAATCCATATCTGTCGTGTTTTGCGGCCAGATAAATTACTATGTAAACTCATATCTGTCCTGTAATTTAAAAATGGAATGACCTTCTACTTCGAAACATGGCTACCAAGGAGAGAGAAAAAACAAAGGAACATTATGGCGCGTGAAAAATTATTATTGTTCGTTATTCGTCATTGAACTTAAAAAAAAAAATTTTGATTTCCGCGACTTGTTTGAAAAAAGTACTATACAAGCCTTGGCCACAACTAGGCATTGATGGACTCACGTATGTGTGCCTCGGCTACGCCTCGACCCACATTTACACATTCGTCCATCAATGCCTTAGCAGGCCGCTGCAGAAATGTGTTATAACAATATGAATAATAATAGTTATCCAGTGCCCACCCCAGGATACGAGCGAAGCTTTTATGTGCTAAGATATAAACATGTCTAAGAGTACAAAATGTGCCTTTTATCAGGAGCCACGCCCCTCCTGGAATAGTAATCTTGAATACGCGCATGCGTACGTTACTCAATCACACTTCAATTATTTAATTAATAAAGCTATATCCTAACTTAACACGTATAGTACTTCATATATTGACGTACGCGACTAAAGCCGCGGGAAACAACTACTAACTAATATTGCTCAGATATACGCTGTAAAGTCAGCTATAATGTATCACTTTTATTTCCAATAAATCTACTGATGCTGCGTGTAAGTGAATATTATTCGGTCTCACCTTGCTCTTGACTTGCATCTCGACAGCGGAGCTCGGCAGGTCGTCTAATATCTTCAGGTTGTCCTCGTCTATTTTGACTCCCACTTGCGTTTTACCTGCGAACCGAAGCGACAATCAGCGTGTGCGTGCTGCCTGTACTCATCATGGGGGTACGTGATCACTATTGCCGCACCGAAAAGTGATAGTCAAAACGATACTGCTCCATAAAGAGAATCGGAACTAAGTACGGATACAGTATGGCAAAGGTCACTACACGGGGCGGCGGGCCGGGTTACCTTTCTTCCTGTTCAGCTTGACGGGCACCTTGGCGGCGGCGTGTGGCGGCGCGCGGTGGCGGCGGCGCGGCGCGGCGCCGAACAGCGCATCGAAGGCGTCGCGGCGCGGCGCCGGCGGCTCGAACAAGTCGCCGAAGTCGCTAGAGCCCGGCGAGTACGGCGACTCCGCCTCCGCCTCCGCCTCGCCAGCCTCGCGGCCGCGCCGCGCCGGTAGCGGAAGCCTCGATATCTTCGTCGCCTGCATCGGCTTGATCGGGTCTGACTTAATCGGCGACGGCTTCGCGAGGAACAGCTTCGGCGGCTGCGGCCGCGTCGGCTCCGGCAGGACGATGCGCACCGGCGGCGCCGCAGACACCGGCGCCACGGACGCGGCCGGCGGCGCGGCCGCCTCGCCCGGGCCGGCGGCCGGCGGCGCAGCGCCGCTCGAGGCCGGCGCGGGCGTCGCCGGCGGCGGGGACGGCGCGGGCGGTGCCGGCAGGTCACCGGGCGGCGGCTCGGGCGACACGTCGCGCGTCGACTGTAGTAGCGCCATCACCTTTGAACACCAGATTTCGTTAGATTTCAGAAACTAAAAGATTTTATATCTTATAAAGATATAAAATCTCTTATTTTGAATTATCTTAAAGGATAATTCAAAATAATCATCAATCATTTCAGCCAACAGTTGTCCTACTAAACATAGATATAGAGTTATAGTTATGCTAAATTGACAATTATTAAACTTCTTAATAAACAATTTGCTCACTGTACTGCACGCACGCACACAGAAATGACTGCACAGTAGACATCTCCCATACACTACCTGTGTATGGGAGTGAGTCACCTACAACCACTGATGCAATGCACTTGTGGTGGTTGTTCAATCACATAAATAATGGCCCTGCATTTTCTGTATGAGCTTGTCTTTCGTGAATCCAGTTTCTTGATCAGTTGTCAATTTTCGAGCTATCACCATATCGGCCGTTAACAGATCAGTGCTGAACGTAGGCCTTCCCGATAAGGGGAGTGTTGCACCCGCAGTTTGATCATATTTTAGGAGGTATGAAAACATTTTAAAAGCATACGATTCACTAAAATTCAATACACAGTATATAATGATAGGAGATTTCAACGCTAAACTCAGCAAAAGGAAAACAGATGCGCTGAAAGTTTGGAATAGAACAACAAGGGCATCAGTTGTTCGATTTCATAGAGGAGGAATTCTTTGTAAAGCAGTATTTCCAGCAGCACTTCCATAGAAAATAAACTTGAATTAGCCTCGACGAGTACACGGACAATGTGATAAATGACGATATCGTCAGGACAACTAATCGCCAATTGTTCAAGGTTGGCGCGAACGACCGGTTTCGAACAGCTGTGATATGGTAACGTGACGTATGACACGTTCCAACAACATGGCAGAATGTATGAAATAACTTCCTAATATTATATCGCATATTAGCATATATACATAGAAAAATGTGCTGGAGTCTGGAGCTGAGAGATTGCGAGTATCTCGCAATCTCTCAGAAACTATTGCGAATATCTCGCAATCTCTCAGAAACTATTGCGAATATCTCGCAATCTCTCAGAAGCTATTGCGAATATCTCGCAATCTCTCAGAAGCTATTGCGAATATCTCGCAATCTCTCAGAAGCTATTGCGAGTATCTCGCAATCTCTCAGAAGCTATTGCGAATATCTCGCAATCTCTCAGAAGCTATTGCGAATATCTCGCAATCTCTCAGAAGCTATTGCGAGTATCTCGCAATCTCTCAGAAGCTATTGCGAATATCTCGCAATCTCTCAGAAGCTATTGCGAATATCTCGCAATCTCTCAGAAGCTATTGCGAATATCTTGCAATCTCTCAGAAGCTATTGCGAGTATCTCGCAATCTCTCAGAAGCTATTGCGAGTATCTCGCAATCTCTCAGAAGCTATTGCGAATATCTCGTAATCTCTCAGAAGCTATTGCGAATATCTCGCAATCTCTCAGAAGCTATTGCGAATATCTCGCAATCTCTCAGAAGCTATTGCGAGTATCTCGCAATCTCTCAGAAGCTATTGCGAGTATCTCGCAATCTCTCAGAAGCTATTGCGAATATCTCGCAATCTCTCAGAAGCTATTGCGAATATCTCGCAATCTCACAGAAGCTATTGCAAGTATCTCGCAATCTCTCAGTAGCTATTGCGAATATCTCGCAATCTCTCAGAAGCTATTGCGAATATCTCGCAATCTCTCAGAAGCTATTGCGAGTATCTCGCAATCTCTCAGAAGCTATTTAATTTCATCATCCAAAATGATGTAACGCCAGAGAAGTGAAACACTGTGGTTCTATTTTTCAAAAAGGGTGACAATACCCTGCTGAAGTACTATCGGTCTATAGAACGATATGTCTTTTGAACCGCATAAACGTATTGTTTACTCGAGGACATCAATGCCATGCTCCTCCATCACCTCGAGTGTTCTCAGCACGCAGGTTTTAAGATAAACATTAAGAAGATTAAAATTATGTATAATATGATACGAGTACCTAAAACGTTACGGTCGAGAACCCTCGGTGAGTACTGCAATGATCCGGAACAACTCAGACTGAATGAGTCTAATTTTGACCGAGTCAGGGTACAATTTGGCTCGGCAGCGGCCGAATAACTGCAGCAATCTGCTCAATTAGAACAACACGAAGCTCGAAGTCTAAGATGTTTAGCCGATGCGGGTCATCAGCAAATTCTGGTAAAACCAGTGCTTCAACTGCTTCAACGAAATAAAAAGATCAGACTCACTTATTTGTTTTCATTAGGTAGTCAAAATTACCTTCTCGATAGGAGAGAGCGGGCGGCGGTCGATGACTTCGTCGGCGGACATGTTGGTCTTCTGGGCCGCCTCGAGCGTCATGGTGGTGCGGACGGGGCTGTCGGCGGCGTGCGGCGCGGCCGGCGCGGCCGGCGCCGGCGAGCCGCGCGGCGACGCGGACGCCGAGCGCGTGGGCTCGAACGGGTCGTAGGCGTCCGGCGAGCTGGGCGGCTCGGGCGGCGTGTTGGGCCCGCGGGGGTCGGCCGCCGCCTCCGCCGCGCCCGCCGCCGCCTCGCCCGCGCCAGCGCCCGGCTCCGGCGGCGTCTTGGGGCCCGCCGCCGGCTCGGCCGCGGCCGGCGCCGGCGCCGGCGCCGCCTCCTTCTCGCCGTGCTCGCTGTCGCTGAGCACGATCACGTTCCGCGGCGACGGCGTCAGTTCGCGGAACGGCGAGCGCTCGAGGTCGATGATAGCGACCGGGCGCGCCGTGTCCGGCTCGGGCTCGGCGCGCCGCTTGCGGCGGCGGCGGCGCTCGCGGCGGCGCTCCCGGCGCTCGCGGCGCTCCGCCTCGCCCTCGTCGCGGTCGCGCTCCTGCTCCTTGAAGCTGACGCTGACGAGGATGTTGTCTCCGGACGTGAACACCTCCTTCGAGGCGCCGGCGAGGTCGCGCGCGCGGCGGTGGCGCGGCCGCTCCGAGTCGCGGCGGTGGCGCGGCGTGCACGGCGACAGCTCGGGCGGCGGCAGCGCGGCCCGCGGCGCCGGCGGCGCGGCGGCGCGCGGCCGGCGGGGCGGCGACGCGTCCGGCGGCGGCGTCCGCGGCGACAGCAGACGCGAGTCCACCGAGCCGGGCGACCAGGCGGCGGCCGGCGCGGGCGGCGCGGCCGGCGCGGCGGGCGACCGGCGGCCGCGCCGCCTCCGCGGGGACTTGCGGCGGCGCGACGCGGCCCTCTCGGAGCGCGTTCGCCGCCGTCGCTTACCGGACTTAGGCTTCGGAGTGGGCGACGGGGACGCGGACCGTCGTCGCTTACGGCCGCGCGAGGCGGAGCGGCGGCGGCGCGGCGAGGGGCGCGGGGAGGGCCGCGGCGAGGGCCGGCGGCGGCGGCGCGGCGGCGAGCGGCGCCGCGGGCTGGCCGAGGCGAGGCGCGGCGGCGTGGCCGAGCGCGGCGTGAGCGACAGGCGCGGCCGCGAGTGCGAGCGGCGCGGCGACGGCGAGCGGCGCAGGCGCGGCGACGGCGAGCGGCGCGGCCGCGGCGACGGCGAACGTCGGAAGCGGGGCGACGGCGAGCGGCGCAGCCTCGGGGAGGGCGAGCGGCGCGGGCGCGGGGACGGCGGCGAGCGCAGGCCGGGCGGCGAGCGCGAGCGCGAACGCGAGCGCGAGCGGGAGAGCGAGGGCGAAGGCGAGCGAGAGCGCGGCCCGGGCGACACGTCGCGCCCGAAAGGATCCTTCAGCTTCCTCCTCTTCTCGGAGACGACGGTGCGCACGTCGTACCTCTCGAGATCCTTCCGCTTTTCTTTTCGCTTCTGTTTCTGCCTCTCCTTCTCGGTCGCGTCGGCGGATCCGCGTCGCTCCTTTTTTCCCTTGTTGCGCTCCTCCTTGTCCCTCTCCCTGTAGTTCCGCTCCTTCCCGCTCTTGCTGAGTTTCTTGAACGCGACTTCGCTCTTTTTATTCTTATTTTTGCTCTTCTCCTTTCCCTCCTTCTTGGATTCTTTCTTCTTTTTTTTCTTTCCCTCGTCCCGGTCGTCGCTTTTGGTCTCTTTCTTTTTATCGACTATCTCCCCCTCCTCGCCGTCGATCGCCGGGGTCGCCTTGGGAGGCGAGGACCGCGAGCGGTCCGATGGCGCTTTCTCATTATCGGAGAACATTTCGTTGCCCTCGTCCTCCGATATCATTTCTGTGTCGAGACCCTCGATACCTTTTTCTTTTTCTGTCTCTAATGAGGTATCCTTCGACTTGTTCTCATCGAGGCAGGGGGTGTAGCTTCGCTCGTCCTCGGTTTCACTTATAGACTCAGTCATTTTTTCTAAACCTTCTTCATTTCGTTCTACCGAATCTTTTTTCAGTGACTCAGAATTCATATGTAAATCTTTATCTGTAATTTCGTCATTATCCATATCTGAATGAACTTCATTTTCTGACTTCTCATCATACTCCGACATCTCTACATTATTTTGTTCCTCTGCCTCCTTAGTTTCTGTATTAGCAGTATTCATTGTTTTGGTTTCACTAGTATCATCTTCTGTTAAATTATCATCTCGCTTTGGTGATGCTTTTGCTCTATCATTTTCATCTAGAATCTCACTTTCTTCTGCCTCTGAAGGTTCTTTAATTATGTCAGCAGTAGTTAATTCAGTTGTAATATTTTTGTCAACTGATGGAGCCCTTTCTATTTCCTTGTTTGCGTTTTCATTATCCAGTACTTTCTCAGGACTTTGTTTATTAGACACAAAGTTTTCTTCCTCTAGTGGCTCAGTTTGTTCAATTTTTCTTTCTTCTGTATTTAATGTCGCCTCGTCTTCACTTTTATCTTCCTCCTCTTCATCATATAAGCTTATTTGCCGCTTAATTAAAGAAGGAGTATTAAGTTTTATTTTAATAGGATTACGAGTATTAGTTGTAATAGGACACCTTTTAGAAACCTTTTCTTTGTACTCTTCTTCAGATTTCTTTTTAATACTAAACTCATTGTGAGATTGCTTACTCGAAATTACAGTAGTCGAAATAGGTTTCTCAGTATCTTCAGAAGAATTATAGACTGGAGCAATGTGAGTTGCTGATGTGGTTTCCGGCACGTCGTCATCTTCTTGGACAAGATCTTCGAGTTCATCACGAAGCGGTTGGCTAGGTGCTTCCAAGGATAGGATATTAGAGGTATTAGCTATATGGACACTAGTGGCTGAATATATAGAAAAATTTGGACAATCTCCATCCGATTCGTCATCGCTCCTATCGTCGTGTAAATTTGCACCAGATGGCCCAATTAAATTTATATGTTCTTTGAGTACCTCTTTCACTGCAGTGTTAAGAACATTAGGTGGCACATTAATCACACTAGCGTCGATGCCTGATAATATGTTTTGTACATTAGAATGCGAGGTGGGCGGCTGGGTGGGCGGCGGCGGCAGCGGTGGCGGTTGTGGTACGTCGGCACTCGCCGGCGTGTTATCTTCATCAGCGTACTCATCGTCGTCATCATTGGTGGGCTCCGTAGGGTCATACTTCTCAGTATCGATCACAAGTCCTGAATCGCTTTTTTCATCCTCAGATTTTTCAACTTCAGGTGTTTTGTCAAACTCAAACATAGGTGGTTCCGGCAGAGGCTGATATGTATTCGCTGGCTTCTCCTGGCGTCGACTGTCATGAGCCATGTACGATTCGACATTATCGTTGCTTACAGTATCTTGTACAGACATTTGGCCCATTCTCATATCTAAAGGGTTTTCGAAACCACCAAACGAATGTCTAGCCTGTGAGGGTGGGAAGTCTTGGCGGGGTCCGGGAGCCCCGCTGTATGGCGACCATGAAGAACCCACACTGTATCTACCCTGGTCATTGAGCCTCTGGTTTGGGTTAAGTAAAAAGTTTGCATTTGGACCCCTACTATTCTCAGCATGTGGTGGCTGTCTTCTGTTGCGTTCAAAATTGTTATCATCATTGTGAGAATACTGGTGTGGCCTCCTTATGTAGTTACCATATGAATCAGTCTCGTCGCGGCGATTATTATTTTGTTGATAAGAGTTCCCTTGCCTATTTTGATATCCACTATTATAATTGTTCTCGTAGTTGCCACTTCTGTTGAAGTTATTAGGATTATTTTGTTCTCGGTGATAATTGCCGCGGTAACCGCCACCCCAACCGCCACCACCGCGAGATTGCCCTGGGTAAGATGGCACTTTCTTTGCGACATCTTCCCCTTTTGACAAGTCAACTTTTTCTTCTGGAGTAGCTGGTACTTTAGGTTTACTATGTTCACGAGTCTCGAGTTTAATATTTACATTGCCATCTACGGAAATTGAAACCACAGAATGTTTGGAGTGTAGTAATGTTTGGCTCTCGAGTATACTTGAAAGGATATCTGGTGCTGCTGATGCGTGAGGTGGGGAATCTATTGTAATACGTTTTCTGCGACTCTGGAATAATATGTTTCCAAATTATAGAATGAAATCAATACATAATATTAAAAACCTTTATTAATTAAAAATGTTTAAAATATATACCTGTCTGAACATATTTAAAATATTGGACGTAGGTCTGACTGCCACTGCAGTTGTAGCACCTTCAGAGACATCATGCTCTTCTTCAGAAAAGTATTCAAGCTGGTTAGGATTCCCAAATAAACTCAGGGATGGTATGCCAGCCCTGTGGCGTTGTATTGATAAATTTTGCACCCCACTATTGCCAGCAGATGCTTGTGCTAGATCTTGCCTCTGATCAATCTTCATGGTGGCGAGCTTCGCTTGAACGCTGGCCCGCATATACGATCGCCGCGCGGCCGTACGCGATCGTCGCTTTTTTGTCTAGATAAAAATATAAAAAAATTAAAAATATGAAATATAAACCATATATATATTTTACAAAAATAATAAGACACTTACTCTCCGTTTCTTGATCTTTCTTTTTATTCTTTTAGTGACAGGGAATTTGCCATTTTCTTCCACTTCATATTCAATAATAACAGTTTTGGTTTTTCTTCTCTTATACCTTCGTCTCTGTGTGCCAGCAGTTCTTCGTCTAGTTGTTGTATGAGAGCTGTTCCTAGTATTCGGTGGTGCCCGGGATTCACGAGATGTGGTTGGTTCATCATTATTCCTGTTATTGCCCCTTCGTCCAGTTGATGTAGAGGGCTCATCATTAGTGCTAAGATTTCTAGAAGACCTTCTTACATTACTGGGGTCTCTGAGAATTACGGGTCTGCGACCCATTTGTAAATCTAAATCTATAATTCCATCAAACAAGTTATTAACTTCTGAAAGATGTATAACACCCAAAAGATCATCACAATTTGGGCAAAGCCATTGCTCTACCGGTATCTGGAATATTAATTATATCTGTTAGCAAAAATATAAATTGTGCAATTAAAAATAATCAATTATTATTATATAGTTTACATTACCTGTGTAAGCGGGGGTGACAGGCAATGCATGTGGAATCCTAGGTCGCAACCATCACAGAGCAACATTGTTTCCTCATCGGTTGCACTGCCACAAATCTATGCACACATAGTCATAATAAATAATTTATTTAAATATTAGCACACAAAATTGATTACTATCAATATAAACTTTGTTGTATTAGCATACACCAGGTAAGCACTGATCCAGATCTTTTTCTAATAATAACATAAGAACACTAATAGCATTATTATATAAATAATACATCAATTAAAAAACCAAAAACAAGTAAATAGACTGTTTATTTAATTAAAACAACAATAAAAAATTAACAAATGGCTAAAACAAAAATGTTCTTGTGTTAATTCCTTACATATTATTATCATTACTTTATCTATATTATTTTTAAATGAATAAGTAATTGGAATAAAAAGAATGCACAAAAAGCAAAGAAAAATGAATTATAAATATAACTAACCTCACAGAGGGTAGGATCTTCGATGACCAATAGATCTACAGATGGCCTGCGTTCCATCACATTCACAGGTTCTGTTCTCAACACGGAACCTCCTGCACATGCTCGCACAACAATGAAATCAAATGTCATTCTATCCACAGGACATGTATTCACATTCTTAGACCATTCTGTGATGCAGTCCAAGCAGAATATGTGCTCACAGCTCTGAGGTGTTCCCACCTCCTGATCTGTAAACCGTAATAGACAAATAGAGCACTTCTCAGAGTTCCCTTCAGAGCTATCTGACGCAAAGCCAGATTTGGGATTATTTGGCGTGGGAGTAGGTTTGGTGGCAGACGAGTGGTCGGTGGCCCAGCCCGATGTATCACTATCGCCGTCCGAGTCTCGCAGTTTGGGAAGAGCCCGCCGGCGCCTTGTCCCTGGGCGAACCACTGAACTGCCACTGCTGTCGGTTTCTGCATCGCTGATAACCTGAAATAATGCACATCATCACTAGCAATGGCACTAATCACGAAATAATTCACTTTACGAGTTCCAAGAGCGACGTTTACCCTCAGTCTCTTCCTACGTGTACCAGTCGCCCCGACGGATTCGTCGCTGTCTGAGCTGGATTCCGAAGGCAGTACCATCACCTTCTTGATTTTGCGCTTAGGGCGCGGCGGTGAATCCTCGCTGCCCTCGTCGCTCATCTCTTCTGAGGATGTAAACAGCGATCGCTTTAAGTGCTTAGTACGCACGACACGAAGCACGAAACTGCAAAGGTGTAAATGACCTTTGCAGATTTATTTTCACATCTGTTACCAGATTCCTTAGGTTCATTTAGTTAGCTAGTAATATGAAATATTTATGTTGACCAATGTTGCATGCGCGTAACCAAAAATTAATATATTATTTTGACAGCAAGCCGCTATTGATGGTTAGTCGGCCATTTTCATTTCGGATGAAAATGCAACAGTGTTGTCAGTTCGGCCAAGGGGCAATTCTGAGGCATCATTATATTCCTCTTAATCTAAGATTTGAATTTGATAATTTTGCGAAATTACTATTTTATAGACCACCGTAAACAAAAATCATAATAATTTTGACTTAAATTACTAGAAAATTAGTTTTTATTGATCAATTAAATAAAGATATTGCTGTGATATTATATTTTAAATTTAGAGATAAATTTGGAGAAAGTGCGCCTCAAAATCGACCATAGTATGTACCGAACATATAAACTTATAAAAAAACAAAACATTTTAAACTAGCAGTTGCTCGAGGCTTTACCCGCATTGAATAGTTATATACTATTCAAATATTATATACTATAAAGTATCCTACTAAATTAGGATATAACGTACTCGTTTACTAGGGGGTAGTCCCTTGATTATTAGTATTATATTATCTATTGTAATACAGACTACCAGTCCCTTTGTTAGCAATATACCCTGTCAAGTCGACCTCCACATGGCCCCTCTGAAAATCATCGTGCTGAACTCCAGGTGTATTCATCACAATAGGCTAACTCACCTGCTTTTTCATTCTTACCTATCATCTCTCACTGGTGGAGTGAAAATAGGTTGTTAGTAATGGGGTTTACGAGTCCTATCGACAATAATATACTTTATCGGGTTTATTTACACGCGGTTTCGTTTAAAAAACATTATGGTTAATTTTTGGTAAATTCATTATGATGAACCTGACTTTATCCTTTCTTTCATCATTAACTATCAGCGTATCTCTCTCTCTTCAGTCGTATACTCTTGGCAGAGTGGTCGTGGTTTTCACAATGACGGTGGATCGTCGGTGAGGCTCTCCTTCGCGATTGAGGTCAGCGTATAGTGACCTCAAAATGTATTGCTGTTCGCTTGTTAATCACATGTTATTTCGCTAGTACAAATGTTCGATACACGATCAGGTCTTTCTTTGTGCAGTATGAAAAAAACAAAAGACAGTTCAACATGTGAAACACTTACATTTCACCAATTATTTAATTTGATTTGAAATAAACATTACACACACATACAAGACAAATATAGAGTAATTTTCGGTGAAACAAGAATATCCTTAAACATTAAATTATGACCTTTTGTTTGTCTTAAAAGCGGCATATTTGCGTACTTGATTAAGACGCATGCTTAATAACTACGGACGAAGCACGATAATATATCAAGTTGTTGTATGTTGGACTCTAAAAAGCATGTGCCTAGAGCCGTTAAAATCATTAATTAAAAAAGTGTTGAACTTCTTATTCTTCACTGAAATCCCTTACTTATATACTCTTTGGTCAGTTACTTTTTGGCTGATGGCTTTCGCCAAAGTCACAATAAATAAAAAAAAAAAAAAACAAACAAACTCTTTGGTCATTTCATTCACTCATTTCATTCATCGCATCTAAGTTTATTTTATGGATTCGTGTATTGTTTTTACCAAATATTTTAATTTATTTTAGGACGGCAGATCTATCACATATATTGCAATTTTATCAAGAAATGACCGCTGAAAACGAGCGTGAAATTTATCACAAGTTAGAAGCAATGAAAGAAATCAGGTACATTTGTTTAACATTTTAATGGGAGGTAATGATTTGAATTTGTTCGCACCTGTGGACTTGGATCAATAAATACTTGACACGGATTCATACGTTACAATTATTTTAAATTATAATATTTGTGTTTTACTATTTTAATTCATATTAAGCGATGTTTCTTTCAATTCACGCCAATAAATGTGCAGATATGTATGTATTTTTTTTTTAATTTGTTTCCCTTATCACATTTAGTTTTTCTATTAAATCGCCGTATTTGTTATAAAACGAGTTATCGTAAGTTTAGTATGAGCATGACGTATTTGTGAACTTGTCTTGACATACAAAATGTGTTCCTATTTATTGTGCAATTGTATTGTGTCTGTTTAGAAACAAAACAATAACACTGGAGCGTTTGAAGCGGAGTATCCTGAATGAGGTCCGCAGTGGTGACCAGGAGGGGCGGTGCCTCGCTCAGTACAAGCGAGAGATGGAGCTGCTGCAGCAGGAGAAAATGAGCCATGTGGAGGAACTTCGCCAGATTCATGCTGATATCAATGCTGTTAGTACATACATTATTATTTAATGCAAGTATTACATGTCTAGACATGTAGATATGATGAATGCCATGTCCAGTTCATGTCAATAGTTACCATAATAGTTACCATAATAGTTTATTTTCTGTTAGGTGGCCTATTAGCATATTTTTTTATGCAACTTAGAACAGCAAACAAGCTGTCAGCCCGTCTGGTGAAAAGTGGTAGCTGTCACCTATAAATATGAAAATCCTTCATTTTCACCATTCCTGACGACTAGGGTATTATGTATAGTATAATTATACTTACAGTACAGTAGTAGGCAAGTAAATTTACTTGCTTACTACTGTACAGTAGAATTTAATTGCCATGTACCACCCTTGAAACCAAAACACAACCATGCAAACACAATTGTTTCACACCAGAAACAAATGGGACAGAGGTACCCAAGCAGATGACTTTTGTACAAAGTCTCCCCTTGATAAAAAAATTGTAAAAAAGAAATAGAATTGTACTTGGGTATGTTAGAAGATATAAATTTTATTTATTTATTTAAACTTGAATGCACAATTATATAACATAAGTAAGTGTACATATGGCGGACTTAACACCTAATATGTTCTCTACCAGTCAACCACGACGCAAGCAGGAAATTAAGTAGGCGGTGCATTTACTACTAAAATATGTATAAATATTTTTACTACATATTACATACATCCAAAAATAAATATATATAATATACAACCATAACTGTAATGATAATACATAAGAACAGCAAATAAAAGGAAATAAGGCAGAAAAATACCTATGACTGAAACAAAAGGTGCAATTAAAAAGCAAAAGATAGGAACAAAGAGAAAAAGTTATTAAAAAAAATATGTTACAAGTTTTTTAAGAAGTGAACCCCTTATTTATGTTTAAAGGTAGATTTATTTATAATATATTTAATGTCAAGAGGCAACGCATTCCAGTGTTTAATGGCCTGAGTGGCAAAGCAATAAGTAATAAACTCAGTGCGCTGAGCTGGGATATGGACGAAGACAATGAGAAATATTGTCCCTATGGAATATAAATTAGCATTTAAGATACATAAGAGTACACAGGATACATATGATTTCATAAAAGAAAGAGAGATTGTCACCTTCATTTTTTGCCACTTCTTGACATATTACACGCACACACACACACACATACTTGCGCACACACACACACACACACACACACACACACACACACACACAAGCGCGCGCACGCACACACACACAACTCACAGATTGAATTATAATTAATTATCTCTTCCTATAAATTATATTTATTACATTGAATTCACTATTACAAGTACTTAGTAAGTAACCCTGCGGAGTGAGGCCCCGGTGAGCTGTAATACAGGTATTCTTATACCTATCTCAGGCACCAGTCTCTCACAATTATATTTATTTATATTTATATTCTTTTGTCCTATTGAAAGGTCCTGCAGTTGATCACGATCTCATCTGCTGGAATGTGACAGTGTGGTCTAAAATGGAACATGTGGATCCTCTAATTGCCTATTCACATTTGCCTTGAATGTGAATAGACTATTCACACATATTGTACATGTTTTGTGTCTTTGTGCAACTTTCTTGTGATGGCAAACATCATTATGAAACCTATATAGTCTAAGAGGGTAGGCTTATATTGTGTCATTGATTTTTAATATGCTCGGCGAAATGTATGAATGCAGTATTTTTCAATCTTTTTCATGACCCCCTTATTATGCAAACATATTTTGCGACCCCCTACCCTCTACGGTTTCGAATATGTATGAATTTTATTATAGTACAATTATGAACTCCGTACAGTTGTATTTATATTCACAGTTAGGTATCGATAAAATAAAATAATACATAATAAACTATCTAAAACAGACGTGTAATCGATGTCTGTTATAGATACTTCATTATTGTGGGCTGTCAGCTTGTTTGCCATTCTAAGTTGTATAAAAAAAATGTGGTAAAATCTTATTGTCAAGATTTTATGTATTTAGTGTAAATGTATATTTCTGAGTGTATTGTAAATAACAGTGTTCTAATTGTAGTTTCCTAACCGGTGATAGTACTAGGAATGCGCGTCCTATAAATACATAGTGTACAGCGAGCCATTGTTTGTTTGTGCACGCGCCGCCCGAGCACTGCGCCGCTATTGTTGGCGGAGCTGAAGCAATTGTTTGCTTTCGTTGTCAGTGAGCTCTCCCACATTGAGCATTAGCCATTTGGAATACGTATATAATTCATATAAATGTGTGTATAATGGTATCGCCACGTAATATCTTTTCCACTGCTCTACTAAATGGTTTTTTCTTTGTAAGATCGTGGAGCGTCATTCGTTTTGATTCTGAAAGTAGAGAATTTTAAATTTAGAGGATTACACATGAGGTCATATCTTTTTCAAGCACATTTTCAAAATCCTTTTATAATAATTATTGAAAGATAATAGTTTTAAATGCAAATAAACCTCTGAAAACGCCTTGACCGGCGATATCGGTCAGGAATTTATTATAACAATTTGTGGAAGAGAAAGAGTTTTTATAATAACAAGTAAATTTATTTCCAAACATTCTTGCCTCACTCTGCGTGTTCTACCGCTTATACAACGGATTGTGCTCAGAGGAATTATTCAATATGATGCCTACGGCCACTTTCTATCATCGTACGGCTCGCCATCGGCAGGGAGTTCACCCTCATACCTTACAGCCTAAATGGTCGCGTACAACGCGGTTTCAGAGATGCTTTCTGTTATGGAAGCACTTCCAGTATGTGGCACGTCTAGTGATCTTAAATCAGTGTAGTTATATATCTGTGTTTAGGTCGCTATGGTAACTAGATGTTCATATATGGTTGTTGATTGTAACATAAAATATATTATTCTTGGCTAATTCTCTTTATTCTCTTTAATATGGTAGCAGAGCGTTCGCGACCTCGGTAAATAGATAGTTTGTAAAGAACAAAGGTTCGGAGAGAGTGTAAACATGTCTACAAATGTAAAACTCGACATTCGACCGTTCGACGGAACTAACTGGACCACTTGGAAATTTCAAGTGTTGATGCTGTTGAGAACACACGCCGGAGCCTTGGAAGCGGTTCAAGGGACACTCACAAAGCCAACACATCTAAGTACCACTGCCACACCGGGAGCTATATCGACTTATAAAGCAGAGTACGATGCTTATGAGCGAATCAATAGCACTGCATTTTTACTACTCACCACCAATATGACAGAGAAAATGCTCGCCAAAGTTATGCGTTTTACTACAGCTAAAGAAGCTTGGGATGAACTGAACCGGCTTTATGAAAGAGTATCACAAGATCGCTTTTATGATGTCTGCATGCAATTCTTTGGATATAAGCTTGATCCTACTCACGATATGGGGACACACTTGACTACAGCAAAGAATTTATGGCATGAAGTAAATCTGATCTTAATGAAACAAGGCAAAACCGAACTACCAGAGATGTTGTTGATATGTAAAATTATGGATTCACTTCCTGAGGAGTACTTCAATTTCAAATCTAGTTGGGCCTTGATGTCAGTGAATGATCATACGATAGAGAACTTGACTACTCAGCTGTGCGCATAAGAAAGGTCTTTAAAGAAAAATATAGATGAAGGTGAAAGTAGCAATGAACTTCTTATGGTACGAGGTGAGAAACGTAATGAGAAGCAAAGTAAGAAGAAAAAGTTCAAATGCAACTATTGTGGAGAAGGATTTCACAAAGTCAGGTCATGTAAAAAGTGGATTGCGGATGGTAGACCTCCAAAACCTCAAAAGCAATCTACGAATGCAGTAATGTCGACAGGTCTAGCTCTAGCTTGCAATGATAAAAATCTTCATAAAGAATCATGGTACGTAGATAACGGCGCGACAAGTCACGTAACTAATAGGAGAGATGTATTTCAGTCTTTCGAGTACTTTCATGATCCTCATACAATTACGACTGCTAACGGGGACGGAATTGAAGCCATTGGCAAAGGTTCTATCCAACTTGAAGCTGATATAAATGGACAAAAACAGTTGATAACATTGACTAATGTATGGTATGTACCAAGTATACAACGAAACTTGTTCTCTGTACTAGCTGCGCAAGATGTGCTTAAAAATAGTCTTTTTCAATCAACTGCTCGATCATGTTGTATGAAGAATAATGGTAAAGTTATTTTAGTTGGAAACCGTGAGGAGCATGGTAGTTTATATAAACTAAATGTAAAACTATTAATGCCTGAACATGAAGTAAATCAGTTATCGACGCTACAGAATCTTCAGCTGTATCATGAACGTTTAGGGCACCAAAATTGTCGTCATGTAGCTAAATTAATACAAAAAGAGCTTGGAATAAGGCTAGATTCCAGTTCTGCTGACATTTGTGTAGGCTGTATCTTCGGCAAGAGCCACAGAAAGAAGTTCGGAGAAAGACCTAAAGCTACCAAACCTGGAGAGCTAATTGTCACAGACGTTTGTGGACCATTTTCTTATTCAATTTCAAAATTTAAATATTATGTTCTGTTTAAAGATCAATACTCAAAATATCGTTGGATCTATTTTTTGAGACACAAGTCAGAAGTACACGCTCGCTTGAAGGAATTTCTAGCTGAAGTTTATACTTCTGGACACGTCATTCAAGGTTTGTTGAGCGATAATGGAGGAGAATTTGATAACGAACAGGTACGTAATACTTTGAAAGAATTTGGAATAAAGCAAATGTTGACAATGCCATATACTCCTGAACAAAATGATTCTGCTGAAAGAGAGAATCGTACAATTGTGGAGATGACAAGAGCACTCATGCATGCTCATAATGAGATACCAAAAGGTTTATGGGCTGAAATATCTAAAGCTGCAGTCTATATACTCAATAGAACGGGACCAACTCCAGTAGATGGAAAGTCACCGCATGAGCTATGGTATAATAAAAAGCCAAAAATAAATCATCTCAGAATTATAGGATGCAATTGCTATGTACATATCCCAAAACAGAAAAGATTGAGAAAGTTAGAGAGTAAAGCCGAGAAAGGAATACTTATTGGGTATGATGGAGATGAAGGATATCGCGTTTACGATGTGAAAAATCTAAAATTAACGAGATCACGTGATGTAGTATTTGATGAGAAATCTTTACTAGAAAAACGCAAGATTGACAAACCTCCAGAAAAACCTAATGTAGAGCCAGTAGGAAATAAAACATATGTACTACCAATACCTTCTGCAAATTGTGGAACTGATGATGATTCTCATTTAAATTCACATATAGAGACGAATGGTAGGGATGAAAATATTGAATCGTTTATAGAAGATAATGAAAGGGATGAAAATGAAATAAAGGCAACGATGGGGCGACAACTTCGTGATCGTAGCCAGATTAAACCTCCTGAGAGATTCAATTTTGAGGAATTCATTAACGAGGCTATATCTGTTTCTGAACCATCTTCATATCAAGAAGTCTTAAACAGTCCTGAAAAGGATAAGTGGATTGAGGCAATGAATAATGAAATAAATTCATTATATGAAAATCAGACATGGGAACTGACAAATTTGCCAAAGAATAGAAAAGCACTACAATGCAAATGGATATTTAAAATTAAAAGAAATCCTGATGGTACTGTGGATAAGTACAAAGCACGTTTAGTTGTTGTTGGCTATACACAAAGGAAAGGAATAGACTACAATAACACATTTAGCCCTGTTGCTAAAATGAGCACTATTAGAGTCCTATTAAGTATTGCCGCAAACGAAGGATTAACGCTTAAACAGTTCGATGTCACTACAGCATTTTTATATGGCACTGTAAAAGAGCAGCTGTTTATGCGTCAACCTGAAGGCTACGATGATGGTACCGGTCGTGTATGCGAACTTAAAAGAAGCTTATATGGACTAAAACAGGCACCTAAATGCTGGAATGAGTGTATTCATGACTTTCTTATGGAGTCCGGTTTCATTCAGAGTGATGCAGACCCTTGTCTTTATGTAAGAGAACGTGAAGGAAAGAAGATACTGCTCGGACTATATGTGGACGATGGATTAATAGCTGCATCAGATGAGATAGTAACAGAAAATTTCATTGAAAATGAATTAAAAGGACGTTTCAAAATAACAACTAAGGTGCCGTCCTATTTTCTTGGGTTAGAAATTGAGAGATACAGTGACAGTACTATAAAAATACACCAAGCTGCATACACTAAAAAGTTATTAGAAAAATATGGAATGAGTGATTGCAAGGTTGTTGGAACTCCCATAATTAAAGATTCTGAAAAAGGAATAGATGAAGAAGACGACAATCAAATTAGTTTTCCTTACCTACAAATTGTTGGATCTCTGGCCTATCTGATGGTTGGCACTAGGCCGGATATTGCATATGCAGTTGGAGTAGTGTCGAGAAATTTAGATGGACATAAGAATAAGAGAAATATTCAACAAGTAAAAAGAATACTAAGGTATCTTAAGGGAACTATTGATGTTGGTTTACAATACAAGAAAAATGAAAAAAGACTCATATGCTATAGTGATGCTGATCATGGTGGCGATAATACTAGTGGCTGCTCTACAAGCGGAATGCTGTGTTTGTATGCTGGATCGGCGGTATCTTGGCGAAGTACAAAGCAGACAATGGTAGCCCTGTCATCCACTGAGGCAGAGGTAGTAGCTGCTAGTGAAGTATGCCGTGAGATAGTTTGGCTCAAAAGATTATTTAATAGTTTAAAAATTAATCTTAATACACCTATTCTACGCATTGACAATGAGTCTACAATCAAATTAGCATATAATCCATCATATGAACAACACCGTAAAACAAAACACATAAAGTTAAAACACTTCTATGTAAGACAGTGTGTATCTGAAGGAGAAGTTACTATAGAACAAGTACCAACGGAAGAACAACTTGCCGATATTTTTACAAAGCCTGTTTACAAGCCAAGACTAATAAAGCTATGTAATGAGTTTGGCTTGAAAAAGGAGAGGGAATGTTATGGAAGCACTTCCAGTATGTGGCACGTCTAGTGATCTTAAATCAGTGTAGTTATATATCTGTGTTTAGGTCGCTATGGTAACTAGATGTTCATATACGGTTGTTGATTGTAACATAAAATATATTATTCTTGGCTAATTCTCTTTATTCTCTTTAATACTTTCTCCCACGAACACTCAGGTTATGGAATGAGCTCCCTGCCGAGGTTTTCCCGAGAGACTACAGCATGGGGTTCTTCAAAAGGGGGTAAAGAGGTTTCTTCAGGGTCGGCAACGCGCGCGTAATACCTCTGGTATTGCAGGCGTTCATAGGCTACGGTAACCGCTTACCATCAGGTGGGCCGTATGCTTGTTTGCCACCTCAGTGGTATAAAAAAAAAAAAAAATTCTTGAATAGTCATTTTTGTATGATACTATTTTTTTTTTGATGGGTGAAAATGGCATGGTATCCCCGCCTGCGCTAACAGGATACGCTGGCGGAACACCAGTGAAGGGTGATAGATGAGAATGAAAACAGGCCAGTTAGCCCATCATGATAAATTCATCAGGAATTAACCATGATAGTTTCCAGGGGGAACCGCGAGGAGGTCGACCTGGTTGTTGGGTATATTGCTAGCAATGGGATTCTCAGTCTCCATTACTAACAATCCCTTTCCCCCTGTATGATACTAATTTATATACATTCATAGTAATTTCATAAATACTATGAATGTTACTAGAGCTAAAGCTTGTTTGGATTAGACAGAGGAGTTTTAATGGCTTTTACCCAACCCATACCGTGTGGAAATCAATTTTGTTATTTTTGTTGTTAGTCAAAATTGGTAGGCAAGTGAATCAAAATTATCTCAGATTAAGACAGGATACTTCTTAATATAATGTACGCGGTAAAGGCAGCTGTTATACCTGGTAATTCATAAAAGTAAATACTTATTTCTCAAACATGCTTGGAATTATTTTGACAATCTGAGTCGAGATAAATCAAAATTGCCGTACTGGCCAGGTACATGCGGGCAGCGGCCGGCAAAAGTTGTATGAAAATCCATATCTGTCGTGTTTTGCGGCCAGATAAATTACTATGTAAACTCATACCTGTCCTGTAATTTAAAAATGGAATGACCTTTTACTTCGAAACATGGCTACTAAGGAGGCAACTAATAAAAGGTTTTATTTAAATTTGGAACTGGCCTGCAAATAGAAAGCTGTTTATTGAAAAAAAAAACAAAGGGACACTATGGCGCATGAAAAATTATTATTGTTCGTTATTTGTCATTGAACTTAAAAAGTAAAATTATGTTTTTGCTTTCCGCGCATTGTTTGAGAAAAGTACTTTACAAGCCTTGGCCACAACTAGGCATTGATAGACTCACGTATGTGTGCCTCGGCTACACCTCGGCCCACATTTCCACGTTCGTCCATTAATGCTTCAGTTGCTGGTCGCTGCAGAAATGTACTATTACAGCATTTGATTTTAGCAGAATTGCCTTTTAATTCTTAAAAGTCCGTCACGCTCGTAAGCAGGAACTAGTATTACGTAAGGTTCTTATGTCATGAGCATGTTCCTGCTGCTGCACTGTTACGTTACGTCTGAATGGATGATTGTAAAGTGCGATGAATTGAAGGAATGTGTTGTGTGACGTTCCAGATGGAGACCGTGATAAAGCAGACAGAGGAGAGCATGACGCGTAAGCTGTCGAACGCGTCGCGGCTGCACGAAGACTACCGGCCGCTGAAGGCGGAGGTGGACCTGTTGCGGCGCCAGTGCCTCGGCCTCGACCGCCTGCCCGACCTGCACGAGGAGGAGGGCAGCCCCATCACACCCGAGTTGGTATTTTGTTTATACTCTGATATATGGGAATCGTCGACTGTACATCATCATTACAATTCATTCATGGCCAACTTCTGACCATAGCAACCCCCTGCAACATTTTTAAAGTCATCTCAGTGTCATGGTAAGTTCACCCCACACTGCTTGACTGCATGCGGTCAAGAAGCTTTCTTGCCTATTAATTATTGTATGTTTACGTTGTATGGTCAGCGTGTTGACACTGCAGTGTGAGATCTATTTATTATAACAGAAGGTATCATTCTTGTGCCAATAATCACATTGGCAGTTGATTTGCTCTTTTACGATAGAAATATGTATGATATATGCTTACACTAACATCCTCTCAGATATATTGTTTTTTTTATGGGTGAAAATGGAATGACAGCACTGTCTGTGTTATCGGTATACATTGGCGAGGTGTCAGTATGGGATGATAGGTGAGGACAAAAGCAGATTAAGTGACCCACTGTGACGAATTCAAGAATTCATTACTATGGTTTCCAGGAATCGCGTGGAGGTTTTTTTTTATACAACTTAGAATGGCAAACAGGCTGACTGTCCACCTGATGGAAAGTGGTAACCGTCGCCTAGAGACATGAGCAGTACCATGGATATAACAGAGTATACTGTTTCGCCCATGATACTCCCCATGCGTTGCCATTCCTGAGGGCTGAGGGTGTTATTCTTCCATACCCAGTAAATTCACGCCATATCCCACCCTTCAAACCGAAACACAGCCATGCAAACACAACTGCTTCACGGTTGAAACACGAATGGAACAGAGGTTGACTTGATAGGGTATGTTGCTAGCAATGGGGCTACTAAACCCCATTACTAACAATCTCTTTCCCCCCTCGGATGTATATAAGCTATATGCATTAGCTGTAAGTGTGAGTGCGGTGACCCAGGCTAATGGTTGTCGGCAGCCGCTTCCCGTCGCAGCCGGGCGGCGGGCGCGGCGCGGGCGGCGGGTGCGGCGCGGGCGGCGGTGCAGGCGGTGGAGGGGCAGGGGGAGGGGGAGGGGGACCGGTCCTGGCGCCGGCGCCGCGCAAGCCGCCGCCGCCGCCGCCCGCGTTCAGGTCTGCACTCGAACAAGATTTCATTACCGTCTCGCTGAGGTTCGATTTTGTTTGCTTTTATTTTGTTTCCCTCCACCCTCCCCCCCCCCGCCCCCTCCTTCACCGCTGCCCACCCCTACCGATCCAGACCCAAAAATCCAGTGTGTGCAGAATGTCATTTATGTCTGTCTATATTGTATTCTTTTTAATGATTTAAATTTACTTTATAAAGGCGAAGTTCTCAATTTGTTAATATTTTATCTGCACATTTTCTCTAATTTAATTTTGATGATTCACGCTGTCGCGTTGATGCCATATTAATGTTATCACCACTACTAAGAACTCGTCATCAACTTTCTGCACACATTTATTTATTTTTTTATTTTCTTTTGTTGCCCTTGTCAATCAGTTATTTTTTTCTTTGCTTTACATTTTCGTTCGAAGCGCTTAATACAATAAACTATATCTATCATAATGCAAATAATATTTTCAAAGCACGTCTATTGTCTACATCGTCCGGGCATTGATGCAAGTGGGGAATATTTAATTATAGCGTATTTTTTTTTAAACAAGAATGTCACTGATGGTTACAATCCGCCTGATGGTAGACGGTCGCCAAAGTCTATGAGTACTCACTGGTTCATTGCCTAATATTGTAATATATAATGGATATCAAATTTTATATCAGAGCATTCATGTTTGCATCGTCAAAGCCCGTCGAAACATCACGCGGTTCTCCCTATATTGGGGAATCACCTTAATAACATCACGTCTTCAGCTGTCAAGTTATAAAATACTTAGAGGTTTTGTCGTTTTTCTAACTGACGATTTTTCTGACGAAACATGTTTCGTCAGAAAAATCGTCAGTTACAAGTTACAGCGGCGGAATACCAGTGAGAAATCAGTCGTTAAACAGCAAATTCTAGTAATGGGCTAAAGTCCCTATTATTAAATTCCCCTCTCCCCTGGTTTGACCTGGTATAACTATAGAAGTGTTGACATGCAGACAGCAGCCGCCGCCGATGAAGTCGTGCCTGTCGTGCCACCAGCAGATCCACCGCAACGCGCCCATCTGCCCGCTGTGCAAGGCCAAGAGCCGCTCCAGGAACCCCAAGAAGCCCAAGAAGAAATAGTCGCCGCGCCCTCCTCCATTTTAGTCTGGACATTGTTTTGTTTGGTTATCAATTGTCTGCTGGGCGCTGCCGTGTCCGGTGCAGGAGCTGCAGTGGCCACGGCAGCGCGAGCTCGGTGGACGTCGACAGACAGAATTTTGATTGTTACCTTACAGTTGAAAGCTTTCTAGTCCCGGGACTGGATGTAGTGAAGCAAATAATGTCCTGAGTATAGAAAACATACAACATGATTACATGAAGCCCAGTTGTTCGAGTCGGGTGAGTGTCATCTGTTTACCAGTTGACACTACTGTAACTCGATGCTCAGTGTTTTTTACAAATGTTTTTCCATTAGTTTTGTTCAACATTTACAATGAGAATGTTTTACTGTATTTACATGTACGAGTATGTATGTCGCAGTGAGACAGAGCCGTGAGTTTGTACCGTAACGCAGTTGTACGAAGCCGTTACATATATTCATCATGGAGGCTATATATAAAATGTAACCTGCCTTTCTGTATTTGTTTGTTTTGTAGCTTTCATCCCTCCACTACATTAGTTTACTATTATAATTATATTACTATTGTATTATCGTACCCTAAGTAAGACTGTAATTTCTTACATTCATAAAGAAGAGGTTCATTACCATCTTACTATGGATATTACCGTATATATATCTAGCTTTGGCATATTTTAAATTGTTGAGGAAGGGGAGGAGAGGGCCCTCAAAAATGCGGATGGATCCACAGAGGTTCCACCAGAGGATATTTCCCCCCTCCCGCCTCCCGCCTCTCTCTAAATAGGCCTCTGATATTTTAACTATCTCATTGCGGCATATATAGTGGAGTCGAAGATGTTATTGAAAAGTTCACTACATCAGTTATATTGTAGATTTTGTACATAGCGTAGGTTAAGAATGTACTTGTAAGTTATGTTATAAAGTGTGTGGACTCAAACCTCTACCAGCATTGAGTGAGCACGGCCGTGGCGCCGTCGCGTGCCAAACTAGAGGGAACACTGGATCGTCGACAAGTGGTGTGCTTGTCCGGTTAGAGGCCCATCGTACCATCCAGTTTGCAGGCCGTTTTGTCATAACTCCCGTCCTGTTGAACTAGTCAAATCTGACATATGACATTGTGGTGTCATTGATGTATGCTTGATGTGAATGCTTAATTTATAACTCTTGTTTCAGTAGCAAGTCTGAATAGATGTCCAGTTTGGACTTCTATTTATCCACCATAAAAATAATTACTAAAAAATGCTTAAAATTATGTTAATTCATTTAAAAATTATTTCTACTTCTTAATTTTGTCCATCAAATGAGATTTCATGTTTAGAATAATAGTCAAATGACAAAACTGACAGTCAAACTGCCGTGTATTGGGCACAGTGTTGCCAGATTGGGTATTTTTATCAACATTTTGGGTAAATATTATTCTGTAGACAAAATTGTAAAAAAATTTTTGGAGAACAGTGATACGGGCTTGAAGAAATTTGCTAAATCATTTGGCAGGTTTACTATCTGTAAATTGATAGCGGTATTTTAAATATGTGAATGAAGGTAGCAAAACAGAAGATGTGATAAGAGAAGAAAGCTAAAAGTAGAAACATACAGAAGCGCCAGTTTTTTTCGCCGTTTATACTGAATTTAAAGTCGCTTTTTTATTATTTAAGAGTTTCCTCTTGTCGGGGCAACTATTTAATGTATTCTCTTCCAGCCAGCTCTAAGAAAGATAAGGTTTAAAATAGAGCTGACTGGAAGAGTTTCATGGTATATTGTAGTGAAAATACAAGTTGAAGATTGAGTAAAAATAAAAGTGGGATCTGGCAACCCCGATTTGGAGCGATAGGTGTGGCGCGCTGCCGACGGCGTGCTGGCACATGAGCACCAGTGTTATGAATATTTTGGAACAATTTTCTTACTTAGAACTACGAGTATCCCGTGCGGTGTTCGCGTCGAACCACTACGTATGGATATTAAAATAAGTGTGTTAAACTAATTTAGTGATGTATGTAGCAAATAGCTAACTGTCCATAATGTGCATTGTAAATAATGTGTGTTTAATATAGCCCGCGGATAATTTTACAACGTCTCCACAGAAATTTGTATGTATAACGTGACTTTGGCGAGGATCGGTGAATCATGTACCAAATAATCTCATTGCAAATGTTTGCACGCCGTTCGTATAGGGACATTTGCGTATATTCGTAATGGCTGTGGAGTTCTAAAACCACGTTTATGGAGAAGCGATCGCCTCGCAACCTTTCATGCGTAAGGGTCCCGGTTGACTCAAAACCAATTTCATATTTTAATTTCTTATTTGGGAGGCAAATGGGCTGAGAATTCACCTGGTGGGAACTAACTACCGTCATCCGTGTGGCACGGATACTAGCCGTGCGTCTTAAGTTGCAAGCCACATCTAGTGAAAATGGAAGTGGCACTCGACTTTATAACGTAGAACACGTATTCCTTTTCAAGATTATGTGAAAAATCTATGTAAAGTCGAACTTCAAATTAAAGTGCCAACAATCTACAAACTGGCTGTAAATCAATATAAATAATAAAAAAATCACGAGACGAGAGGAAATGACTAGCCTACCAGTAGACTGGGTAGCCTACCAGATTTCTCAATAGAGACTGGGACCAGCCTCTATTGAGTTGTAATTCAAATCGTCTCGAGCGAAAAGCACATTTATGTGGAGGTGCTGCAGCCAGTTTATGTTCCTGTTAATCATTTTATGTACTGCCACTGAGTCAGCAGTGTGGTCATTTGTGGCAGATTGTCTTTGGCAGATCATGCTGATTTATAAAAGTGGCATATTTAAAAGATTCCAAGAAAATTCATATTATCTAATTGGAATTTTCAATAAAGACATCTTTTTTAAAAGTAAAAATGTCAGGAATCTGCCACAAATGGTCAGTGTGAGTCAGCGACATCCGCTCCCTGATTACGTATCTTGCAAACAGTTGGCGATAGTTAATAATTGTTCGACATTTCCTGTCCATATTCATTTCTTGACATGTTTTGTAAAATCAGAAAGCCATTAACGAGCGAACAGCAGAAAAAGCTGGTATATTTGTAAAGCGATTTAAGAACTAAAATTACCAATTACTTACATATAGTATAATACCACTGGATCTTTATAGCGTTGTTACTACAGTAAGATGCATTTAATATAATTATTTTTGGCAATTGGCACGAATGGCATCGATCGCAAAGTGACCACCCATTGTTTGTTCAATACGTAATCATCCTGCGGTACGCTATACTCACCCGTGGCGTGGTGTGGTGTGAGGTTGCGAGGCGCGAGGCGCGAGAGAACACTAGTGAGTGTACATAGTCACCACGTACTACGAACGTATGTTTGTATTGTGCAAATAGTTTTGTTTTTACATTATAAACACTCATATGTCTACAGTTGTTTTATTTCCTTTCTCCATTCTCGGTTCTTTCAGGGGCTTGGGGTAGTGTCATAGAGTTCAGCGGATCATCGGGGACGGCATAAAATTCGCGAGAGGATTTGAATGTAACTGCTACGGTCGGTCGGCGAACTTGCGCCGCGGACTATTAGGCGAATGTGCACAAGTGTCGAGCAAATAATTTATAATTATTTTTAATTTGGTCGATAATCATTCAATTTTTCCTGTTAATAACTATCATTTTATCCTCCCATGTACTAATTTTATTTTTATTGTTTTTTTTTTATACAACTTAGAATGGCAAACAAGCTAACGGCCCACCTGATGGAAAGTGGTAACCGTCGCCTATACACATGAGCAGTACCATGGACATAACAGAGTATACTGTTTAGCCCATGATACCCCCCATGCGTTGCCATTCCTGAGGACTCTGGTGTTATTCCTCTGTACCCAGTAAATTCACGCCATATCCCAACCTTCAAACCGAAATCACAGCCATGCAAACAACTGCTTTACGGTAGAAACACGAATGGTACAGAGGTAGGTAGCAATCGACTTTTGTACAAAGTCTCCCTCTGGTTTTTATTATAAAAATCTGGTATAAATTGTAAGCATATTAAATTAAAACAATCCCACGTCAATAAGTATCATTCTTCTCACTATCAGTAGACGAGCCACGCGAGGGTGACGCCTCGTGAACTCTAAACTGTTCGCCCCCAAAATATATTCTTACTCATGTACCTAATTATTATTTAATTTTAATACATATATTCTTTAATTGATATTTTATACATATTTCTTTACATTTCCCAACTAAGGGAGCTTGATAGTTTCCAAATTCGCTCTCTTAGGAATCAAAATAAAAAAATATATATGTACTATTTTTTGGACATTTTTTTTTGATTGGTGGAAGTGGTATGGTAACTCCGCCTGCGCTAACGGGATACGCTGGCGGAGCACCAGTGAAGGGTGATAGATGAGAATGAAAACAGGCCAGTTAGCCCATCATGATGAATTCATCAGGAATCAACCATGATAGTTTCCAGGGAGAACCGCGAGGAGGTCGACCTGGTTGGGTATATTGCTAGCAATAGGATTCGCAGTCTCCATTACTAACAAATTCCTTTCCCCCCTTGGACATTTATTGGACAGTTTATAAATAATGTATTGCTGTTCTACGAACCTCGACAAGTTTACAAGTCAATATATCCAAGTCCGGATACTGGCTCGTGACACCGTTGAGCAGAGTCGGTGCTAGTGGAAGGGGAATTGCATTATTTAACAAATTTGTACCTGTATTATTAAGTATCTATCATAATTTCGTTCATCAACTACGTCTTGCATACACATCTCTTTCATTATGTCTTCCATACTAATGAGATTAAGGTTTTTTTAACCTACTGTAGTTTTTTTTTGTTGAATTCAGTTGAATTTTACAAATATCAACTACGATGGTCTCCAGGGGGAACAGCGTGGAGGCTGATCTGATAGGGCATAGCAATGGGGTTGCTATACTTCATTACTACCAATTCTTTTCCCCTCAGTATAACAGGGTTAATTTCCCAATATGAATGAAATTCGATTTTTAACAGACTTCAAAGAGGCGAGAAGAGAGGAGAGAGATTATAGGTGAGGATGAAAAGGTAGGTCAGTAGTTTTTTTTTTTTTATAAAAATGGGATGGTCACCCCGCCTACGCCATCGGAATACTCTGCATGATGGTTTCAAGGGATGACCGTGAAGAGTTCAACCTACCAAGGTATATTGCTAGCATTGGGACTACTAATTTCCATTAGCAAAAATCCCTGGAGTGTAACGTTCTCTTCTTCAGTCATTCGGAGTATTTCGGAGAGCTCTCCTACAATGGAGTCATGTGCGTCATAAATCATATCAGGTCAACAAACCAATTAATATGCGATTGTCGGTTACGGCGTAGTAAGTAGTTCGCATTGTAATTGGACGTGGCGAGCGAGCGATTAGCGCCCGCCGCCGGTGACCCTGCGACCTGCTGCCCTCGTCATTCGTCTCGTGTCATCGCGTATTCACGTGCTCGATCAGTTATAATTAGGACGTATAACAGGGTTTTTTAAAGGGTGGCAATGGTATGGCAACCTCGCCTGCGCTATCGGTACACGCTGGCGGGGCACCAGTGAGAGATGGTAGCAGATCAGTCGACGCATCATGACGAATTTTACAAATATCAACTACGATGGTTTCCAGGGGAACAGCGTTGAGGCCGATCTGATAGGGCATAGCAATGGGGTTGCTATACTTCATTAATAACAGTCCCTTTCCCCTCAGTATAACAGGGTTAATCATTTCCCGACATTAATGAAATTCTATTTTTAACAGACTTTAAAGAGGCAGTCATGAATAAAGATGAGTACCAATATTTTTTTGATGGGTGAAAATGGTATGGTAACCCCGCCAGCGCTAACGGGATACGCTGGCGGAGCACCAGTGAAGGGTGATAGATGAGAATGAAAACAGGCCAGTTAGCCCATCATGATGAATTCATCAGGAATTAACCATGATAGTTTTCAGGGAGAACCGCGAGGGGGTCGACCAGGTTGGGTATATTGCTAGCAATGGGATTCTCAATCTCAAAAATATTTATATATACTTATGCACAAATAAGAACATGTCTACAGGGTACTTAAATGTCTTAATGCCTGATGACATTCTCTACCACCAGACAACCAATTTAGATAACTTTAATGGAATCTCAATATCATAAATACGAAGAATTTTATTTATTACAAAATCCACAGCTCTTATTGTAATATTATTTCTAATACTCACAGCCAATTACGGATTTTACAATCTTTAATATGTTATTTATTAAGCAAGTAAGTATTCATAATACCAAGAAGAGCTGTGGATTGTATTGTATGATTATAGGTAATAAATAAATAAGAATGGATGAATGACAAGAGCAACTCTTATATAAAAATACTTTTTATTATATTATATTAAATGCTTACAGTACACTAAATTAATCATCTAAACATATCACACGTTGAAGGATATAAAACATAACATACTGAACTTGTCTATTTTACTATGACCTTAACTAAATAGATAAACATAAGTCCAATATAAAAAAAACAGTAACATCAATGAGAATGAGATTGTTCTCAATTTATGGCAAAAATATTAGCTCACAATCACCGACGACGGTTATCATATAAAAAAATGTAAAGAGCGACGCTCGTTTGCACAAGACAAGCCGCTGCAACTACCTAGCAAGCAATACAAAATGGCAGTAGGAATCTAGTCTTTGGACCGTAGGAATGTCGTCATAGTTTTAATATTTTTATCCACTTAGAAGTTCACGCATTTTATTTATACGACCAGTGCCCCCTATCACTGAATTATTACACTTTATTCAACAAACAGTCAAAGAGAGAGACTGTCAATTAATATCTTACGAATATAACATGAAATTCTAGTGAACAACTGAGATTACTTTTCACTACTCATATAAAAAATATACTTAAAGCTAATGTTCGTGTGTTTAAACTCTCAACAATTGGAAACGTACTTGTACAATTATATTATTTACACAACATAAACAAAAAACTAATGTGTAATGTTCCTGACATAATTGAAATTGAAGCGTGGACCACTATGGGTTGCTACCCATGGTACGCAGGGTTCCCGTGAAGGATGGCTGTCGAGTGGTGGGTCTAGAGGTCTAGACGAGCGGGTAGGAGGCGGAGGAGGCGATGCCGCAGTGGTTGTTGCGGTTGCGCGCCATCTTGATGTAGCCGAGCTCGCCCCACGTGCGGCCCCACGAGTTCTTCACCAGCCAGTAGTCGCCGCCGGTCTCGTCCGTGCCGTAGCCCACCACTAGCACCTGTACGTTTTATTGCATTCATGAATACGCAGCAATGGACATTCTTTTACAGTTGCAATCTTCGCCAGTAAACCCATTTTGAATAAAACTTGATAATATTGAGGAGGTATTTTTTTTATGCAACTTAGAATGGCAAACAAGCTGACGGTCCACCTGATGGAAAGTGGTAACCGTCGCCTATAGACATGAGCAGTACCATGGACATAACAGAGTATACTGTTTCGCCCATGATACCTCCCATGCGTTGCCATTCCTGAGAACTCAAATGTTATTCCTCTGTACTCAGTAAATTCACGCCATATCCCACCCTTTAAACCGAAACACAGCTATGCAAACACAACTGCTTCACGGTTGAAACACGAATGGGACAGAGGTACTCAAGCAATCGACTTATCCTAAATATCACCATGTTGACTCTATATATATATTCTGTATTTGATGTTTTAAAGTGTATATAAATAAACGGTGAATTTACCCCGTGATCAAGGTTCTCGGAGGAGCAGTTGTCGTCGTAGTAGACGCCGGTGGAGTAGAACTGGAAGCTCTCCTGCGAGGCATCGATGGCGACGGACACCGGGCCCACGGTCGCCACTGCCTCCATCAGCTTCTGTTCATCGCCCTGCGGCACGTCCACGAAGCCCACATCCTCTGCGCCAGAGTTCCTAGGGTTGTATCTGCCCCGGCACAAAGTAAAAAGTTTTTAGATATCGTGACGTTACTAAGAGGTGACAAGCTTACTTCATGGTAACGTCAGCCAATAACATCTTGTCAAATGAACAAACTTTACCGCGAACACGCGATTCATTTACATTTAATCACATTAGCGAGTCATTTTAACAGAAGGTAGCTGTAATTCTGATCTTTAACCTTAGAAAATAACGATTATTTTTCTTTGACATGATTATGAGTCAAATATAAAAATTGTTGCGAAAGCTCCAGTAGGTAAACGGAGCAGCAACCTTCATGGAAATGAAATTGTTGCGTGTAGGAAGTCGCTGCACGCAGGTGCTTCAGGCGGGATCGTTTTCCTTGTGGTCAATGTTGTACAGAGGATAATCAGTGATAGAAATAACAAAGTGTACCATGTTGAAATCACAAATTGGTGGATTGTGGGTGACAGGTATAAAACTCTACAGAGATAAACACGAGGTGAGCTCACCGGCACTTGTCGTCAACTGCCTCGTAGGGGTAGGACTTCTCAGTGTCGATGCCGCCGTTGTCCTTGATGTACTTGAAGGCGTTGTCCATGAGGCCGCCGTTGCAGCCGTTATTGCCGTACGCTGCCGAGCAGTCGATCAGGTTCTGCTCCGACAGCGACACCAGGTAGCCGGTCTGACGGAAGTGCTGCCCCTCAAGCGCGCCAGTCTGAACATAATGAAACATCATTACTTTTTACTGAATAAAAGGGGCATTAAGTACAAGTAAAAAAGATTGAATAAAATTCACCATTTTCTGTTAATGGCTGTATATGCTTATATATGTCTATTATACATTTTTTTATACAACTTAGAATGGCAAACAAGCTGACGGCCCACCTGATGGAAAGTGGTAACCGTCGCCTATAGACGTGAGCAGTACCATGAATGTAACAGAGTATACTGTTTCGATGATATGACATGATACCCCCCATGCGTTGCCATTCCTGAGGACTCAGGTGTTATTCCTCTATACCCTGTAAATTCACGCCATATCCCACCCTTCAAACCGAAACACAGCAATGTAAACGCAACTGCTTCACAGTTGAAACACGAATGGGACAGAGATACGCAAGCAATCGACTTTTGTACAAAGTCTCCCTACGTATATATTTGGAATTTCTTTTTATTTATGGATGCAAATGGAACAATGGAACGCGCTACAATGTACAAAAGAATTTATGTAAAAAGGGGTTTATTCCTATGGTACGTACATAACACAGTAGGCATTCTGTGCATATAATAATGTATTTATATTGTAAGTTATGTTCGGTACAGTGCACAGTCCAGCGGCTGTCCATGAATGTTTACAAACTAAGATAACACCGTTTGCCTACCGCATTTATTATAATAACAGACAAAGAGATTCTCGTGAATTTGGAGCTGCTGATAAGTTTAAACATACAATAATATTTCCTCTATTTGTTATTTATATTATATCGCGGTTAAACAGTATTATAATTGTATGTGTTGTGTATATCGCAGTGTCGCTCCCAGCATAGAATAGGAATAGAATTCCCGTGGGTGTCGTAAGACGCGACTGAGTGAAAGAAAGCGAGGGATGGGCAACAGCGTCCCTTTTAAAACATCTCCAAAGTCAAACTGCAGTTGTGAATTCGCCTGCCAAGCGTGGCAACTACCGGCAAAACCCCAAAGGGGGAGGCTGATGTTCAACAGTGGACAATTAAAGGCTGATATGATATAGCGGGCATTTGACCGTAAAGTTGTGTTCAAAGATCACGTGTTAGCTATGAGTCTTTATTTTTTTTTTATTTATTTATTTATGGCAACAAACAATCATTTACAGAATATTAATACAATATAAATTAGTTTTACTACAATAGATCTTACAGTGCCATTATTTTGTCTCTACTTTATATTATTATATGTATCACATCTCCCATATTTAGAACTAACAAAATTTTTCATCGTGCCTCCCACCAAACTGTTTATAATCACTCCTCTCTATCCAAAGGTTGCCTGGAAGAGATCGCTCTCAGCGATAAGGTCGCCCATTGTTTTCTCATTGTGATTATTTCTTGTAATTGTTTGTATTTATAATAAGTTTACTATTGTAGTCTTTTGGAGGAAACAATAAAGAGTATTTATCTATCTATCTACTTTCGCAGAATTTTAAGTAATTTTTATTTCTGTTATGTACTTTGGTATTTTACTGTAAATTTTACATTAATTTCACTTTTACTACCTACGTTGGTCACAAAACTACTTACTACAAATACTTCATTTTCATTTTAGGACAGTCTACCTACTTACTCGGGTGCCAAATTATTGAAAAAAAAAAAAAATATCTTTACAGGAATACGTATCTATTGTGTGATAACAACATCAATGTTCCAAAGGTTTCTTTCAAAACATTTACAATAACAGTCACAACTGTGCGGCACGTCTGAGTCATCGTTTTCTAGAAATATGATTGTCCCAATAAATATTTGCAATTACAACAGCCTGCAATAAAATATGAGTAACATAGAACCGACATCTGTGCGATGGAGGCGGAACAGTTCGCCGTGAGTCATAGCACCTGCCCCTCATTACATGGTGATTAATTATAATTTGGTAAAACAAGTTCATGATAATATCACATAATGATAATGATAATTTAATTATGAATACAATAGAACCTAAAGTGAATCATCTACAATAATGACGTTTTCCACTGTAATTGTTATTACTTATATATTAATTAATGTTTTAATCAAATTATTATATTTCTTACCACTTAATATGAAATGAATATTGAATTTAATTTGTATTTTATGAATTAACAATTTTCATGTTACTTGGTTTTTTTTTTTTAACATTTCTTTTTACTTCCCATGACTATAACATTGTTTATTAATAGTAAAATAATTGGAACAACATGTATTTGGGGAGGGATTGTTAGTAATAGGAATTAGCAACCCCATTTCTAGCAATAAACCCTATCAGGTCGATCTCCTCGCGGTTCCCCCTGGAAACCATCGTGATTGGTTTAATTTGTCACGATGGGCTAACTGACCTGCTTCACCCTCATCTATCATCCCTCACTGGTGCCCCGCCGGTGTATACCAATAGCGCAGGCGGGGTTACCATTCCATAATCAATAAAAAAAACCATGTATGGAGAGAGCTAGTGCAAAACACAATACACTCTGTAGGCCCCTACTGTGCACGGTCTCAGTATAATAATAATGTTAGGTAAGAACAAATGATGTGGGTTATAATCTAATGGAGGGCTAGACAGGGCAGTGCCACGAAGCCCCCAAACTCAGGGGCCCCTCGGACTCTGATTTACAAACTAGAAACTAGTGAAAATGTCTCCCAGATTCGGAATATAAATAAACCAGATTCCAGGAACGTGACTTTAATAATGGCAACTTAATTGAAAAAACACAGGAGAATTTGCAACAAGTCTCGAACATCTTTGAAACTTGCGGGGAACTCCCCTGTATTCTTAGATTAGTTTACGTTTTGACCCAGAGCCTTTGGTTACCTAGCTACGCCACTGATCTAGGGGGAAGTATTGTTAGTAATGGGGTCAAATAGCCCCATTACTAGCAATACACCTTGTTAGTTCGACTTCCACTCGGTTCCCTCTGGAAACTATCGTGTCTAATTCTAGTTGAATTCGTCAGGATGGGCAAACTGACCTGCTTTTATCCTCATCAGTCATCTATCACTGGTGCCCCGCCAGTGTATACCGATAGCGTAGGTGAGTTACCATACAATTATCAACGCATTTAAAAAAATACTAGTGTAGTGTTATTGTCACGGCTATTCAAAAACAAACCGTTTTCTGGTGCGCTATCAGGTCACGTCGTGTCAAACAGGTCAGCTTTTGTCTTTCAAAGCGTACGTAGCCGCCGTATCGGTACGTTATCAACATTAGACTCTCGTCACTCGTGCACAGTAAATAAATATCGGCGTAAAGTGTAAATATTGTGTACAATACGTTACCAATCATTTTACTTATTTTATTTTAAAGAATCCAATGAAAATATAACCGTGTGGCCCCGGCATAGAATAGGCCATCCCTTCCTTTTCCATGGGTGTCGTAAAAGGCGACTGACAGAGGGCGAGGGATGGACAGCAGCGTCGCTCTTAAAACATCTTTAAAGTCTGACTGTGGTTGCCAATACGCCTGCTAATCGTGGCAACTATTGGCAAAACATTTCCATATCTTTATGTATTTTTATTGTTTGCATGTACTTCACTGTTATTTACCAAATTCATATGCTTTCTTTATATAACTTTATAATTTAACACTGTTTGCCGACTGCTTTAACCGTGCTGTGTGTACACCTGTCTGGGTCTCAATCTAGTTCAAACTATTATCTTTATATACTGTCTGTAATGTTATTGATTGTAACCTGTTGTGTATACATTAAAAAAAAAGAAACAAAAAAAAACCCAACCACCTTTTACGACACCCATGGGAAAGGAAGGGGTAGTGGTATTCTATGCTGGGACCACACAGTCAAAAGAGGGATAACGTTACAGCTCAATTCACATTACACGAAAGGTAAAAGGTGTGCACTTTTCCTAATTACACACACGCACACATTGTCATGTGCAGACGTGACTCGTTTCTGTAGTTGTGACAATCATGGATGGCGTTGTACTGACCGTGCTGAAGGACCAGCAGGAGCCGCACTTGCCCTGGTCCTTGACGTCGGTGACGGCGCCCTTCTTGCGCCAGTCCACGTGGTCGGGCACGGTCACGTGCGCCGGCGAGATGAACGTGGCGCCGCGCCACTCGCGCCCCTTGCTGTACAGCTGCTTGTTGTGCCTGCATCAAAACCAACTACATTATACACGTTGCCCTGTACGCTGCCACTGTATTGTGTACAATATCTAATAGTAGGGGAGTTGTTAGTAATATAGACTTCCCTAGTCCCATTGCTAGCAATACACCCTGTCAGGTCGACCTCCACGCGGTTCCCCCTGGAAACCGTCGTGGTTAATTCCGACCTATCAACGGAATACCGGACAAAGCGTGTAAACTTCCACACTATATCAATAATGAGAACTATTGTTCGCAGATCAATAACGCTTCGATTAATCAAGTTTAAAATATTAAAAAAAAAGATATCTACTATGTCTGTTTTAATAAAAGCTAATTAAAATGTAAACAAAGGAATAACTATAGTCATGATTTGTGAATTATGTACATATTTATGTTTATTGTTTAATTTTATGTTTAGCATTACTCTTTAATCCCAGGATGGTATAATATTAAAAAATGGCGATTTTCCGATATAATTTTCCGTATATATTTTACGCCATGTTTGACACGACAATGATTTTTTTTATATCTACGTTACAACAAAGACATACCACAGATACAGCGTTAACAATTACTCTACTGTAAAATTTCTTTAGAACGAATTTATAAGCATATCCTTTCAGATAAAGAAATAATTTTCCAAATCGGTTTACAACTGACGGAGTTATGAGGTGACAAACAATAAAAATACATATAATCCAATATAGAACCAGAGGGAGACTTTGTACAAAAGTCGATTGCTTGGGTACCTCTGTCCCATTCATGTTTCAACCGTAAAGCAGCTGTGTTTGCATGGCTGTGTTTCGGTATGAAGGGTGGGATATGGAGTGAATTTACTGGGTACAGAGGAATAACACCTGAGTCCTCAGGAATGACAACGCATGGGGGGTATCATGGGCTAAACAGTATACTCTGTTATGTCCATAGTACTGCTCATGTCTATAGGCGACGGTTACCACTTTCCATCAGGTGGACCGTCAGCTTGTTTGCCATTCTAAGTTGTATAATATATATATATAAAAAACCTCCTTTTTAAGTCCATTGAAAATAAGATCTGTTTAAATAAAGACAATTTCTATGTTATTCTATTCTATTGCATAACTATTGTATTATTAAATAGTACACTGTGATATGCAATGTGATATAATAATGTGGGTTAACATGTCATCGCAGAGGACGATACGGCCTGGAGATAAACAGGTCTGGTGCGAGATCATGTGACCGCGACCCGTACACTGACCACAGTACTACGTAATCTGTATAATTACGATGCAATGTAACAACACAACAATGTCAACAATGCGTCATGCTTTAATATCAATATTGCATGTCGCTGCATACAGATACCTACACGTGACAAGCTAGGGGGGAAAGGGATTGTTAGTAATGGAGACAGAATCCCATTGCTAGCAATATACCCAACTAGGTCGACCTTCTCGCGATCCCCCCTGGAAACTATCATGGTTAATTCCTGATGAATTCATCATGATGGGCTAACTGGGCTGTTTTCATTCTCACCTATCACCCTTCACTGGTGCTCCGTCAGCGTATCCCGTTAGCGCAGGCGGGGTTACCATACCATTTTCACCCATCAAAAAAAAAAACAAAAAACCTACACGTGACAATAATAAAATATTATATTAATATATAGAAATAGAATAACGATTGATGCCGTCATGAACAATACCAATTAGGTAAAGTTCCAATAACTCATGTAAAACACATGTAAAATTTAACAGAACTCAAATGTAGTTGAGGTGTGCTTGTGTACTCACTTGGCCGTCCTGTTGAAGCCGTTCATGGTGTGCACGAACTCGTGGTGCAGCATGTCGCCGTACTTGTTCTGCTCGAGCCGGTACGACACCAGCCCCTGCTCGTAGCGCTGGTTGTGCTTCGCGATCTTGTGCTTGTTCTCCGCGTAGATCTTCATGCGAAACTTGTCCTCCACCTCACTGTCGAAGTGCTTCTTGTGCGCCATCTGTGTGAACAATACCACCACGTCAGTACAGGACAGGGCAAGGCCGGTAGGCGCTACTCATACGGCTGCAGTCACATGCTTCGGTTTGAAGGGTAGGCAATACCTTAGAATTCGGGTTTGACAACACGTGAAGGCTAGTATGGACGTCACAGATTGTACATTATGATGTCCATTCAATCCGTTACCGGCAGCACCATATAGCGGAATAAATGGACATCTTTTTTTTTTTTACACAACTTAGAATGGCAAACAATCTGACGGCCCACCTGATGGAAAGTGGTAACCGTCGCCTATAGACATAAGCAGGACCATGGACATAACAGAGTATACTGTTTCGCCCATGATGCCCCACATGCGTTGCCATTCCTGAGGACTCAGGTGTTATTCCTCTGTACCCTGTAAATTCACGCCATATCCCACCCTTCAAACCGAAACACAGCCATGCAAACACAACTGCTTCACGGTTGAAACACGAATGGGACAGAGGTACCGAAGCAATCGACTTTTGTACAAAGTCTCCCTCTGGTAAATCATAAAGTACAGTCTGTGACGCCCATGCCCATAGGTAATATTATTGTTTTCCATCAGGTGGGCCATATAAAATTTGGTCATTAGAACTAGTTAAACAGAAACCAGACAAATTGCCTGAATAACTAAGATATAGCTGTTATTTGAATAATTTTCTCCAGTTTAAAGCCAGCCGCCCTTATGTTTGAAACTAGCAATATCCCGCGGCTTCACTCGTATTAGTTGATAAAGCATACTATGTGCTAAGTTAGAATATAATGAAGCCATTCGAATTCACGACTCCCGCAGTTTAATGCATTTAAATATATTTATAATTTTAATATCTCACTAGGAATGAAAGTGGTGTATACATTGCGAGAAGATAGGTGGATATAAAATAAATCACGTAAATAGTATTGGCCTTGATCGAACACGTTCCGCATGACATCCTCGCCACTAGCCGGTGACTCGCGGAAGGAAACGCGTTCAAGTAATACCTCGTGAAAATATGCTCGGAATATAAATCAGGTAATCTACCATGAAATGAAATTCCGATTTTTCGGACTTAACTTCGTGTTTTTTGTTCATTTTGTTTGAAATCGGTCCAGTAAATGAAGCTTAACATTTTGTTCATCATAAAACGTACTATAAAAGTCAACAATATTAAAAGGAACAATATTTTAACATTTTAAAACAGTATGTATTGTGTAATTTTAACATGAAATTTTGCTTCGGAAAAAAAAGAAGCATCAATTTATTATTGAATATAAATTAATTTGAAAAATACGATATATTTTTTTTATAACATTATTCCATCTGATCTGTGTAAACAACGTGAATGTATCTGTCAATACATCTATGAATTCTATGCAGGTCTTTGTCATCTCACCTAGTATACACACATAACACAGTATTTACTGTCACTCGATAACATTACACGCTATTTCAACATTTGTATTATTAATTTAATTTACCCGTATTATACTTTCATTATTAATTAAGTGTAATTATGTTTTTCCTCGTTTATTGAATGGTTATGTATGTGGCCAGGTTTCTGTACCGTTCTATCTTTTTAAACAACCACTAAATAAAGTTCATTTTCTGTACAAAATCAAACAAATTAAGACGCGTTTGCTTGGTCTCATTTATATACTTAAATGTAAGTATATCAACATTTATTGTAAGACAAAAATGTTTATTTGTTTATTAAATGCACAAAACTGCTTTCCAACAAAACATTTAACAACAATACGGAATATATGTATCATGACAAGCTGTAAAGCCAGATATAAGTGTATATATATCTTTACATCTGGCCTAAATTTTACTGTTGTTCTCTAGATTTTTTTTTTTATACAACTTAGAATGTCAAACAAGCTGACGGCCCACCTGATGGAAAGTGGTAACCGTCGCCTATAGACATGAGCAGTACCATGGACATAACAAAGTATACTGTTTCACCCATGATACCCCCCATGCGTTGCCATTCCTGAGGACTCAGGTGTTATTCCTCCGTACCCAGTAAATTCACGCCATATCCCACCCTTCAAACCGAAACACAGCCATGCAAACACAACTGTTTTAGGGTAGAAAAACTATAGCTAGGTAGCATATTAGTTACGTACCTAAATGTAAAAAATGTAATATAACCATCCAGATGGATGCAGATGCAATTTCTGGTTTTTAAAATAATAGAAGTCAAATTGGTTAAGATTATCAATTTTCCAGAACGCTGAACGAGAGGTGCACAAGAATAAAAATAGATTTTTATTTTTGATCTACTTGCTACCTAATTATGATCTGTGAATACTGCGACATGGTTAATTTGTTAGTGTTTTGTTCGTTGGATAAACATAATTCACTTACCTTATAAGCATTCCACTCCTCCTTGACTAGATCGAAGAAGGAGACGGCACCGACGGCCGCCGCGGCCGCCACCACCGCGCACAGCACCACCGCGATGTTTCTCATTGTTGTTGCCTCTCTGTTCTGGTCGCAGGGCACAAACCAAGTTAATAAGTACAAAAAAAAAATCCAAAACGGTTTATAACTGACCTCCGTCAGTTATAAACTGCTATAACTTTTATGGTTACTAAAAATACCTAACCTAACACTTTCTATAGGGGGGAAAAGATTGTTAGTAATGGGGTCTTAAAAGCCCCATTGTTAACAATATAACCTGTCAGGTCGACCTCCACGCGGTTTCCCTGGAAACCATCGTGGTTTTTTTTAATAGGTTATAATGGAATAATAACTCCGCCTGCGCTATCGGTATACACCGGCGGGGCACCAGTGAGTGATGATAGGTGAGGATGAAGTAGGTCAGTTAGCATCGTGACGAATTCAACAACAAGTAGCCACGATGGTTCCAAGGGGGAACCACGTGGAGGTCGACCTCTACTCGACTCGGTCGACTATATTGTTAACAATGGGGCCGTTAAAACCTATTACTAATAATCTCTTACCCCCAAACCAACGTGGTTAATTCTTGTGGAGTTCATCACGATGGGCTGACTGACCTGTGCTCATCCTCTCTAATCATCTACCACTGGTACCCCGCCAGCGTATACCGATAGCACAGGCGGAGTTACCATTCCATTATCATTTATATAAAAAGAAAAACACTTACTATATTGCTAACTTGGCAAATATGTTAATAATACTTAACTCCTTGCGCAATAACAATAATTAATAATAATCACTTAATGAATAATTTAGCTAGTTAATTTATGCTATTAATTAACGTCATAAGGTACCAAGTAGGTACCTAACATACCGAGTTTAATAAAATAACACGCTACCACTGTTTATCAAACAAAGCAACCAAGAAAAAACACAGACGTATAGAGTAGGTAGTTAATAACAATGACGACTCTCAATACAGTTGAGATAAAGGTAGAAAGAGAGGGGGGAAGTGTTTACTTAGCAGTTTCTATAAACTTTATGTAGACTTAGTATAATGCACTCGTTAACTTTAATACTGTTTCCTGATAGAAATCAGTAAATCCAGTATCTAGATGTAGGCAATGAATGAGTCCATTACCGATTACATCATCTATAACTACCTACCTACCTAATCTATACAGTGTTTTGTGCTGTAACAATAATATTAAAAACTTAGAGAATTTGATTGATAGCTGATTAATCTACTAGATAATATTTAAACTACCTATTAGTAAGGGGAATAAATCGGTAATATATTCGTTTGAAATAAGTGTAAAGGGAAGTAACATAAAATGACACGGCAAAAATGAACATTCAAGTTTAGAAGCTAGTTTGGGTACCTGTTTTTATTGTTTATATGGAATAAACACGTGTATAGTATAATAGGCGAAGAATGATTCACCTTTCATATTCTACCTGGTATTTTTTATACTATAAAGTACCCCGATGGAAAAAGACCGTTACAAATATTTAATGTCTTTGTGTTTTTATATTACACAGATATTGTATCTCCCAAAGAGAACAAAAAATTACCACGCTTATTTGAAGTCTTTTATTTAGTTCTGCTACACAAAAGTTAAAAATAATAAAAATCGGTAATTTTTTTATTAATAATATTTACATCTATAGAAATAAACCATAATTATTTATAATATTATATGAATCCGCCCATAAATTTCGCAATTTATTTTGATTGTACTGTGTAATTGTAATGTAAATCGTCTCAGTTATTGAGTAAATTAAGTAACAAATAACTGTCTGTATAGTTTTTATTTGCGCAGTGTTTCTTTAAGTAACTATTGCGTGAGACAAAACAAAGCAAAGGTACTATGATGTTCCTAATGTCCTTTCTTGGTATCTAATAACATTACACAGGAGGATATTTGGTATGTTCTCAAAATGAACCGAAAAAAATTTAAAAATGTACTCACCTCGTAAATAAAATTATTAGAAAAAGTAATGATAGTTTGAATAGCGTATTATTAACCAATTATAATATTATATAGAAAACAACACGACCACTACACACGACTGACAATTTGTTTGTGATTTTGTTCAGCTTCGTCGGAAGTACTTATACTAGGGCAGCGCATCCTACTCAATCAAAGTACGTCAAAATGGGGTCAATAGGTACAAAGTCGAACTTCATACGAAAATTTATCGATGTTGTAGTGTATATATATATATCATCGATAATTTTTAGCAAAATATAACACATATTCATCCCTATTCATGCTAGAAATGGGGGGTGACCTGGAACAATAATGGGGTGAATAGGAAAAATCGTAGGGCGGTCCAAATTTAAAAATGGTTTCTTAACTATGAGAAAGAAATCTAAGAACATAGAATTACATAAAAGAATTATGAAATAAAAACTATTAATCATATAGTTGCCTCTTTTCTTTTTAAGCAAATATAATTAGCAAAAAGTGGACGAAAAGCAGCAATGAATAATAGATATCATCATCTATTATTCAAAATTTGTAAACAGTTCCGAATTAAAAGCTTTTATATAGACAAAATTAAAAACATATTTTTTTTTTCATTCAGCTTCAATTGTTCAAAACTAGTTGTGTTCCTATTCAGATCCTATTGACACCATTTTACGGTATTAGAAATTAAACAATCTTTTTTACTAGAACTTCATATATATATATATATATATATATATATATATATATATATATATATTGAAAATAAAAAAAATTAAGGTAATGAAATGAGAGATTAATGCCATGTCTCAATACAAATATAAGCAATTTTAGGATACTTGTTTTTTTTTTAAGATTTATGCAAGAAGAACTATGTAGATCTGACAACACCGGTCCGGCTCTTTATTCGCCAATGATTTTATTACTCTTTGTCTATTTCATTCATTCTTTGATTGCAAGGTCTTTAGGTTATAAATTTACATGTATAATTGTTTTCTTTTTAATATAAAATAATGAAAGAAAATACTAAGGATGTAAAAAAAATTAAACTCTATAAGGGTAAAAAGAAGAAAACTGCAGAAGAAGATGCAGCCATACAATATTTACAGGCTCAATATGAAAAGGTACGTAAACAAATGGTTTTATTTTCAGAGCAGTGGGTTTATTACTTAACTATTATATTTCAGAAGAATATAATAAAACGTATATCTCTAATATTTTCTGATTTAACCCTGGACAGTTTATAAGGAACCTTTTCAAATTAACATTACAGACATATAGGTAGATATTTAAGTTAAAAGTTATATATTCTACTAGATAATAAATTATGTTTTTTTTAGATTGTTCCTGATGAAATAAAAACCTTCAAAGATCTTCCATTGTCTCAAAAAACTTTGAAGGGTCTTAAGGATAATAATTATAATGTCCCTACTGAAATCCAGAAACAAGCCATTGCATATGCATTGCAGGGCAAAGACATATTGGGAGCAGCGAAGACAGGCTCAGGAAAAACTCTTGCATTCTTGGTACCAATTCTTGAAATATTATTTTGTAAAAAATGGACAAGACTAGACGGAGTTGGTGCCTTAGTCATATCGCCAACCAGGGAACTGGCGTACCAAATATATGAGACTTTGAGAAAAGTAGGTAGGTTCCATGACTTTTCAGCAGGGTTGATAATTGGTGGACAAAATCTTAAATTTGAAAGGAAAAGGATGGATCAAATTAACATTCTCATCTGTACTCCTGGTCGGCTCCTGCAGCACATGGATGAGAATCCACTGTTTGACTGTAGTCATCTACAGATTTTAGTCTTAGATGAGGCCGATAGATGTCTGGATATGGGTTTTGAACCAACTATGAATGCTATAATTGAAAATTTGCCACCAGAGAGACAGACATTATTATTTTCTGCAACACAAACTAAATCTGTGAAAGATCTGGCTCGTCTCAGTCTGTCATTCCCAACATATGTAGCTCCACATGAGCAAGCAGCTACTGTTACACCTGAATCTCTTCAGCAGAGTTATATTGTCTGTGAGATTGATGAGAAAATTGGTATTCTCTGGTCATTTATTAAAAATCACTTGAAACAAAAAGTTTTAGTGTTTATGGCCACATGTAAACAAGTTAAATATACATATGATTTGTTCTGCAAGTTAAGACCTGGTGTCAGCCTGCTAGCATTATATGGGACACTACATCAAGAGAAAAGAGAAAAAATATATAATGAATTTTGTAGAAAATCTAATGTAGTACTTTTTGCCACTGACTTGGCATCCAGAGGACTGGACTTTCCTAGAGTTAACTGGGTAATACAGATGGATTGTCCAGAGGATGTTGATACATACATACACAGAGCAGGACGTACTGCTCGAGGTATATTTGGAAAAGGAGAAGGTCTACTGATGTTATTGCCAAATGAAGAAAAAATTGTTGATGATTTGCAAAATAGAAAGATACCTATAAACAAAATATCTGTTGACCCGTCTAAAGTTATTGCTCCTCAAAGAAAAATTGAAGCTTTACTTTCAGACAATACAGAACTTAAACAGACAGCTCAGAGAGCATTTGTCAGTTATTTGAAATCAATATTTTTAATGAAGAATAAAGATATATTTAATGTCCAACTGTTAGATACAGACGCATATGCTAGATCCCTTGGTTTAATAGTACCACCTAGGATAAGATTCTTGTACAAGTACCAGAAAAATCATACAAGTAAACAGCCAGAGGAAACTGAGAATAATAATGATGTGGTGGAAAAATTAAAGGCTAATGTGATAAATAATGATACAGCATTTGAGGAAAGTGAATCAGAAGATCAAAAAGTGGATGATCAAGTGCAGGAAACAAAAAATAGTAAGAGCCAAAAAAGCAAGAAGGATCTAATTAAATTTGATTTTCACAATGATGATAGTGACGAGGATGACTTTCTTCAAGTTAAAAAGACAGATGTAGATGTAGAGACATCCCCATTACAAGAAGAGAAAACTAAGTCAAAGAAGAAAGCGAAACCCATTACAAAAGCAGCTGTGGCTAAAAAAATATTAAAAAGAAAAATTAAAGTAAATACTAAAGTTAAATTTACAGAGGAAGGCGAAGCAATTGCAGATGAAAAGAAAGATGTTAAATCAGAATTAGCAAAGCAATTTATTAATGAAAATGTAGGTGGTATAGATATTGAGAAAGCAAAAGAAGTTTTAAGAGAAGAGGATAAATATGATAAAATTAGATTTAGAGAAAAAGTTAAAGCAAAACACAGGGAACATAAAAGAAAACTTAAAAATAAAAAGAAGGAAGAAGAAGGAGACAAGGATGATTTTGGATCACAATCAGAATCCGATGGGCCGGATCTGTCATGGTTACCTGATCCTGATAAAGTGTATGGCAAAAATAATAATAGTGATGTTGAACTTGACAGTAATGATGATAGCAACAGAAGTAACACACAGTCTGATGATGAACATTCTGAAGAGGAAGATGAAAAATACCACAGGTTATTATATTTTATTACTTCAGTTTTATATTGTCTCTGATACCTCAATTATATACATCCTTAGAGATGCAGAGATCACAGTTTGCCAATTTATTCTATGAATAGCAATGAATTATGTGAAACTGATGAATTACCTTTATTTAATATTGGTTTTGCATACATATTTATATTCGGGATCATCTATAATATGAATAAGTCGAAGTCCATATATATTATTATAATTTGGTAGACTCATAAAATAATAAATATTGATAATTGCTGGTGTACTGATAGTCAACCTTTTGGTACTCGCAGGTTCAATCTCTAGACATTTTTTTTTTTATGCAACTTAGAATGGCAAACGAGCTGATGGCCCACCTGATGGAAAGTGGTAACCGTCGCCTATAGACATGAGCAGTACCATGGACATAACAGAGTATACTATTTCGCCCATGATACTCCCTATGCGTTGCCATTTCTGAGGACTCAGGTGTTATTTCTCTGTACTCAGTAAATTCACGCCATACCCCACCCTTCAAACCGAAACACAGCTATGCAAACACAACTGCTTCACGGTTGAAACACGAATGGGACAGAGGTACCCAAGCAATCAACTTTTGTACAAAGTCTCCCTCTGGTAAGACAATATACATATGTAAGACCATAAGTCTGTTTTGTATTGGTTTGTTTGTTGTATATGTATAAATGTATTTAAATACAAGCTTTGTTTTGTACTTACATACTTAAAAGTATTGTGCTTATCCCTTTTTTAGTTTTGTTTGTTAAATAACTAATTCTCTTTTATTTCATTAGGCCAACTAAACGGAAGTTAGTGGAGAGCAGAGGTATACCGCAAGAAAGTGTAGCGCCTAGAAAAATGAAGAAAGTGCAAGATTTATCTGCGTCTTTATCAGTACAAGAAGCGGAGGCCCTGGCTATGCAGTTGTTGCGAAATAAATCTTAAAGCCTTGTAATAAAATATAATTATTATATTAATCTAGTAATTAATTCCATAATACTTACCTAAATATATAACAATTGCTATTAAAATTAAGTAAACCTCTATCTTATAATAATCGAATTCGGCTGCACAGCCTTTGGAAAACTATGTCATATCTTTTAATCCAAAATACCTCAGAGTTTGAAGATGAAGGTCTTTAACCAGTGCGTGTTGCCAGTGATGACTTATGGAACCGAAACATGATCCTACACCCGTATGCATAAGCTTCAAATTACTCGGCAGGCTATGGAGAGGGCTATGCTCACAGTCTCTTTGCATGATAGAATCTGAAACCGACATAGCCCAAAGGATAAGCAAGCTGAAGTGGCAATGGTCTGGTCACATAGCTCAAAGAACTGATAACCGATGGGGAAGAAAGGTTCTTGAGTGGCGACCCCTTAAGGGCAAACGCAGTGTAGGACAACCCTTACTAGACGGAGTGACGACCTGAAATGTATTGCAGGGAGTCAGTGGATGCAGGTGGCTTAAGACTCTTATTTATGGCAGTCTATGCGGGACCAGAGGTAATGACTTAATATGTCCAACAGTGGATGAATAATGGCTGAAATGACGAATCCTCTATCTTACTAGGATTATAAACTGATATAATTATGTCCCTATATATTATAAACTGGTTTTAGAGTCTTTATTTACAAGAGTTCACTTTCAGTATAATAGTGTTATTTCATTTGAAAGATTATTCCCTATGTTTGTTATCTCATAGCGCCTTTACAGTTTAACAAGTAGTAACCGCCACCTATAGACATGAGCAGTAAGTACCATGGACATAACAGAGTATACTGTTTCGCCCATGATAGCTCCTAGGCGTTGCCATTCTTAAGGACTCAGGTGCTTTTTTTTAATGGGTGAAAATGGAATGGTAACCGTACCTGTGCTATTGGTATACACTGGCGGGGTACCAGTAAGAGGTGAGGGTGAAACCAGGTCAGTTAGTCTATCGTGAAAAATTTCATAGGAATTAACCACAATGGTTTCCAAGGGGAATCGTGTGGAAATCGTCCTGATAGGGTACATTGATAGCAATAGAATCGTTAGTAATCCCATTACTAACAATCCCTTTCCCCTTAAACTCAGGTGTTATTCCTCTGTACCCTGTAAATTCACTGCCATATTCCACCCTTCAAACCGAAATGCAGCCATACAAATACAAATGCTTCACGGCAGAAATACGAATGGGACAGAGGTGTCCAAGCATACGACTTCTGTACAAAGTCCCTCTCTGGTAAAATTTTTATCAGCAAGTAGGCATATTCCGGTATTTCTGGTAACGTGGACGAAGTCACGGGTAAAAACTAGTAATGTAATATACATTTGGATATATCATAGATCGATTCTAAAAAATTAACGATTATTAATATCTACAATATGGGACCTTAGGTTATAAAGTACGTTATACTAATTCTATATATGGGACACATTACTTATATAACAGAAATATTTTATAAATAACTAATTGTAAAAAAAAATTAAGAAGCACGATTATTTTCTAATTGCTAAACTGGTTAGACGTGGTAAGAAATAAAACTCATTTATAACATAGTACGTTATACTAAGTCTATATTTATAACAGTAATTTTAAATTCCTAAATGTTGGAAAGGCAGTTTTAGCGTTCTAATAAAAATCTTCAAAAATGAAGGTTGACAGCTAATATCGAAAAATTTTTGCTATTCGTAAATTTTTTGCGAGATATGTGACTGTCTCGAGTTACTTGTTCTCGTATATAAAACATTAAGATAAAACTTTACAAAAACAAAAGTTTGGTACTAGGTTACAAGTAATTACTATTTCTTCTAATTGTTGTTAATTTGGTAGAAAATAAATTTTTTGATCTTGCAACATTATTATTCCTCTGTCAAAAAAGAAAACGGATCGTTGCACTTTTTATCGGGGAAACGCTGAAATCCACAAAATAAAAAGTTTTCTATGGATTTAGACTAATTTGACATCTTGTACTTATTAATTTTAATTATGTTTTGGAGCGGAAACTATATTGTAGTAAGGGAGCTAAATTTTCTTCTAAAAGAAGAGGTGCGTATTTCCTTTAAAATTGATGGTTAGGAGTGGTTGATTTCGTGAATTTTATGTTTGTTCGTCATAAAACATCTTTTCTAATCGTCAAAGCTGGGGGCCGATGCTAGCTACGATACTTATTGGTTGTAAAATTATTGTCGATGTTTGTTTCAGAATCCAACATTGACTCAGGTGCTAGAGGCGGATGATATCCTGCAAGAATGTAAAGCCGACAACAGGAATTTGATGCTGTTGTAAGTAGTTGTAATATTTGGAACCGATTTTATTCAACTAACCAGGTACAGTGGAGGACTTCAATATTATTTGTTTTTCTGTTATTTGCTCTACATAATACTAGTTTTTACTTGTGACATTGTTCAGACAAGTGGAATGTATTAATTGACTGTGATAAAACGTATCCTGTATTCTTCTACACATACATAAGTCAAATTTCATGACAATTGATTGATTGGTCTGCTAAAGTGCCAAGAGGCAACAAACACACATTCATAAATATAAGCAGTTTACAAATCTATATTAAAACAAGTTATTGTTTAAGTTATCATAAAATAAATATTATAATAAGTTTATAATTCATTGATAGATAGAACAGTAGTGAGATATAATAAACTGTATACCTTTATATTAATATTAGTTTTTTGCCTGTTATATTGTATGTCTAGATTTCATGTATGTTGTATAAAGAAGAGAGGAAGTAAAAAGATCAATGAAATAGGCTACTTCTAGATGCTGTATCAAAACAAAACATATACTAGATTTTAAGTTAGACTTTAGGAATGCAACTGTGAACACTGCATCTAATTTGGTAACAAACACATAGACGGACAGATAAAAATTATTGTTTTGGTATCTATGGATTTTATTAACATCCCTCATATTTATGTCTTAAATATATTCTATATACAGACATTGTCTATTTACAATTTTATTAGTAAAGTTTTTTTTGTATTAAAACTTATTCATAAATTCATATTTGATAAACATTACATGCAGATATTCCCTATGAGGTGGGCATAGTTACTTTTTTTTATATTTTTTTATACAACTTAGAATAGCAAACAAGCTGATGGCCCACCTGATGGAAAGTGGTAACCGTCGCCTATAGACATGAGCACTACCATGGACATAACAGATTAACCCATGATATCCCCATGCGTTGCCATTCCTGAGGATTCAGGTGTTATTCCTCTGTACCCAGTAAATTCACTCCATATCCCACCCTTCAAACAGAAACGAAGCCATGCAAACACACTGCTTTATGGTTGAGACACGAATGGGACAGAGGTACCCAAGCAATCAACTTTTGTACAAAGTCTCTCTCTCTTACTTAGGTGAGATTATTGAAGCTTGAACAAAAATTTAAATACAAAAAAGAAACAACTTTTTCTGATTGTCCATTATTTTTTTTTGTCTATTTCTATCTATGACTTTTGATATATATAGCAATGTTAATTGCCCACACACACATCTTTTGTTTTAAAAAGATATACTATTCGAAGAGATGATTAGAAGTTATTATAACGAAAATAAGATATTAACAAATAAATATATAAATAGCCTATCTAGCAATGCAGATAATAAAGTTTGTAGTAACAATCAATGTACTAAACTATCCTTTCAAACAATACATAATAACCATTCAGAATTTAGTATTGTCGTCCAGTGCTGGACATACACCTCCCCCTCCCACCCCTAAAGGTAAACCACACTGTCAGTAGTTGCTATGCTTGGCAGGCGGGTTGGCAACTGCAGTTAGCCTTTAGTAATGTTTTAAGAGAGATGCTGCTGCTCATCTCTTGACTATTAAGTATCGACCACATATGAAGGATACAGTTTAATCTGAATCATTCTAAAACATATTATAAATAGATCAAACTGTTTATAACTACTCTTCTCCATCCAAAGCTTAGGTGCAAGAGATCGCTTTTAGTGATAAGGTCACCCATTATTTTCTCGCTATGATCATTTCTTGTAATTGTTTGTAATAAGTTTACTTTTCTAATCTTTTGAAGGAAATAAAGAGTCTATAAGTTGTTATATTAATTTGCATATGAAAATATTAACTATGTCAGTCATTTTTATTTTATCACGAAATTGATGAGTATAATTTGTTGACCTTGATGGTCTAGTGACTTAGAAAAATCCTTTTTCAGATGGTCGTAGGTTCAATTCCCACACTACACACCATTGTAATCTTGACTATGTCTGTTTGTACTAGTCTGGGTGTATTATATGTAGATATAATATGTATGTATTTATAGGAAAAAATGTATATCTATCAGTATGTAGTATCTACAGTACAAGCCTGGCTTAGTTTGGCACTAGATGTGTAGTAACTGCGTAATAGGTCGAGTGCTACAATTCTTTATTTATTATATTTATGATATTATTTAATTGTAATTTAGAACAACTTGAATGTATGCACCACTCACACTGGACAGAGTTCGGGTGTTACACACACAAGCATGAGTGCTGTGTGTACATACTTTATAGATAACAGTGTTTTCTTGTAAATTAGAATTATCATAAATTATTTACACAATCTTATCTAATGCTAATTGTTAGTATACTTTGCGTCACTTGTAGTCCTTGCTTGATTGTTACCCTTTCAGTGTTTTAATGATTCAATTAATCATAATGAAAGTTAGCATTTACAAAGTATAAGGCTATTTTAAACTCAGTCAATGCATTGGTATATTTAAAGTCTATGTAGTTTCAGCCATGTCTTTCTGTAAAGCTCGAAAGCTTAGCCTGCTTTCTATGTTGGGCACCAAACAACGCTGCGTTGTCTTGGCCCACCCATCTTCCCTTTCAATTAGTCTATGAATCAATGGGAATAGAGAAAAATGGTTCTCATAAATGATGAATATATATATTTTTTAAATGATTTGTCATACACTCTCTGTAATATACACAAGGAATTAAATACTAAAAAGAAACATCATTTTAACAAAACGGGAAGGCTTTTTATGTTTAGTTTTCTTTGCAAGTTAGTAAGTAGTCTGTTACTACTTATTGTCTATTTGCATTGATTTTAAAATTGATAAAACTCGTTCCAGCCTCACAAAGCCAGAGATCCTGGCGGAACTGATAACGCTGATCACGGAGGAGCCGCCGGACAGCGTGGAGCTGACGGCGCAGTACCGGCACGCGAGCATCGCGTGCGAGGTGCTCACCAGCCACCTGTCCATGCTCAGCGACCGGCTCTCGCTCGACGTCACGCAGATGAACCGGCTCTGCGACTTCCTCAACAAGGAGCCACCGCTTAACCCGCTGCTCGCCTCCTACTTCAGTAAAACTATCGAAATGTTACTGGAGCGCAGTCCCAAACAGGTGAGCCAGCTCACTCAACACCTCAACACTTGCACCTTGAGCTAATCATCTTGACAATATGGATGAAACATGCATTTTTATTATAAATTAGCTGTATACTGCGTATTCGCCCGCGTGAATAAGTTAATAGAGTATATACCTATCTATCTATCCATTTAAGAGCTGCGCTCTTGTCGGTGGAGCTCTTGCCACTTACTACGATTTTCAGCGAGTCTCTTCAGAGTATATACCTACTTATACCAAATTTCATTCATATTCAATCAGTAGTTTTTGTATGGGTAACATCCATCCACACATCCTTACAAACTTTCACATTTATAAGACAAGACCGTAAGCAATTGATTGATGATTGTAAGCAAGTATTGTAATTTTTTTTTACATGAAGGTATTAAATTACAATACCTAGTTATTTCACTACCAAATACAGACTTGAAACTGCAATACTGCATACAAACGAGGCTTTTTTATTATATATGCTGTCGATTTTCTTGCTAGTTCTAGCTAAAGTTATTTGCTGTTAATCTGAAAGGTGTAACTGACGAAGACTGAACTACAATACAACTATAATGTTCTATGTGTGTAAATGTTGTGCGTGTGTATGCGTGTGTGCAGGACTGGTACCTGTACCACATCGTGTGCTTGCGCGTGCTCGACTTCTTCAAGTCGCGGCGCGACTTCCTGCCCAACCTGCTGCGACACATCTCCACCTCCGCCATCGCCGACACCTTCAAGTACTTCATACGGCTCGACGACCTATTCAACAAAATTATAATGGAGGTTAGACACTTACTCCTTTCTTTGTGCAACTTGAAATTTCAAACAAACTGACGGTCCACCTGATGGAAACTGGTAATCGTCATCCACAGATGTTAGCATAGAGAATATGACAGGATATACAGTGACACCTATGTTACCCTTCGTGCATTACAGTTCTTGAGAGCTAAGACTACTTGCTAGCATTATGAACAAATCAATGATTTCATTACCAATATGTCATAACTGACATAAGATGGCTCTAGCAATTTCTTCTAATTTTATTTCATTTTCTATGTTACCTAGAGTATGTATAAATAATACATTCTGATCTATATATATATATATATATATATATATATATATATATATATATATATATATATATATATATATATATATATATATCCGATTAGTTTCGCAACGTTTGAGGTATTGAAAAATATTTACATATTTTATTAAATAAAATTAATAAGAATCTATTAAGTAAATAAATACTTGCTAAAAAACATGTAAGACTAAAACAAGAGATTTTTAAAATGGCAATTATAAAATAGAAAAAAAAAAAACTGTTGTATTGTTTGTAATTATCATAGTTTGCTATGTAAATACTGATACGCTTAGCAATGACATGTGTTTGTGATACAGGCGGCTGTTATTCACTGCACCAATTATATACTATATCAAATATGACTCACACGTCTGGTTAAAAAATTACTCAGTGCCCACCGGCCCGTACCTGTGATGAATAGGTTCAATTCTAAGGCATGTGCTTCAACGGGTCTTCGACCTTTTTTATGACTGAGAGACGCCCACTCACTCACTAATAGAGTCAAATAGATAGTTTTTTTTTATCAACATGATCAATGCTGTTGTCATTCGAAACTTTTGTTGTTTGAGTTAAAAACAGTGTTATTATGGGTGATAATGGAATGGCAACCCCACCCGCGCTATCGTTATACACCGGCGGGGCACCAGTGAAGGATGATAGGTGAGGATGAAACAGGTCAGTTAGCCCATCATGATGAATTCATCACGAATTAACCATGATAGTTTCCAGGGGAAACAGCGAGTAGGTCGACTTGGTTGGGTATATTGCTAGTAATGGGATTCTCAGTCTCCATTACTAACAATCCCTTTCCCCTCTTAAAAACAGTGTTCTCTTTGATCGGTTTTCTCGCTGCGCTACGACATACTACAGACAAAATTGACGGTTTGGAATAAATGACTAGGACAGAAGACCGAAAAGAACACGGACATAATTTTGATACGATAAACTTGCCCTTTAATTTTAATACATTTTGATGACAAATTCGGACCTTCGACGGTACAAGCAGTCCATCGACCTTTCAAGTGTTGCCAATATAGTGGATTTTCCACTAAAACTGGTGGTTTCGCTCCCTATATTAGAGGCAAAAAATTACTTTAAGTGGTTGGTGGATTTTTCTAGTGGTTCAGTAGAATTCAGTTTTAAATATTGAACTACTTTTCAAAGATTCTCAAAGAGAGTGTAGATTTAAGGAACTGGCGAATTTTGCTATTACTCTTCTAATACTGCATCATTCCCATACTGATATTGAAAAACTATTTTGCAGTATGAATATTTTTAAATATGTATTCTGGTTCACTATATTACTATTTAAATATCAGTAAAAGACCGGGTCGTACTTTTGACAGCTGATTTGATTGTCTACAACATGGCCGCCTCCCTAGTGTTGCCCTCGCTTAAGCATAGCATAGATAATAACAATATAAATATACAACAAATATAATAAAAAACAAGCAGAGGGATAGAATTAAGTTAAATCTTTCAACTGCTTTATTAAGGATATGTTTTTTTTTTATACAACTTAGAATAGCAAACAAGCTGACGGCCCACCTGATGGAAAGTGGTAACCGTCGCCTATAGACATGAGTAATACCATGGACATAACAGAGTATACTGTTTCGCCCATGATAATCCCCCCATGCGTTGCCATTCCTGAGGACTCGGGTGTTATTCCTCCGTACCCAGTAAATTCACGCCATATCCCACCCTTCAAACCGAAACACAGTCATGCAAACACAACTGCTTCACGGTAGAAATACAAATGGGACAGAGGTACCCAAGCAATCGACTTTTGTACAAAGTCTCCCTCTGGTAAAATATGTTGTAATTTGGAGAGGTTGGAAGGAAAATGTTGCAGCGAATATAAAACTCCATTTAACGTTGTAAAACAAATTGGTACTAAAGAATCGTATCGATCTGAAATCGACAATGATTGACAACAAACACCAAACAACAAATAAGCCGATTGTAAAATATTTAAAAGTTTAATTGTTTTTTTATACATTGTTTTAGATTTACAATGAAAGCAAAGGCAAATGTAACTTGATTGTTAATACCTGTTTTATTTTTCAATAATAGACGAAACTAATTACTTATTATTTTTGTTTTTGTAATAGTTCAAGATTTGTTTAGTGGAAAACATAGCCATTAACATTAGGGCCGTTTTATGTTAGTGGTTTAGTGGTGAGTTTTACACTCGAATCTGGTGGAGTATTGGTACAATTGTTGGCCACACTAGTTAAAAATGGTTACATTTTTATTTGGGTAATTCTAGACATGGGTAACAAAACGATTTTTCTTGCGTCAATTCAGTAACTGAAGCGCACCCCACTGTGTCGACACATTCTAAATTACGTTGCGGCGCATAGGGTAACCATTATTGTCCTATAATATTTTTTGACATGTGCCAAAAATAAGCGACGAAAAGAATGGCTCTTCGCCGCTCTAGTTCTACTGTTACTTTATTTCACACTCATCCATATATTTTAGTACATACACTTTAAAAAACGAGTCCCAACAAGCAAATCTTGAAATCCAAAAAAAAAAAGAAATTAATTTTTTCAAGCTCATTTCACATATGATATATTTTTATATTGTTATTTTGTAGTGGTTGGAAGAGCATCAGTTTTTGGAGAGCCTAATCCAAATAATCTGTGGCACCTACGTGCCCGAGGAGATCGACCAGACCCAGGAGAAGGGTCAACAGGACGCCAGCGAGAAAGTTGAGCTCACCAACCACGAAGCTGAAGACGCCAAGCCGGAACAGAACACGACCAGTGAACGCGACAAAGGTATTATAATTTTAGTACAAGTTGGTTTTATAGGTTATTTAATATTGCGCGAATGAAAATTGGGCACTAAAAAGAATATGGTACAAGTTGTTACTATTGTTATATTGTGTTTTATTGCTATATATTTTGTGCAACTGTCCTGCGAGGGAGGGAGTACCAATATGTGCTTTGTTTTACTGAAAATGTTTACGGAAGATGGTCAGGGTAATCTCGAGTACAAGTAGCTAGGGTAGGGATGTAGTCGAAAAGGGGTGATGGTATGACATGTGACGTTAAATCCAGAGTCGACGGCCAACGGGAGCGCGACGGACGAGGTGGTGGAACGGGCGGAGTGTGCTGGGCGGGAGGCGGCGGCGGCGGCGGCGGCGGCGGCGCGGCGGCGCGAGCGCGTGCAGGCCGTGGCGTCGGCGAACGCGGCGGCGCTGCTGTGCGACCTGGTGCTGAACGGCTGCGTGGGCGAGGGCTGCAGCAGCCGCTCGCGCAGCAGCTGGGCGCTGGCGGCGCGGCTGGCGGGCGAGGCGCGCGTGCGGCTGCTGCTGCAGGGCATGTTCACGTGCCCGGCCGCCGCGGGCCGCGCCGCGCTCGTGCACGGCTGCCAGCTGCTGCTGGCGCTGCTGCACCGCGGCGCCGACCACGAGCCGCCCGGCGACGGCGCGCGGCGCGGCGTCGAGGCCGCGCTCGCGCCGCACCTGCCGCTGCTGCACCAGGCGCTGCTGCAGCCGCCACCCTCGCCACCCTCGCCACCCTCGCCGGCCTCGTCCGCCGCGACCGCCGCGCACGTCGGCCTGCCGCGCGTGCAGGCCGCCGCGCTGCTGGCGCACCTGCTGCACTCGGACGTGCCCGACGTGCACACCGCGCTCCTCACGCTCGGTCAGTACGCACACCGTGACCGCACGACACCCAGCCAGGACAGGCTACTCTCACGACGTGTGTGTTTCAACTTATATATGATATATGATAGTAGAATTACTGGATACATAACCATAATACTTCAGTTGTCAATAATAATTCAAATGAGTAATCCATCATCTTTACAATGTATTTTATTTCTGCACTTGTATCTTATGCAATAATAAATATATTTTAATTTATAGAAAAGAATGTAAAATTATTGGATTTTATAGTATAATACCTCAGTCTTCAGTAATAAGTACCAACCGAATATCCTGTGATGTTACCATTGCCCCTGCCCATATATATATATATATATATATATATATATATATATATATATAGACCATGATTATCGATACATGAGATATAATGAAGAGTGCGCCCCGTTGCAGGCACGGCGGGCGTGCTGGTGGAGATGTTCTTCTCGTTCCCGCAGAACAACTTCCTGCACGCGCAGGTGTTCGCGCTGGTGGCCAACGCGCTCGCCAACCAGCCCTACCGCCGCCGCTACCTGCACCATGTTAGTACGCAGCACACACGCACACACGCACGCACGCACGCACACGCACACGCATCCACACACACACACACGCACGCACACAGACCTACTCCCACACGCACACACGCATGGCTTACGTTTATGACATAAAATTACAAATTTAATAAACTTTATTCCTTCATTTTTCTTACTTTCCCACAAGACTGTCGAATGTCTGTCCCATTCTATTTTAGCCATGAAGCAGTTGTGCTTGCATGGATGTGTTTGATTTGAAGGGTGAGATATGGCAGTGAAATTATTGTGTTTGGAGTTATGGCACATTAGTCTTCAGGAATGGGAACATATAAAGAATACCATAAGTGTCACTACAGAGTGTAATCTGATGTTGGTCATGTTTATAGGCGTTGGTTATTATTTCCCATCAGTTTCTTTTTGTATGGCTTAGTACATCCATTTCACTTTTGGTCTTGCTACAATTCAGTTTATTACGACACACAGTGCAACACTTGTGGTCCGATTGTACCCGATTGCAAGTAATGTATTATTATTTATTTTCAGCTCTTGGTGGAATGTGATCTTCTAAATCGACTCATGGATCTGTTTGAAGACAAAGAGACTGATAATGATAAGTGAGTACTTAATTATTGTTTCATTTTATATATATATATATATATATATATATATATATATATATAAATGGAGGTATTCTGGTAGTTCATTACATAGTAGAAGGAGGGCTGTCAAGTTTGTTAGTTATTAGTTTTGTATTAGTTTTTTAAAGGATGAAAATGCAATGGTAATTAGATAGATAAACTTTTTATTTGACCCATTTATGACACACGTAAATTTACAAATGAGTTTATACAATCAAATTATTTTACACTTTTTAAAATATACAACAAAAGATAAAATATGGTATCGCCATGTGTGTCGCAGTGACCCAAATAGGCTACAGCTCAATGATAGTTTTGCTTGAAAGCAAAGCACTGATTTTCAGCTGCAGCCTGAAGTTAGGCTACACGGATGCGTGCATCAAACCCAGAGTGTAACTGCTTCTTAACTTAACTAATTCTGCTTGTGTTATCTGTAACCATATTCATTACATAGCAGCCGTTAATTGGTCATTGTTGAACATAGGCCTACCTCTATTGAAAGGGTTTTGTTAGTACTTGTCGTGCTTGGCTGGTTGCCAACGGTAGTTAAGCCTTGGTGATGTTTTAAGAGGGACGCTGCTCCATATCCTTAAGTTTCTGTTATTTGTAAATGCTAGTGAACTACTAGTTAGCGATTCTAGGTGAATGTGATGATGTGAGATCAGGAGGCTCATTCTGACGAATTTACTAATTAATCATGATGGTTTTTAAGGGAAATTTGTCAAAGTCAATCTGACTGCCAATGGGTCTAAAGCTTTATTCCTAGTCAGTTTGATCTTGACAAGTTCGGCCACTGCTATTAATTTAACGTTTGAAGTTTTATATGACTAGTGTTGTAGTGCCGGCAAAATAGTTGAGGACGTGATGTGCGTGTGTGGCGTGGTTGCAGGGAGCCGCGGGCGGTGCGCACTGCCAACACCGGCTACGCGGTGCTCGCGCTCGAGCGGATAGCGCGCGCGCTCGACGACGACCAGCAGCAGCAGCAGCAGCAGCAGCAGCAGCCGCAGCAGCAGCCGCAGCAGCAGCCGCAGCAGCGGGCCGAGGCCGAGCCGGCCGGCGTGCTGGGCGAGGCGCTGGCGGCGCGCTGGCAGTCGTTCCGCGAGCGCGTGCTGCGGCCGCTGCTGCAGCAGCGCGACACGCCGCTCGTACGTACACGCCCACCTCGGCGGCACCGCGCGCTGCGGAATTATACAGCTTAATACACTACACGTTACAGTATTGCCAAATTAATTTACAATTTCATACCATACAATGAAGTATTTTTATATACTGCATGAGGAATCCCATTCTATCTACATCTTTAACTCATGCGCTCCCCACTCCTGGTAATAGGTATCAATACATAAATCAAAATTTTCTAAATATGCATCCCCCCACCCCCCCCCCCCCCCCCCCCTCTATTTCGACACGCATTCAAATATGCGTTACGAACATTCGCAATTTTGAATACAATTAATGGTATTTTGTTGCGCTGTACTTGTTGAATAATAACAATCGTGACTGTATTATACATTCATACCAGTTTTACTAATATTTCAATTTCTGCAGTTAATTAATCCACGAACTGTGTAAAGACTCATGAGTTTTAAACTTGTCAGTCATTGCTGAATTTTAACCTTAACAAGGTCGATGTAAATAAATAATAAATTAATATAATAATAAATCTTCTGTCAAAACGACATTTCATTTTTACATTTTACAAAATAAAAATTATATAGATAGATATATGTACTACACTAATTATGAATACACATAGCAAGACACTAATTTTATACAATTTACAATACAAATAAATTTTCATATTCCAGGGCGGATACTATCCATCAGAAAATATATATGAGGTAAGAATGTACAAATATTTATTACATTATATTTTAAATACGTATTTATACAATATCCGTCTTAATTTTCCTTAAATCCGATTGCAAATAATAATTTATAAACATTATCTGTACGTATATCAGAGACTAGAAATTGTGAATGCGTCACCGACGCCATTTCGTGTTGTGTAGGTAGACAACATGGCCGACCCGCTGATGGCCGGATATGACGTGAGTGCCACGCGGAACACGCCCCGCATTTACCGCGAGATTCTCATATTGCCTTACTGCCATTATTTATAACGCCCATTTTAATTGTACTACTTTATATTTCAATTGGTTGCTCATATTCGTATATTAATTTCACTAAAGTTGTCAAAAAATTTTAATTCCTTTTGATATTTGTTTTGTAAAAAAATAGCTTAGTCACTGCAGATTATAGTCAAGTTTGCACAGTATATCAGCTGGTGAGTACTTTGATACGCCCATTAGTAAGAAACCCGAGTGATTGAGGAACGAGTCAGTCGACATCGATTGACGTACCGGCCGTAAATCGTAACTTTATATCGGCTCTTCTTAGTAAAAACTATTGATGTTAATGCCCAACAGTGGGATATAACTCCGGGTGATTTGATAGTAATACTCAATGGACAGTACATGTTAGTAAAGATATTATATTAAATAAATAAATTTTTTTTTATACAACTTAGAATGGCAGACAAGCTGACGGCCCACCTGAAAGTGGTGACCGTCGCCTATACACATGAGCAGTACCATGGACATAACAGAGTATACTGTTTCGCCCATGATACCCCCCATGCGTTGCCATTCCTGAGGACTCAGGTGTTATTCCTCTGTACCCTGTAAATTCACGCCATATTCCACCCTTCAAACCGAAACACAGCCATGCAAACACAACTGCTTCACGGTAGAAACACGAATGGGACAAAGGTACCCAAGCAATCGACTCTTGTACAAAGTCTCCCTCTGGTGAATATATAATAATAATTTATTTGTTAGAATATGGTACAACAAGATGACAGTAGTAAATTAATTCCCATTATATTCTGCTTTTACCAGCGTACTAAAATTTTTTAAAGCATATAAACTATTACAGTCGGCGCGGGCGCGTCGCAATTGTCCAGACAATTACCAATTACATTAATATAATTGAATCTCAAAATTATTATTCTTGACTATAATGTGCACTGGCTGTGTGTTGCAGCGATGTTGCATGAAGTGATACGCTTCATTGTTTCGTTCTAATTCTCTATTGACTGTACACTAATGTTTAAATGTTCAGGATCCCAAATCGATAACGGAAGTAGATTATTTTAAGCAAAATCAGCGTCTGGCATTTTATTTATACCTGGCCTTGTGCCCGCTTCTTTGTATTTTATTTATTCATTAGTACATATATGTGTACATGGCGGACTTAATGCTAAAAACATTTTCTCTCTCATTGTATGAGTGGATTTTAGAAATAGGAATGCTAACAAGAGAAATCACTTTTGGATGTTGCATCGAGTTTTTTTTTTTTTTAATTTTTGTTGAGGCTACAGTACACCTGGGTGACTATGCCAGCCTCGTAGGGAATGTTCTGAACGTTAGGTTTATTAATTTGTTAGGGACATCTTTACCCACAAGTTTATTTTTTTAATGGGTGATAATGGAATGGTAATCCCGCTTGCGCTATCGGAATACGCTGGCGGAGCACCAGTGAAGAATGATAGGTGAGGATGAAGTAGGTCAGTTGGCCCGTCGTGACGAATTCAACAAGAATTGTTCACGATGGTTTCCAGGGGGAACCACGTGGAAGTCGACCTAATAGGCCATATTGCTAGCAATGGGGCTGTCAAACTCCATTGCTAACAATCCCTTTCCCTCCTACCCACAAGTATTGTGACTGCCAGGTTGACTGAGTATTACATTAATAAAACCATTATATGATGGCATATCCCCCAGAGCAATCAAGATTAAACATATATCAGATTTAAAGTTAAACCTGAATTTTTTTTATACGACTTAGAATTGCAAACAAGCTGACGGCCCACCTGATGGAAAGTGGTAACCGTCGCCTATACACATGAGCAGTACCATGGACATAACAGTACACACACATACTGTTTCGCCCATGATACCCCCCATGCGTTGCCATTCCTGAAGACTCAGGTGTTATTCCTCTGTACCCTGTAAATTCACGCCATATCCCACCCTTCAAACCGAAATGAGAATTCAAATGCGAAACCGCTTTAATTTTTGTACAAACATCAGACGGATAAAGTTTCTAAAAAAATGTTTTAGAATCACTATTGGTTTTATTAAGAAGCCCCATATCAATATTTCTTAAATATTCCCCATGAACAAACATTGTTTAGTTATTATTTTTTTTTATATTAGTAAGTTTTCTATTAACGAGATATAGAACACAAATGGTGATACTTGTATATGTATACTTAGTTGTTTTAGCAATATCTCTCATTCTATTTAGTTCAGCCTACGTTCACCCATTATTGGGTGTAGGCTTCTTCATGATTGCACCTTCCCTGTCCGTCCTTGGCCATGTGCATCCAGCTCTTGCCCATCGCTACTACTTATATCATTGAACCCAGCGCATGGATTGTTTCCTTATATTCTTCCGGCTCATTTCTGATCTTCATTTTGCTATTTACCGGCGCCAACGTTCATCCACATGTCTGCTCATGTGGCCTGTCCATCTCCACTTTAACCTGGAAACTACTAGGGCAGTGCTTTTAAATTTCAGTGCGCTTTCGGATTTCTATGTTTGATCTCTCATCTAACTTAATACTTCTTTCTTTGTTTTTTTTTTATTACATTTTAAACGTAATTAAAACAATATTGTTGAAGTGAAAGAATACGGAGAATGTGTTGTTTTAATTTTATTCGATTTCTTTTTAAATATGATTCTTTTTCTGATTAAAATGTGATTTTATCAGTTTTCAATTGGTTATCCATGTTGGTTTCCAATATATTGTACTGCAATGTATGTATGTTTATTTATGCGCGTATTGTTTGATGTTTAGAATTGCTGTATATATGTATATGTAGTGGTCGGCTCGTAGTAGGTACGGTGAAGCGGTGTCTGTACGTGTGTGTGTTGGTTGCAGTACAACGACGTGACCGCCAGCGCCGACGACGCCATCGACAACACCGGCGCCGACCTCAACCAGGTAACAATTTACTTACAAAATCACTTACTTGTAAAAACCCAAAATGGTTTATACAACTCCAAATGAAGTGGAATTAAATTTATTTGCCAGAACGTGCGTGAACAAAATGGCAACCGGAGATTGATGGCTAATAATATGGAAGGATGTGGAACTACTGGTAGTAATAGTGGTGGTCAATCTTCGAGTGTTGCCAGTCGCATACATACTAATGGTATGGTAATAAACTGTTTCGTAATTTGTATCGGTTGTGTGGTAGATGTGCGTGGCGGGCGTGGCGGGCGTGGCGGGCGTGGCGGGCGGCGAGGAGGCCGCCGACAGCGCCGAGATCGAGTACGCGGCCGACGCGCTCGGGCTGCAGCCCGAACCCCACGTCAGTACACAATTAATTAAATAATCGTCAATGTATTTGGACAGGCACCTAGAGAATATCGTCCCGGGATCCCGAAAGACAAAGGCAATGGGCTGTTACATATGCAACTATAATAATTATATATAAACTTATTGTATAAATTAAAACAAATAATTAAAAATGATTTTTGACTGACCACAGATGCAAAAAAAAAAGTTATCAACCTTCTACCAAAAACTACCATAAATAGAACTTTTTGGTAGAAGGTTGAAATAAGAATAAGATTAAAATCTTGTATTGCAATTGATTAACGATGATACAAATATATATATATATATATATATATATTTGTGTATAGCTGCATATGTAACGCCCCGTTGCCTTTGTCACTCGGGATCCCGGGATTGTATTCTCTGTATACACCATAGACTTGTTTTAAACACGTCTAGGTATTTTATTTATCGAGTATTTTTAAAAAAGGAAGAGTTTCTTAATACAACTGTATTTCCTTCTAATAGTTTTAAAGTGTTGGTACCATTGATTTCTCTACTAATTTTGTTACAACTGATAATTTTATTTGTAGAATTAGATTTTAAATTATTCTAATGAATCAATATTTCAGTAATAATATTAGACAGTATAGTAAATATTGCATAGTGATTTTTTTTTTTTATTTTTATTTTTTATTTACATAATGTATTATGTAGACAACCGTTCACTATGGTGGATATTTCTCATACCATCCATCGTAGAGTATTAAATATTCATATACATATTCTTTTGTTTATAATATTGTATAATGATTATTGAATCGTCACTGTCAATTTCTTTAATAGTTCAACTGTTACGTACTTTTTTTTTTAATGTGTGATAATGGAATGGTTTCCCCCATTGCTAACAATATGCCCTGTCAGGTCGACCTTTACGCGGTTCCCCTGGAAACCATCGTGGTTTTTTTTTAATAGGTTATAATGGAATAATAACTCCGCCCGCGCTATCGGTATACACCGGCGGGGCACCAGTGAGAGATGATAGGTGAGGATGAAGCAGGTCAGTTAGCCCATCGTGACGAATTCAACAAGAATTGTTCACGATGGTTTCCAGGGGGAACCACGTGGAGGTCGACCTAATAGGGCATATTGCTAGTAATGGGGCTGTCAAACTCCATTGCTAACAATTTCTTTCCCCCCACTGCTACGTATTTGATTACAGGCGGAGAACGCGGAGAGCAACTTCTTAAAATTGGCCAGCCAACGCTTCGATGACGAGTAAGTTTTATTATATTAACAGGCACGTGCATTAATATTGTACTGTATTTAATGTATGTTATACATGTTATGAGGCAATGTGTAGAGAATGGATGAAAGAAGAATTACGAAAGAGATTTATCGAGCAAGAATGAATGCAGACGCCGGAAATTAAGCTAAATAGGTGAAGGTCGTTACTTAAAATATTTTTAGTAAGAAATTACGAAAATAATAATTATGAATTTTTTTTATGCAACTTAGAATGGCAAACAAGCTGACGACCCACCTGATGGAAAATGGTAACCGTCGCCTATAGACATGAGCAGTACCATGGACATAGCAGAGTATACTGTTTCACCCATGATACCCCCCATGCGTTGCCATTCCTGAGGACTCAGTTGTTATTCCTCTGTACCCTGTAAATTCACGCCATATCCCACCCTTCAAACCGAAACACAGCCATGCAAACACAACTGCTTCACGGTTGAAACACGGATGGGACAGAGAGAGAGGTACCCAAGCAATCGACTTTTGTACAAAGTCTCCCTCTGGAGATAATTCTTTCATATTGTTTAAAAAAATAGTAAAATTTTGAGGTGAAAGTTAAAATTCGGTATTTGTGGATCTAAGTATGCATGGATAATCTCACTAAACACGACGGCTATTTTAATTATTTTTTATTTAAACGATTCTTTTTTAATATTAATATCTCAGAATCTTTCTAGATTTTAAAACATGTATTGATGCCAGAATTAAAGAAAGTGGAAGTCATTTTTGTTTTATGCGGGTTTTTGGGAATACATACTTATAAGAATGGAAAGTATTTGTTAATTAATCGTATTAGACTTAATGTAAAAACTATTGAATTGTATTTTAAGTTTAAATTCTTAATGCTCATCTTAAATTTAAATGCGTAAAAACTTATTTATTAAATCTATACTTATAATAAATCTGTAGAGAGGTCAATTCTGTACATGAAATATATTTCCAAAATAACTATCAGGCGGTGATTAGTGATCGATACTGATGCCAAAAATGCAATCAGTAACATTTTTGTCTGTCTGTCTGTCTGTCTGTCTGTATGTTCGTTATAGAAACAAAAACTACTCGACGGATTTTAACGAAACTTGCTACAATTATTCTTCATACTCCTGGCCAGGTTATAGTATACTTTTCATCACGCTACGATCAATAGGAGCAGAGCAGTGAAGGGAAATGTTGGGAAAACTGGAGAAGTTACTCCATTTTTAATCTTCCGTCGCGTGTGCAGCCTTAATGGCCACTTTTTAAAATGTAAAATTGTCCACCCGTGCGACGACGGGACGGGACGGGCCGCTAGTAATTAAGAACACTAGGATAATAATTAGGTGTCAAAAATTTTACCATATTTTAAGCCTATTAAAAATAATCAGGGGAATCAGCAAAGAATAATATATTGTATGTTACAATCAACAACCGTATATGAACATCTAGTTACCATAGCGACCTAAACACAGATATATAACTACACTGATTTAAAATCACTAGACGTGCCACATACTGGAAGTGCTTCCATAACAAAGCCTCGATTTTCCATCTAAATAATGTAAGGTGTACACATATAATATATAACTTTAATATTTCGTGATTTTATGTGAAATGTTTATATGAAGAATATATGTATTACTTAATATTAATTTTACCAATTGAATTTTATTAATTATAATAGTTGCGGAATGAGCTCCCTGCCGAGGTTTTCCCAAGAGACTACAGCATGGGGTTCTTCAAAATGGGGGTAAAGAGGTTTCTTCAGGGTCGGCAACGCGCGCGTAATACCTCTGGTATTGCAGGCGTTCATAGGCTACGGTAACCACTTACCATCAGGTGGGCCGTATGCTTGTTTGCCACCTCAGTGGTATAAAAAAAAAAAAAGACATACAAGATATACTAAATTCTGTTGGTTTTATTATTTTAAAAATTAGTTAAATTTTGAATTATAGCTAATTATTAGTCTTTAATTATAAGTGTGTGTGCGTGTGTGCCGCAGCAGCATGTGGGAGGAGGGCCCGACGGAGGAGGAGTGCGCGGGCGAGGAGGAGGAGGAGGAGGAGGAGGAGGAGGCGGCGCTGGACGCGGCGGCGCGCCAGCGCATCCGCGAGGTGCTCGGCGAGCTCGCCCGTGAGTACCACGCGGCTCTATACTATACACTTGTTATTTGAATATACCTATGTACGTACGATATAATATTACTTTTTTTTTATGGTTGAAAATGGTATGGTAACCCGGCTTGCGCTAACGGGATACGCTGGCGGAGCACCAGTGAAGGGTGATAGATGAGAATGAAAACAGGCCAGTTAGCCCATCATGATGAATTCAACAAGAATTATTCACGATGGTTTCCAGGGGGAACCACGTGGAGGTCGACCTAATAGGGCCATATTGCTAGCAATGTCGAACTCCATTGCTAACAATCCCTTTCCCCCCATATTCCTATTATTGGACAATTAATTCATGTATTATTGTTGCTTGCTGAGCAAGCACTATTTTGGGTGATGTCTTTGACCATCTTATATGACATATATAATAACTTCTCGATCTTTCCGTTTCTATTTTGCTCTCCTAGTATGTTTTTTTTTTTTAAATCGTCACTTTTTATAAAATGGTGTCATTTATTTCCTATTGCAATTAATACATGTGTAGGATTTTATTTAATGTGTGTAGATGTAATTTAATTTGAATTTATGACTACATTTTGAAAGTAGTGGGATGAAATTGGTTCTGTGATGTCCGTTTTATTAATTGTTATCGATGTTGGTTTCATGAAACTAAGACTTTTTTTATTGATGTTTTTTTGTTTTTATATTTCAATTTATTTATTTATTTAAGGCAAACAAACAGCAAAAACAATACATAATTATATACTTAAATAGTAATTTGGCAGCCACAAAAATTTGCACAAATAAAATACAAGTAAATGAAACACAAAATTAGACAATACTAAATTGATTTGATTTTAAACTTTTAAATTACTTTTATTGTGTAGTGTAGGGCATTTATTAATTATGCTTGAAATGGGAGACGGAGGAAAGTACAGATTTTACTTCAAATATTTTTTATTTCATTAGCATAAAAGGGAGAGACTCTTATCCATACGTCATTAGATATTACCAGAGGGAGACTTTGTACAAAAGTCGATTGCTTGGGTACCTCTGTCCCATTCGTGTTTCAACCGTAAAGTGTTTGCATGGCTGTGTTTCGGTTTGAAGGGTGGGATATGGCGTGAATTTACAGGGTACAGAGGAATAACACCTGAGTCCTCAGGAATGGCAACGCATGGGGGGTATCGTGGGCGAAACAGTATACTCTGCTATGTCTATAGTACTGCTCATGTCTATAGGCGACGGTAACCACTTTTCATCAGGTGGGCCGTCAGCTTGTTTGTCATTCTAAGTTGTATAAAAAAAATTTGAATGAAGTACATGGGGAGACTGAGGAGAGGGGGGGATGTTTAGTTTTACATTTGTCGTGTTTGGATGCGCGGAGCTGGTGGTGCGTCGTATATAAGCCTCGTGTCGGTTGTGGCAGCGTGGGAGGGCGGCGAGGAGGCAGTGGCGGCGGCGGGCGGCGGCGGCGGCAGCGGCGGCGGCGGCTGGGCGCAGTTCGAGGCGTTCGCGGCGCCCGCGCCCTTCGACGCCTTCTGGCCATCCGCGCACAGCGCAGGTACGCCACATACTACTTGACTAGTCACCCCCCTCGTTTCTTCTATATACTCACACAGATAGACTGGTTTATTTGCCAGAACATTGTTTGTACACATATTGATTTATTGTGAAGTACAAATGTTCGCCTTATAGTCCAAAGCATGCAAAATATTTACTGGTTAGATACAAGTCATCGTACTTAACATTAGATCAATTATTAATTCGATTAATAATAATAAAATCATAATAGTATGTGTAGACGACGCACTATGATTTAGTTTTGTATTATTTGTACTTTTTTACACCTATTTTTGTATACCTATATAAATGTACCCACTTATAGTTTTATTATTAATACAGTCCATTGTAAATAAAAATTAAAAGTACTGAGGGCACGCACTATACTTATAAATATAGAATTACCTTTTTCCTTGATTTAGTGCGTGCTCTGACAGTGCTTAGGCAACATCTAAGAAAATTGTTTTTTTTTATTTCGCATCCTTTATAGTATGTTAAAAAATCAATCAATAATGATACATTTTGATTCAGTTCAATGTCAGTGCTATTTAATGATAAAATACAAATTATGTCATTCTGTAAATAATATAACAATACTTACTCATAAAATGTATCTTGACGTATTATTTAATAATAGTACATTACTGCAGCGACCAGCAATTGAGGCATTGATGGACGAACGTACAAATATGGGCCGAGGCGTAGCCGAGTTCCTTTGTTTTTTTTTTTCAATAAACAGCTTTCTATTTGCATACCAGTTCGAAATTTAAATAAAACATTTTATTAGTTGCCTCCTTGGTAGCCATGTTTCGAAGTAAAAAGTCATTCCATTTTTAAATTACAGGACAGGTATGAGTTTACATAGTAATTTATCTGGCTGTAAAACACGACAGATATGAATTTTCATACAACTTTTGCCGGTCGCTGCCCGCATGTATCTGACCAGTACGGCAAATTTGATTTATCTCGAAGAAGATTGTCTAAATAATGCTCACATTTCAAAACATATTTGAGAAAATAAAATTAGTTATGCCTTAAAAGGATGCAGAAGTTATATCAGTCAGTAAATAAGTCAGTAAAACTTGACCGATCACTACGAATTTTGATATTAACTATGAGAGATAGGGAAAAACAGGCTACTTTTTTTTTCCTTTATCCTTGTCAACAAACATGGCCCGGTCATGGAGACAAAGTCGCGGGTAAAAGCGCCATTCCACTTTGGGTTTGTTGGAAGAAAACTCTACTAGAGTTAAGCTCGCCTTTGTATATTTGTTTACCTCTGTCATATTCTTAAAACTAGTGTGTACAATTAAGAATTAAATAAATAAATAAAAACATTTTTTTTTTAATAAATACAGCAGTAGGTCGACGACTGATCATTATTGATTCTTCGAGCTGTGACCAGCTTTAGTGTCACTTCAGCTTGCTTATTCTTCGGGCTATGTCGGCCACTTTGGTTCTTCAGCGAATGTACTCATTTCGGATTGTATGAAACAAAGAAACTCCGCGCATAGCCGTAGCTCGCTAAGTAGCTTAAAGCTTTTGCACATACACAACCGTGTTTCAATTCCATAGGTTTTTTTTTTAATGGACTATAGTGGAATGGTATGGATGATACTCCGCCTGCGCTAACGGTATACACCGGCGGGGCACCACTGGCAGAACATAGGTGAAAATAAAAAGGCAGAACAGTTAACCCATCGTGACGAATTCAACGATAAATTAGTCACGATAGTTTCTAGGGGGAACCGCGTGGAGGTCGACCTGATAGGGTATATTGATAACGATGCCGACTAATGGGGAGTAATAGGGAGGCCATTACTAACCCCTTTCCCCCCAATTCCGTAGGTTATCACAGTGCAAACTGGTGTTTCAAACTTTGAGGTATTTTTAATGAGAACATGTGAGTAAACGTTAAGCATTATTTTAACAATGTTGTCAATAAATGTTTTCTTTCTTTCTTTCTTTCTTTCAATAAATTACAGACGAGTGTTCGCAAGACAACGTAGAGGCCAGTATGCACAGACTGCAGCTCGACGAACCGCTCCAGAAGCCGCTGGACGAGGCGAGCACGGCGGAGCTGGCCAACAACCTGCTGACCGCCATGAGCGGCATGTCGCCCGACGTCGTCGCCAACATCGTCAACGCCAACACCACCGCCGTGGACGCGTTCACCATCGCTGACCCGCCCACCACCGCCGCCGCCGACACCGTTGACGACAACGCCCCGGCCGAAGCTCCCAGTGTGGACGCCGTGCACAACTCAGCCAGCGAGCCCGCCGTGGGCACCGAGTCCAGCGTGGCGGGCGCAGACGACGCCAGCAGCGCGAGGTGATGGCCGCCGCAGGTGGGTAGCGGGCCGCCGTTCCGACCGGGCCGGTCGCGGCAGGCGGCCGGCGCCGACTGTTGACCGGCGGGCGAACTGTTTTGTACTCCCCCTTGTATTAGCTAATAGTAGCCCGATGAAATGTTTTGTATATTGAAGCGTACGACCGACGGATATGTAGACGGATATGTCATATTCTAGTTTATTGCTAAGAAAGTAATGTACTAACGCTTCGTATTGTTTAACTTAGCCATCCATCGAAACACCCCCCGCTCTGTGATTAATCAATGTTCGAATCATCATCATTAATAGTCATTAAAAGTATATCTAAATAACGTGTGTCGTGTTGTGGCAATGACTGAGTACGATTTCTTAGCAATAAATATAATTCAGTTGCTGTGATGTATTTAATTATACTTACGATGGAACGTTGCCTAGTACCGACCTGCCGACGGTACCGACTGTCCCCCGCACGGCAGCGGCGCACACTAGTACTGTCGACGTATGATACCGTACTGTCTGTGTTATTACATAAATAAACTTACAGCTCGTACATGGATAGCAGGGCGTCGGCCATGATTTTAACTGGTGATCTCACCTTTATTACTTTAATAAAGATATTTTGTGTAATTGAATGAATAATAAGATATATTTTTTAATGGAAAGCCTTAAAAAGCAGAATAATAAATAATACATTATAATTGGTTATTTGGTTAGATTTATTATGTTTTCCGCTACCATAGTATGTGTATATAGTATGCGTGCGACTGGCAACACTCAAAGATGGACTACTATTATTATTACCAGAAGTTCTACAACCTTCCATATTAGCCATCAATCTTCGATTGTCATTTCGTCTACGCACGTTTTGTTACGTGTTTCACCACTAAATGAGGCATTTCAGGCTATATATTTTATAATAGATCGCTGCTCGGTTCGATGTCCAAACAAGAGTAGCAGTTTGGATGTTGCAAAACATACTTGGACGAAATGGCAGTCGGAATGTTGTAAAATTTATGATAATAATAATAGTAGTCAATCTTTGGGTGTTGCCAGTCTCACACGTACTAATTGTAGCGGAATTGAACAAAATAATTCTAATGAAATAAATCAGTCAATGGACATACGTAAATATAAAATTTAGTTCAAAAATAAAATATTAAATTGTTATACTAGTAATGTATTCACTTTTATTCTGAAATCCTTTTCTTTTATTTAGTAACAATTTAAAAAATGAACTATTATTACAGTTTACCATTTGAAACGATCGCTTCCCTGTTGTCACAAGTGCTGGTGTGTTCCCTTGACGTGCGCGACGCTACAGTTCCACAGTTTTATTCGTCGGCAGTGACGTCACCCCTCAACTCCTCTTATCTATTACATGCACAAAGATGTGATCCAAATGTATTTATGTAAATGTTAACATACTGGATATATGGGAGAAGTTTATAATAGACTGTGTCTGTGAATGAAGCTACATTAATCATAAAACAAATGTAATTGTCTTAATATACGATAATCTGCATCATGGATTGTAAGCTGCATAGTATGCAGTGCAGTAAGTCCGCTTGAATCATTTAATTAAAATGCATACTGTACATTGTGTCATCATTATATATATATACGTACACATTTATAACTGTATAAGTTCATTTCATCGCGTAGATAAAGAAGTCTGATGAAACCAATGCGGTCCAATACTTTGCTACGGCTCCTTTACAGTTTGGGTTCTTATACAAAATGAATTAAGTGTTTGTTGTCACGCGGGCAAAGATTCCGGTTTGGAATATGTACAAAATGTAATATACAATTTATTTAGCCAATTCAATCGAGCTTTACTTTCCTATAGTGTCAGCTGCGGCCGGCGGGCGCGCTCAGCTTTCAGTTACTGCTATCTTAGTTTGAAGTCCCAAAACATTGTCAAGTCTCCAAAGACCATATTGCCCCAAATCTCATTTTGCCCTCACAACATATTTTCCCATATATTCCATTGCGCCCACATATCTCATTGTGCCCCCATATTCTATTGTGCCCCCCATATTCCATTGCGTTCGCATATCTCATTGTGCCCCTATATCCTATTGTGCCCCCCATATTCCATTGCGTTCGCATATCTCATTGTGCCCCCATATCCTATTGTGCCCCCCATATTCCATTGCGTTCGCATATTTCATTGTGCTCCCCATATCCCATTGTGTCCCTATATCCCATTGTACGCCCATGTTCTATTGCGCCCGCATATCTCATTGCGCCCGTATATCTCACTTTGCCCCCATATCTTATTGTGCCCTCATATACCATTGTGCCTCCATATCTCATTGTGCCCTCATATCTCATTGTGCCCCCATATGTCATTGTGCCCCATACCCCATTGTGCCCTCAAATGGCGGCGCGGCGCCGCGTGCGGTGTGCCCGCCGGCCGCGGCCGCTACGGCCGGTACAGGCGGCGGCCGGGCCTGGTGTCTGTGGACGAGACCAGCGCATGGTATGGTACAGCGCGTGCGTGATGTTACGTTGTAAGCCCCAAGTGCCTGGCCGGTGCGGCGGCGCGCTCCATCCCTCGTCACGTTGTCGCTTCACTGCCTCGTGCAATATTGGTCTCAGTGTTCGTATCTCGTCTTGTATAATATAATATAATATAATATAATATATAGTTATATAGCGTTAATGCAATGCATACTGTATGCATACTGTGATGTTATGAGCGACGCGCGTCTGATTACCTACGTAACTGTAGAGTGCGGCTCGCGCGTCCGGCGTCCGGCGTCCGGCGTCCGGCGTCCGGCGTCCGGCGGACGGCGGACGCGAGGCGACATCTTAGCATTTCTATTTTATTATCTGTAGATATTGTAATATTAGTATTGTATAGATTGTCACTGTCACGGTGAACGGAGAACAATCACAGCATATTGGAGTCGGTTCTAAAGTACCTCTATTTATTTATTTCTCTAAACCTGTATTTATTGTGTTTGTAAATTATTGTTTTATGGCCAATCGAAGAATAAATTTATAATAATTTCGACTTAATTCTATTAGAAATGTAGTTCAAATTGCTCTTTTTAATAAAGATTTCTCAAATTGAAATTATAATTTTAGACATAGAGAAATAGCGCTTCAGCATCGACTTAATAAACTAGTTTTTATTCGACACTATATAGCGTAGTAACTCGAAGGTTACCTACTGCAGTGTTAGATCCGTTCACCATATTCTCACGGCCAAATTCGGGCACAAACCATTCGAAGATGAATTTCCAAACGGCATATTGTTATAACAGTAGTTAAGTATTAAAGCAATTATTTGTAGTTTATAAACAATTTGTATTATTGTATCGCGTGTCAAAACCGAGAGACGTGAGTCGTTCCACCGTTCGATGTAATGCGTCTGTTTATTCCTCACGTCGTACAACTAGCAGGTCGCTGCGGCTCTTGTACTGTTTTAATGCCATTCGTTGCTTTTGACTTATGATACTTGAATTACAAACAAGACATGGCATATCCTTATGGTTTTATTAAATACTGACATTGTCCATACTTTTTGTTAGATTTTCCTAAAACTGTTTTTCGATTAAAGATAGATAGATACTCTTTATTGTTTCCTCCAAAAGATTACAATAGTAAACTTATTATAAATACAAATAATTACAAGAAATAATCACAATGAGAAATCAATAGGCGACCTTATCGTTAAGAGCGATCTTTAAAGGCTAATATATATGTTTTAGTGTTTTGTTTTGTTAGAAAGAGACAACGAATATGGCTTTGTAGCGACGCTTCGTCTCCTGGCCTCGCATCTTGTACACGTACACAGTGTCGACAACACGACTCGTATTTTAGTTAATACATTTTATTGTTAAAAGTTTTGTAAACACACTTTATATTTTAATGTAATAACCACCGATTTAACTTACTTGTATAATTAGAATGAAAAAGCTCAACTAGTTTGGGAATCAATTCGTGGTCATTAGTGATGAGCGACTGTGACGCGAGCACGTAATACTAAAACGCGAGTAAAACTGGTAGTTACTACATTAAAATCAATACAATGGTTTATTTTTATAATTGCTAAACATGTCCTGCTCCAGTCCGAGAAGGCATGCGCCGTGCCTTCCGTTGTCCGTTCTCAGTGACCAGACAGATCCATATTGCGTTTGGTAGTTAGCATTCGAGCCGCGACCTCGCAGTGTTGCCATAACTATAACGTTGTTCAGTGTGGAGTGACGTATAACAATTTGGAACGTGTTCAATTCACATTTCAATTCAATAGTGTTGCTATATTACTATAATGGCGGTCGTATACAGGGCCGGCGCGGCTGCAAGCTTAACCTAGCGTAGCCTTACTCTCGTACGTAACAAAGATGGCGCCGTGGTCGCGTGGCGGCGCGCGGCCGACCACGCACTTTCTGTTTTCAATATCAAATAGTCATATCGATTCGAGGAATATTAATATAATTATATCAAGTAACATATCGGTAGTTGGAAACGGAACGCGGCGGCCGCGCGTGGCCGTGCGAGCTCGCGCGTCCGGCTCGGTTAGCGGCCATCTTTAAACGCTTCCAATGCGTTTGTTAGTTTTGTTTTATTTCTAACTGTGACTGATCTCCCTTGTGATGCTTGTTTAACCAGTGCTGTGTGCATAATATTAATAATTTACTTTGTGCGACTGGCGAGCCAGTTCGCCGCGCAGTGTTGCCGTATAAAATAATACAATCGATGTGGCAGAGTTTATTTCGTTCGACGAGTGAATAGTATTCGCGTAGTTAACTCGTAATTATTGTTAGATATCATATTTTTTTATTGACATGTTCAAAATCGAATTCATCTTTAGTTTTCATTGTTCGTGTTTTACGTTGACGTGCTCCTAGACACCATGCACGATTGTATAATGTATTCGTATGTTTAAATCGGCACTATAGTGAGTTAATACCGTCTCGCTCTGGAATCGCTGTTCATACGCGTAACAGTGGCCTAAATGTTGTCGTAATATATTTCTGTGATTGTAACCAATGGGATATGAGAATAGGGTATACAGAACGTGGATGGGAGTGCTCTAGTGGGCTTTCCTCTCCGTACGCGGCCCGGACGTCTCTGAGACGTCGCCGTCGCTGGCAAGTGGCGCGTGCGCAGTTGACGTCCGCGGTCACTTTGCATTAGGGGCTCCGCCCCCGTCGTCGCTTATTATTTTTCTAGTAGTCGCCAGTAAATTAGTCGTAAGTACATCGGCAGACATTTACATTTGAACGCGCCCTAAACATATTGTGAATTCATATCGTATTCGTTTGAATGTTAGGCAAATTTTGTAATGAATAATAAATATTACGAGCCATTCCAGTCGAGATCGTGGTTCATAATCAATTGGTTGGATTTTATACATTTTTTTTTAATTTACTTTATAGAAATTGTATTATAATGTAAGTGTATGTGATTACAATATATGGTAAGGAGTGTGATGCGGCGGGCGGGGCGAGCCGCGCGGCCGCGCTAGTGTCGGCGCGGCGCCGCCCGACTGGTGCTAACTATAAGTTCCGTGCGCAGCGCTGCAGCTCGCCAACTCTGTACGCGTAACAAGTACTGGAATTGCCCGCCGCCCGCCGCCCGCCGCCGGAACCGTCGCATGTGTTATTGAGTTTATTGAACTCCTATCTATATACCTCAGTTATTAATACATACGTGGCTGCAGCGGCGGGGCGGGGCGGCGGGCATTCTCGAGTCCCAGTTGTTTGTATACCTAGTGTCCTATGGCGCTGCCGGCTGGGCCGTTTTCCATTGTACATTAGCATATTCATAATCAATTGCTTCGTACCGTCGGAGCAAGTGGAAACTAGTTTATTGTAGTCGAACAAAGAGGAAGGTACATCAAGATTATCTCAAGGCTACATTCCAGAGTTGTCCACTTGCGCCGTCGATATTTGACATGCTACTTCCAGTGGGTAGTTTTACTATGTTGTTCAGTATTATCGGCACATGTGCAGCCCAGCCGGCAGATGGCGCGCCGGCCGGTTTAGGAAGACAGCATAGATACATTGTCAATTTACAAGCGACACTTGTGCGTCGATCGTCTCCCTAAACCATATGTCGGCGTGTGACGCGGTGGTATTTGAAATATTAGTGCAATTAGTCGTCGAAATTATTCTCTGTATTACTGTAATGTGATTTGATGACTAGAACATTATATATATATATATATATATATATATATATATATATATATATATATATATATATATATATATATATATATATATATATATATATACATATAATAACAGTGTCTTTGTATGGCTACGTACAATGTGACGTCGTCCGCGCGCACACAGCGGCTAATTTGGACTCAGTGAATCGTAAAGGCCCCTATGATGATCGGACAAGCGTAACAACGAAATCATTAGAACAAATGCATCACCGACCTGGATATGTCAACTATCCAGAGAACGGTGTGATATCCCTTCATTACCTGCACAGAACTTTCCCATAGACTGTCGAAGGAATTGTCCTAAGCTACTTGTTTCCATTGGCACATTACTTTTTGACTTACGCAAAAAAAGAGATAAAAAAAAATACATATACGAAAAAAGGCAAATACATAAAAGAATTGGCGAATTTCCCTTTCGTGCGTGTGTTGCCATAGCAACACAAAATGGTCACAACTCAGTTTATTGTTTTGTCTTCAAAAGAGTAAAACTGTTATTCTGTTGTGGCCAAAAGCGAAATATTCATTAGTGTTGGTTTAAAAACACTCTCTAATGATAGATCTCTCCGTGTCTCTCTTTCCCCCCTGACCTGGCCTGGTCCGCTGCGGTGCAGCGGTTGTGTGCGCGCGGGCGGCGGCGGCGCTTCCAACGACTACTATGTACAACATGATTTTGTGATATCATATTTGGATTTCGACCTTCAGCTAAGTGCGACCGTCCTCAATGTTGTTACTTTTCTATGTACATATTGCATCTATGTTTAGTGCTTAGATTATATAGATAGAGTGTCTCCATACAAGTGCTTCATCAAAAACAGCTCAATTTCTATATCCGTGTGTGCGTGATAGGGTTGCCATAATGTACATTTACTACTCGGTGTATGGGAGAAAATATATTGTAAGGTAAAATTAAAAAATAAAAATAATACAACGTCTTTATGAGTATATTTGAAAGAACAATATAAACAGTTTTTAATGATTCGCAATGATTTTTCACTTTGCTAATTAATTTTATTTATATCCAACAATAGATTTAAAGATTTTTTCGTTTTAAAATCATTGAAAATGGCCGCTATTTCAAATAATACATGCCTATTAATTTGTAAACAATGCGAACATGGATGTATTTATGTAATATCAGAAGATATAGCTCCGAATTCAAATTATTTTTTTTTATTCGATCTGGGAAATTTATAATCTAACTAGTTGCAACATTGAAAAAGAAAATGGCGCGTTCTATTTTTATTTAAAAAATATAAGTGTCAAATTGTGCCAGCTAAATGTCAACTTAGCTGACTAGACATTGACACATTTTGACACTAGATGCTCTATCTATAATAATGTAAGTTTTAGTGTTAGAGCGGCCTCTCCCGGGCCGGCGTGAAAAGATAGTTGGCCGAAACATCTGGTTACTCACGTGCGCTCTAATGTTAGTGGATCATTTGAACGAGGCATCCACCAGCGCGTATTATGTTATTGTTTCATACCGATGCAAGATGCGGCTGATATCTCACATAATTGATATAGGAACAAGTCCGGTGGCTTGGGCAGCCGAGAGACCATCATGTCTTCCCATACTTTAAATACAACATTCGGCATAGACCAAAAAATGGTCTAAAATCGAATTACAACGCACATTTTTCAATGGGAAATGTTGTCTATGGACAAAATGCTGATCGTCTGTGCAGGTCATTATTGTCTGCGGCTATTATTACGTTACGCAGAGCAGCTACAGGGCATGGTCCAATGGCCAGTGAGGTATCAGCGGCGCATCGCGAAATATCGGAAAGTATTTTACTTATTTCGACATAATGTATTTTAGTTAAGGCCCGGTTTTTAACTTATGACCTCGTGTAAATTGTTGACACACGTATTGTGTATGTTTTTGTGCGAAGACGTGACTACAGCGCCGTAACTCGACAAAGGTAACAACCAAAATATATTTTGTACCAATTAAGTGGCACACGATCGCACCAAACAAGCGACCGAGCTGCTGCGGATGAAATTTGGTGGGGCCGTGGTCACGTCTTACAATAGTGCGATCAATTTTGTATTATAAGTCCTCCCACTGGATCTTCAATGAGTTAGTTCACACAACTCTGTACTGTGTTATTATTTGTATAAGGTATAAAATAAACGTGTCACTGTGATGCGATGCGAGCGGTGTGCGCCGGATAGTGGCGTACTGTTGTAAAATCAGTGACTCGTTTACTTTGTAACATTATGTTTGTGTAAATAGGTATGTAGCATGCATACTACAATTGGGAGCTGACGCGGGCGCATAATGCTCGCGTGTCAGTGTTTAAACGAGAACTGTGCCTTCCGGGCGCTAGAGGGCGCGGTGATCCACACCCTTCCCTTGTCCTATCGATGTATTTGTGTTCGGCGACCTCCACACCCTTTCCATATGAGTCCAGGAGCCATCAGTAATAATTGAAGGAAGATTAATTATAAATATTGAGCAAATAATAGAACTATTTGTTTCCTATATGTAACTTCTATGTTTTACGTTATTTGATTATATTAAAATTAGCTAAACAATGGGGTCGATTCTAAGCTGCCGTGTCTGTAACCTATCTCTGAAATTATAACTTCATTTTGGTATCAGAGCGAAAACTTTATTGTAACGACTAATTTGAACTAAATTTCCAAATAATTTAAGTCAAAGTTACTATAAATTTAGTTTCCGATGCTCCATAAAACAATAATTTCGCACAATTATCAAATTAAAATAATAAGAAATGGCTTCTCAGAGTCGACTCCAATGTATTTTTATAAATAAGTAAATTGAATCACTAAATACAACGACATTTTTAGTAATATTTCATTTATAATATGAGAGGTGGCGCCTGAACTCTACGGACATGTTACGACTCCTCGTCCCCCTCCTACCCCTCCCCTCACCCCTCCCGCCGCGAGCCGCCCCGACACGCCCGAGACATAATAAATGCTCGTAATTGTATTCTATTGTATTTATATTATCATAGTTAAAAGTTTTATTAAAAAAGTTGCTCAATAATCCATTGTTTTATTTTTTTCATCCATTCATTTCATCCATTGTTCAGCCAACCGACTCCTTTATGTATTTTTTTTTAATGGGTGATAATGGCATGGTAACCCCACCCGCGCTATCGGTATACACCGGCGGGGCACCAGTGAAGGATGATAGGTGAGGATGAAACAGGTCAGTTAGCCCATCGTGATGAATTCAATAAGAATTGTTCACGATGGTTTCCAGGAGGAACCACGTGGAGGTCGACCTAATAGGGTATATTGCGAACAATAGGGGTGTCAATCTCCATTCCTATCAATCCCTTTCCCCCCCTCCTTTATGTATTAGCTGAGGTTTTTCAAATTGGATGTTGGTTATGGTAGCCCCCTTGTGTCGCTACTACCATGCATTAGAGGAAGGGGGATTGCATTTGTCAGTAATGGCGACGAACTGCTCCATTACTAGCAATAGTCAGTCGACCTCCCGGTTTTTTTTTAATAGGTGAAAATGGATTGGTAACCACGCCCGCTCTATCGGTATACACCGACGAGGCACCAGTGGAAGATGATAGGTGAGAATGAATGTAGGTTAGTTGGCCCACCATGATGAATACGATAAGAATTAATCATGACGGTTTCCAGGGGGAACCGCGTGGAGACCCCATTACTAACTATCCTTTTTCCTCCCGACCTCGCGTTTCCCCTGGAAACCATCGTGCTTAATTCCGAGAGAATTCATTATAATGGATAAACTGACCTACATTTTCATCTTTACCTATAATTTCTCATTGGAACTTTGCAGGCATGTAGGGGTACCATTAGGGCAAAGGGTTACCATTTCATAATCATTCTTAAAAAATTGGTTTAGGATAAACCTCAGGGCAGTTACATATCCATCTACGTATGTTCTCTTAGTACCACTTAAAGAGAGAGACTACAAAAGTCGTTTGCTTGGGCATCTCTGTCACATTCTATTTCTACCGTAGAGCAATTGTGTTTGCACGCCTGTGTTTCGGTTTGAATGGTGGGATATGGCAGTGAATTTACAGGGTACAGAGGAATAACACCTAAATCCTCAGAAATGGCAACGCATGGGGGTATCATGGTCGACACAGTATACTCTGTTATGTCCATGGTACTGCTCATGTTTATAGGCGACGGTAAACACTTTCCATCAGGTGAGCCGTTAGCTTGTTTGCTATTCTAATTTGTATAATAAACATGGGTGAAAAATATGAAACCTTTTAAGCCCATACTAACACGCAGCATTCGGTTATTTCCGTTTCTAAATTCTTAATTTATGAAATTTTTGTCCTGATACATTTACAGCATGTGCAGGTTCTTATTTTATCTGCTCTCTAAGGCTAACAATTTAGGTGGCATCTGTATATCTGAACAGGAATTGGATAGCAACTAATCATTGTATTAGCCTGCTTTTTTCCTTGGGTCTCTCCACAAGTCTTACCACATTGGCCAGGCTTTACTATCTATCAAGTTCATTGACTTCATAAAAAACGCGCAACTATGTTCAGATTGATAAAAAAAAAAAGTAATATGGCGTTGGCGCGAAAAGTGATGATGGGTTGTTAGCAGCATACGCTCTGTTTTGTGTATTTATTTTATAATAAAGGACATATATGTCAAATTCATAGTTTGCTACGACGTGGTTTTGTGTGTAACTTGTTATATTTCATAATAAGACTAAGTTTCTATTAATGGAAAAACTGATATGTGCGTCATGGACATGTGAAGTATCCGACATCACGCCACCCTATTCAAATACAACATTTGTGCGTACTCCGGAGCCCGTGAGGATCCTTAGCTGCGCCGTGGAGAAAGACAGCAAACCCAGGAGGCAGGTGAACCAGCACATCAAAGAGGTACGATTAATTTAAGTTGTTGCGAACGGCATACCGGTCTAGGAAAGTCATTGTTAACCGCCCTCTTTGCCGATCCTTGGTCTTTTAGTTTTTCGCCCATACAAACATGAAAAGTTATAAATCCCATAGAAAGCGGTTTTCCCAAGAGACTACAGCATGGGGTTCTTCAAAAGGGGGGGTAAAGAGGTTTCTTCAGGGTCGGCAACGCACGCGTAACACTTCTGGTATTGCAGACGTTCATAGGCTACGGTAACCGCTTACCATCAGGTGGGCCGTATGCTTGTTTGCCACCTCAGTGGTATAAAAAAAAGAAATATTATCAAAATCGTTTTAGTAGTTAAGAAATAAAAATAACTGATTTTGTCACAATTGAAGTCGCTTACTTTTTGTGGGACACAATCTTTGTTTTGCAAATCTCGTTGCACTGGTTTTTAATCTTTTGTTTAGTTAACCGCCTCTAACAGCGTGTAGAGGATTAAAAGGAGAGGTAAGATCTGCGCATCATGAGCTAATACTATTTGAGTGTAATGAAACATCGAAATTATTTTGATATAATTTTTATTTTCATATTTTCATAATTTATTTATATATAATGACTATAATCATCTACCAAACTAAATAATCAATATAGTTCAACAGCATCCTTTATATACAATATGTATAGGAATAGTAGTTACTCTTGATGTCTCCTCACTTCGCAACTATTAAAAAAGAGACAGTCGTCTAATTCATATAAAATAATGTTGAAAAGAACTACAATCGATACAGGTAACAAGTAATAATTTGCCACAAGTTTTATTATTTATTTACAAACCTTATATTAATTTAGTCCCATAATTTTCAAATGAATTAGTGTTGTAATGGAACAATTGCTATGCAGTTTGCAACGAGTATCCGCGTGCTCGCGGGCCGGCAGTGCACACCGCCTCCGGCCTGGCAGCCTGGTGCGAACACAACTCTGAGTAACAATGGATAGAATTGAGAAAACTTAACTTGTTCCTTTTATATTACACGTTATTATTACAGCCAACAGGCGCTACAGCGACAGGCACTGTGCAACTTGTCAGCGGCAGGCACTGGCCCGTGCAGCCACACTGCCGGACACGGTACAGCGACGCGATGCGGCACTTGCACGAAGGGTGAGTTTTTCTAGAACTAGTGCTATCACCGCGCTGCTGTGTCACGCTAGATACGTACTTTTTTTCAAATTATAAAAGTAAAGAGTAATATGGAATTGTGATTTGATTATTCATGGTAGTAATAATTATTTAACCGTATCTACTATTTCTATTAGAGGAGATAGTGTTAAAGACATACAAAATAAAACAAGTAGTACAGATGGGCAGCAAGTGCAGGAATTTTAGGTATCAGTGTTAGTGAGCTACTAAGCATACACTTATTAACTGTACATATGTTTGTTATCTTCTATAATTGGTATATAGTACAGTGAGGATCGAGTATCCAGCGCGGCACAGCAGCCGGTTCCGCTAGATGTAACCGTTGAAATTATAAATCTGTTTAAACTTTACCAAGTACAGTTCAACAATACTATTCTCTGTGCAAATTTCAACTAATAGAGAGAGACAGAGAGGGAGGGAGCGAGCGCTAGCAATATAACTTTTACACAGACCGAGTTACGATGGTTTTATGTATACGTGAGTGAAGGTGATTGATTACTTATCGACTCGTAAGTTACAAGATGTTAAAATGAAAAATCTACTTCACCTTAGGGTGATTACAAAGATAGCGCAGTAAGTCTCAAAACTATACGATTCGTCGACGACTCGAGCCGAGAGGCGAGCGTCGCGTCCTCGCTATCTACACAGTACAAGTACTTGATATATTCGAGTGATATGCGATCCGGATATAGCGGCGAGCGGCGTCCGGGCGCCACTCGCCGCGGGCGACACCTGGCGCCCGTCACTTGGGAACTGCTTTAAAACCATCTACACTTAAGTCTGTTACCATTAAAATCTTAACATGTCGATATGAAAATATGACTTTTAATAAAACTCGTGAACATGTAACAAAATAATTTGGTTAAAACGCACATAGTTACAGTTTGCGATGTACATTAGATGGGAGCCGCACGACGCCGCACGACGAGCCGCGGCCGCAGCCGGAGCCGGGCGCCGTGCCGGCACGTACTTATCAAATTTGTATTAACTATAATCAATATGTATATATATATATATTCTGCATATGATTACAAACGGAACAGTTACGTTAAACTCTAAATTAAAATATGACTATAAATCGCATAACAAGTATTACATATTTATACGTAGACAGGTATATTACCTATAATATAACAAGGAGCGCGAGAACAGTACAAACATTTTGGCATCCGATACAGTGGCAGCTGTGCCCAATCACCGACATGATAAACTAAGATACGCACAATAAAACAGAACTAGCATATCTAACAAAGAGTATAAGGAACGCGACTGGACCACGTCGGACGTACGCAGCGCACGGGTTGGTCACGAGTAGAACAGAGCACGTATACACGGGTACACGAGGAAGCGGGAAGCGAACGTAACGTGTCGTCGTCGGCGGCCATAGTGGGGAACGGTTATTGCCATGCGATACACCGATATTACTACAGTAGGTACTTAGATTACTAGAGCGCAGCGCGGGCGGGGCTCGCTGCCTCCGCTGTCGCTACCGCGCACCACGAACACGAGCGCGAACACGAGCGCGAGCACGAGCACGAGCACGAGCGCCACTGCGAACACTGACACTGCACCGATAAACCTATTTTTTAACTTAGGCATGTCCACATTTTGACCGGCCGTCGCAGTCGCTATATATGGCTACATTTACGTAATTAGCGGTAATAAATCAAGAATGTATTCGTGATATAGCATAATATTAACGAGCTGGTACTCCTTCAAAGAGTAAACTGATAAGAATGGGAGACAAGAGCAAAAATTAAATCGGCGGCCGCGAAAATTCGTCTTTTACATAATTTGACTCCAATGTTATATCACGCTTACATTCTTGCTTAGAACACTGTTGATCGCTTTCATCATGTACGGGTACGAATAGACAGCACACACAACATGGTAACTATTTATATACAAAGAAATAGCAGCAGCGAGCCCCTGTCAAGTCTCCCCCCGCGCACACCTATCCTATTAAAAGCCGGCAATATACACAGAGCGTTTAGTGATTAGTTTACATAGAGTAGTTAACCGTTTTAGTTATTATTATATTTTATTTTAGCTAGCAACATCGACACGACACCGATTGGTCTGGTTTACTTTAGGCTGGCGATCCGCACGTAGTATTGCTATCATCGTATAGTACAGAGTGACGCCTCACCGTCACTGTTACTTTACAATTTCATAGAGATTTCGTCGAAAACGACTCACAATAATTATTAAGGGTGTAACGAGCGTAGTGTATTTACTGATGAGCGTCGGTAACGAAACGGAGAACGGAACGGAACGGAACGGAACGGAGTTGGTGGTGTAGGAGTGGGTGCACTGAGGGTGTGGAAGGCGGGTGTACGTGGGACGGGAGGGCAGCGGCTGCGCGGGCGCAGCTCGGAGCGACCGGGGGACCACCGGCGAGTAGTGTAACAAAAATTATTGTCATCCAATGCTTAATTTTCCAATCTTTATAAGTATCGTTTTATCATTTATTTACTTAATACTTTATACAGATCGACATCGTCCACTAACATTAGTATATTAAAATTCACTTTCATCGTATCTATAAAATTTACAACTACAATGTATTTCACGTCGCGGCCGCGATACTAGACGATCTCGAGGTTCGCGCTGCCGAATCGAGCGCAGTTCGAGAGGCCGCCGAGGGGAGCGGGTGGAGGCGAGGGGAGCGACACGAGCGGCGCGAGAGCGGCTCGCAGACGGCGCGTCGTATAAAAAGTTCAGCTAAATTAGTTACAATGCTTCAATATGTACACTATCACATCGCGCGAGCGCATGCGGAGCGAGAGTCGCGCCTCAGGCACGGGATAATTGAACGACTCGCCGCGACATCGACCGGCCGGCGCCGGTCGACTGTCCGTCTCTACGCTCGAGAGCGAGGTCCGTTAAGGAGAATTGTGCGTCGGGAGGTGTCCGGGGACACGGCGCCTGGGCGCGGGGACGCGGCGGCTCACAGCTGGTACCACTTCTTGTCCTTGTACTTGAGCATGAGCTGGTGCGCGGAGGAGGAGAACTCGGCGGCCTGCGAGTGCATGCGCTCGGTGCGGTCCTCGAGCTGCGACAGCTTGTCGCCGCGCTCCAGCACGAACTGGTGCGCGCGCGACACCTCGGCCGCCGCGCTGCCGGCGCGCGCGCCCAGCTGCTCGAGGTTGGCGGCGCTGCTGGCGCCGCCTGGAATGTGCTTCGCCACCGCGCGGTTCGGCTTGCCGCTGCCTTCGCCGACTGAAAAGAGCGCTAGCGTTACTCGGCGGCGAAGCTTCGCGATGCATAAATCATTTACGAAAATAAACAAATTAGCCCCTTGATACATCCTTGACAAGTATTTGTAGTTATTGTACGTATTACAGTAATTGTGCTTCTAAATTATGGAAGCACTTTTACAAAAACAATTCTTAACCCAGATAATATATATAGGAAGGTACCCCAGGGATTTATACTTGACCCGTCTTCTTATTTGAGGGCCTAATATTGCCAGAGTCATACCAACATCAACAAGAAATTGCCAGTATTTTTACTGTATTAATGAAATTTAATTTAACACCTTTAGATATACAGACATCACTTTATAGATTTTGAATGTAAATTGCATAGTGCACATGTCGTATCGCTTGCAGGGACTAAACAATAGGCGATGCAGTTGTCATAAATTCTTATATATGTACATGCGTAGACTTACAAAGCTCTTCTCGGTCGAGAGGTCTCGCGCCGCCACCGAAGAGGCCGCGGAAGAAGCTCTCTTTGGGCGGCTCCGGCATGTCGCGCGGCAGGAACAACTCGCCCAGCATCTCGTTCAGTTGTTGACTGAAAGAAACGAAGATCACACACCATAAAACATTAAAGTACATTGCCGGCTTCGTTTAAGGAGACGTGACGGGAGCCACATATCAATAAAAAGTGGCATCAAATTTGATGTTAGTAATTTGACTGTGCCATCAATACTACTTACTCGGCTAGCCCTGGTTTCCGGTGATTTTTTCATTGTCAGAGGGATTCCGTTAAAAATTTGTCTAGAGTCGTCAGGTAGACTAAAGCCAGTCTGGTTATAATTTAAACTTCTAACGAATTTTCCAAATTATCATAATTCGACGATCATAAAATAAAATGGAGAAGAAATAAAAATGAACAGCAAGCAAATTTAGATATAAATATCGACTCACCAGAATTCAGCGTCGATGGTGAATTTCTGTATCTCGGTGGGCGAGGCAAGGTAGAGGCCGTGGCCGCGGTTGCTGAAGCAGAACGTCTTCGCTATCCTGTAAGCCAGCACGCAGCGTTATAAACACGCTTGGGGCGATATGCATCACGCTGCATGTACGTTACAGAAATTGGCAACTTCATTTTGTGTTATGATCTTAAAAAGCTTTAGTTTATGGCGACTATTAGTACTAAATGTTTCTTTAAATATTAGATTATTTAAAATATTGATAATGATAAGGTATTAAATTGAAAATAAAATAATAATGTCTCACCTGGTTGTATCCTTTGAATTCATAAAATTCTATATAAAACGACTAACATGTATTATTAATTAAGGATGCGGTTTAATGCATTCACAGAGAGAAGAAGAAAATGCTGATAAATATTGAACAAACATTAGGAAACAATTAGAAGCTCTCGTGCTAAAGCCAAGTCAGAACGGTTTTGAACAGCTCAGCAAAGAAAAGTTTCAGTGACTAAAACTAGAAGTCCGCATATATAAGACATGTATAATGAGTGTCAAGTGAACATGTGGATGTGTTGTAAACGAGCTGTGAGTGTGTGTGTGTGCGTGTTCAATAAACGAGTACGAGTAAGGACGTATAAACAAGTAATCCGACAGTAGGTTCTAAATGGTCAAGCAAAGTTGCAAGCAACGTTCGGAATAGGGCAAATCATATTGAATCGATCATTCTTATTTTTTGTAAGCAAAACCCTTATAGTATATGTAACATGGGTGGCGATAGTATGATTTGCCCATAACCGATCGACATCGTTCTCAGAACACAAGGGGCAGGGGTGGGAAGCTCTCAAGGTTACATGAACAATACATGTCTCTAAGGAACGCAACAGAGGCCGGAGTGTGCGACTCCACATAACATAGTGACGGTACATGGCTAACGCATGTCATCTGTATGGACGGTGACTTACTGGTCCGTGTCCTCGTTAACAATCAGTTGTTGGCCCCATATGGAGAGCATTGGGTCTACGATACCCCTCTGTTTGGACTGTGTCTGGAAGCTACCAGGAACACAGACGGCGGTCAGTATGCGCTCGCTGTCGGCGCGTCCGCTGACTCTGTGGCGACTGCGCGGGCGCCGGCACAAAGTCAACGGACACTCCGATTCTTCATTAGTCATATGGTCGACGTGCTAAGGAGCGTGGTTCAGTAGACTATAGAGATCGATCCGAGCTGGTGGATGCAAGGCAATGCTATTCGTAACACTATATCTATATCGTCGACATTAGCATACAGTGGGGGTTCAGTTCGGGAGCATTCAGTGTTCGCTTACAGGATCATAGTTTCAAATATAAGTGTACGGGAGGGGTCGAGGGAGTGTATATATATCGATCGTGTTCGACCTGCAGCACCAAGTTTGAAACTTCTCGTTAGAAAGTGGAACAGTGTTATATTTTCGTAGGAAAATTTGTTCCGAGGTGTGTTCCAGTAGTGTCTCGGGGAATGTCTTACTAGTTTTAACTGAAAATATAGATATAAAGAGTGCCAAATATCGGAAGCACAGGTGGTGCTCGACAGATTTGCAAAGTTTCGTCTACGAGTAGGTCGTAATGAGCGCGTAGCGCGGCGGCGGCGTCGGGTGGGCGAGGCCGCGGCCGCCGCCCGGCGCAAGGCTCGGCCTGCCCCCGGCCCGGCCTCTGCCTCGGCCCGGCGGCCGGGGGGCGGTGCAGGCGGTGCAGGACGCGCCTTGCGCCGAGCGAGTCTACAGTTTCTAACATCGACCGTAGCTGTACAGGAAGTCTGACGCGAGGCTCCCAAATGATAAATTAGCCAATAGACCTCTCATCGATATACTTTTGGTGAATGATTGAGATGAATGCCGATGCTGGTCGTAAATGGCATTGTTATGGCGCAAAATAGAGCATTCTCGTAACTGATAAAATTGCGAAAAGCTATTTATAGCTAAAATGTAATATAAAAATAAGCTGTTTATCATTTAGTGCCTTCTTTTGGTGCACAGAATCGTCTAATAGTGATCGGTGTGTCACGGGACAGTCTATCGTGAGCCTCGAGAGGCGACACCAACGCAACGTTCAGGGGAGCCGCGGCCGGCGGCCACCACTGGCGACTTATCGCAAATCCATTCTCGAAATGAACTGTTTTATTTTTTGAAATTGTTATAAGAGAAACGGTATTTTGAGCAATGGTTTCGAAAGGAATAGACGTTCACTTCGAGATCGGACGGCTCATGTAGGAGTAGAGTGAGTAACGAAGCGGGAGACTTACCTAAGCTCTGAGAGAGGAAGGAAGTCAACGTCTACGAGCGGCCGCAGGGAAGGCAGACTGTACGCGACCAGATGGCCGGTCGACAGGTAATTGACGAGACATACACTATCTGTAACGTCAAACGGCACGCAAAATAAATATTTAATTTCTATATTCTGCCAACGGGGAGCGCTTAGTTAAAAATTAAAAACAGGGTCTTTGGACATAGTTATGCAAATATGAAAAGAAATATAATAATAATACTATTTTAAACTTTGAGGGTTAATAACGTAAAGTCAATTACTCTAAACTGAACTAGTTTGTTAGAAATGTTCAAAAAATTTTTCATAACTATGTCCATATAAAGTAACAGTCTCGACAGCATTTTTAGGGGTATCAGCCGATCGTACCGGAAGCCAATACCTAGGGGGTTAGGGGCGCGCGGGCAGATGGATCGAGAAGCGTAAGAGCGCGACGTCGATACCTTTGAGGCTGACTATCTCCGCTTTGACGACGAAGTCTGTATCGACGATCTGCTGGCGGTAGACACAGTTCTGGCTGGGCAGTGCAACGACGCGCGCCTGCTTCTCGGAGGCGACCACCACAAATTGACGGTCGGCGGCCGGCGGCGCCTCCGCGGCCGGCGTGGGGCTCATGCGGCTACCACTGCCGCTCGAGCCCTGCTTCGTAGGAGTGCGTTCTCGCCGCGCCTGCATATTACAGGGGTATTTACATGGAGGGAGAAGACTGGCCCTTTAAATAGACACATATGTACTTTCAGACTTGTCTTAGCGAAGTTTAGCTCGCATCCTGCATTGGACACCAGATGATGCTGAAGTGAGCACGATAAATACGTCTATGACAGCAACTCACAACACCCATCATTTTTGTGTCACATCCGAAATTATTTCTTCTGAAAATCTTTTCAGATTTCAGAAAATCTGAAGATTTTAGAAACAAACTTGCCTTTATGGGTTAGCTATATTTGCTTCAACTTACATTTGGAAACTAATACTTTGTAACATTTATTAAATCAATTAAATAGCCAAATAAAGAAGACTACTAAGTTACTTACATCCTTGCTGTCATCCCTCCAACTTTCATATGAGTAAGGAATTAAAGCACCATTGCAATCAAGAAATGACATCGTCAAGATTGACCCTTTTAACCTAAATATGGGACCACCTGAAAGCAAAAGTACAGAATAAATCGTGTGAAGACAAAATCAATTACTCGAACTCTATAATTGTGATTATTATGTTTACCGCTGGTGGAGACAACTACGGGTTGTGTGTGTCTCAGATCGGCTTCGGGTAAGTTTATCATCATGGTGAGTACAGAGCCCAAAGTCGTTCCGATCCATAGCGTCGGCAGCAGCTGCGTAGGATCTAAAAACCATCGGTTTGATATATATTCCATGTTTATTAACACAGAAAGTCAATAAATTATCTCAAGATAACATATTTGTTCAAGATAAAATCGCAGAGTATAGAATTGGATGATTATCACAATCATTCTTTTAAATCCCTTATTATCTCTGACGGGTGATGCATCAGGAGTTTAACAAGGACAATTCGTGAGGGGTGATTTGATATGTTATCATTATCTATCAAGTGGATCGTCAGATAATTTGCTATTCCTTAATAGTACAAAAAAAAAAAATGATGCGTGATAGTTACGTAAATATCTACTCACCTGACTTCTTAGTGTAGCTGTCAGCGAATGCTAGGCACTGTATGCCTTCTTGGGAGATGTTCTCTAGACTGGACATACTGCTGGAGCGAGACCGTGAGAACGAGCTGTCCAGCTTGTCTATCCGGCCGGTTGGCAACATAATATAACCAGATTACTCTCTCCGTGTCGCGGAGACACTCTAAAAGTCCAGTAGCGGGCGCACTCGATGCCTTCTAGTGAACTTTTAGGACACCGTTGTCGATTCAAGGTTTCTTTATGTCGTCGAGGAGAATATACACAACATTATTGTAAGTTGAACACTTGAATTCGTCAAGGTGCCATCTACTCTACCAGTCATTGCAGACTAAAGCTAGTTGTAGCTCACGAACTCAGTGTCGTCGGTGCAGTTGTGAAATTAGCTGAAATCACTCCGGTGCGACAAACAATCGAACGGTGCTTTATAGTAAACAGGAATAGATCATGGAACAAATCAGAGATACATGCATCAGAAGAGAGCCGGCTGGCGACTGCATGCCCGTCCAATCTCAGCTTATTTACACAACATTTTTAAAATTATTAGATAGTAGTTAGTTAGCCCAGATTTAGTTAGATCGGTAACTACCGACAAATGGATAGGTGCTTTGACTTGAAATGATCCGGTGATGGAGGACACTGAAGGGTCAGTTAGTTAAGTTAAATGTTGATCAAAGGTTGATAGAGTACAAAAAAGTCAAAACACCCGGTTTAAATTTCCTGGGTATGTTTTTATCTTAATGTTAGTACCTACATTTATAAACAGCACTACATGATGTTGGCGGCAAATGAGAAGCACAGAGGGCAATGTGAGAACATAACGTTTAGACATAGCAAAAGAAATCGGATGAAATGAGAGATGGGGTATGACGATGAGGTCGTTAGGTTGGCAGGCGAAGCTGGGCGTCCCCGTCTGCAGCCGTCTAACTAAGCATCCCACTAGGCTATCTAGATCCCTCTAACTAAACCCTCTAGATAAGCGCAAACCGTACGGGTACCATATAAGCAATTAGGAGTGGTTTGGTCGGCGGATAGTGGTGGTGAGGGCGGAAAGGAGGCGTGGGTGGTGTCAGGTGATCAGAGAGGTGGTGGTGGCGGGCTGTGTGGACGGACAGACAAGTCTGGCAGCGGGTGAGCGGGGCCGGTGCAGCGGGCGGCAGCGCATGCGTCTAGTGCGATCTTAGTAAGGAGAGTATCGTAAGCATACATAGACATAACGACAGCCGTATATAGAGGCAGCCAAAAACGAGCCATATAAACTTTTTGCATTGTGGTAGCGCTAGAAAGAGAAACATAATATATCATGTACTGAGCGGCAAAGATTAGTAAACAAAGTAGTATAAGAACGGACTGAATCGAGTGAGTCACAGTGATCACGGGCGGGTGCGGCGTCGGCCCAGCGGTGGGCCGCGGGCTGGCGCGCGGAACACATTCAGTCGCAGACAAAGGCAAATAAATACGTAACGTGAGCGCTCGTGATGGGTACGGCAATAAAAAGGAGCTCGTCCATCATCTCAAACCAAATGATAAAGAACAGAAATGGTTATATAGATATATAGGTGATACAATAGGTATCTGATACAATATGGAAAGCCTCGCTTATATTATGCACATATAACATACAATAGGTTCCGTTTATCATACACTGAACATTATGCGTCATATATAGGTACTAGAAGTAAGTAGATAGTTTTGAGTAGTAAGTCACCTTTTCATGTTATAAGTAGATACTAAGAGTCATGCCAGTCGAAGTCGTATCGCTGAGTGCAATCCAAGTGTCGTGTGAATAGAGAACATGGCAACACAGTCACAGCCACAATTTCAAGTCTAACGAATACGTAACAACTACTGTGTGGTACCTACGTCATGTACGAGGCCGCGGCCCGTGAACTAGCTACCGAAACAAAGGAAACGATCGACAAATAATAAGGAATAATAATAATATAAGTAAGAATTGAATGCAATGTTTGGATACCATTGGGTTGCATAATGTGTAAGTACTCCATAGATGCGAGAGACTGCGGAACAGTTGGTTCTGTACCGACAAATAAACCACACATGTTACAAGCATGATCGTCGTGGCGGGCGCGGCCGGTGGCGGGCGAGCCGGCGGCGGCGCCGGTCCGGTCCGGACCGGTCCGGTCCGGCCACGCCGCGCCGCTGCCGGCTCGCCCGCCACCGGCCGCGCGGTACAGCGACGGTCGACTTCTGAGACGACACGCACAACATTATACATACAAGAGATGAGGATTTCATTCTAGAAGTCGGCATGAGGTACAACAAAGGAAAACACTACTCTGTATAACAACTAGAAATTAAAATTGTAACCAATGTAGGTGTGGTATATTCCAGTGTTTACCTATTAAATGATTCCGATCTGAAATTGGAAATTGTTTAAATGAATAATAGAGAAATTTTGATTCGACACATGCTTCACAGCAAATAATAGTGGAGTTCAAATGATCGACTAGTGAGTTTAATTAAGTTTACTGCAATCGGTGCTCGGCAGTCGGAAACGAAGCCAAGTTACCGCTGCCATTTTAAAAAAGTACTTTTAAATGCTACTATTTTATTATTATGTATGAAAGTTACTCTATTGATTAGTTTTGAACTTGAACATATTTGTACGATGTCGTCGTAGCGGTATATACCTACGGAGCGAGGATACAAAGATCGAGATTGTGTTCAAGTTCACAACTAACGTGTTCGAATTAGTAATGAAAGAAGTAAGTCAGTGAGTGTGAAAAACTAGTTTAAAGAAAAAAAAAAAAACAAAATAAAACTTTAGAAAAAAATACAAAGAGTGAACACAAAAGATAATCGACGGATCGTCGACGAAAGAAAGAGAAACGTAATCGAACAACGAAAAAAAACGAAACGAAAATAACTGAAGAAGAAATTGCGACTGCGTCAGAACGGAAGAAGACGAGGCCGCGGGAGTGTCGAGTAAGGTGACTGTACTACCAAAACTGCAATACTGTCGCGTCGTCAGCAGAGAGTGCTGCGGGGCGGGGGGCGCCGCGTACACGTCGGACGCGGTGGACAGGCACTTGTGCAGTTTGCGGGTACCTTGCGAGCGCGAGCGCCGCACCGCGCGCCCGCCGCCCGCGCCGCCCCCGCCGCCCGCGCCGCAGCCGGCCCCCGCGCCGCCCCCCGCGCACCCGCCGCCACCGCCGCCGCCGCCCCCGCCGCCCCCGCTGCCCCCGCCGCCCCCGCCGCCGCCGCCCGGCCCGTTCATCTATAACACACACACGCTCCGTCTGCCCCGCCCTGCTCGCCGCCACCGCCACCGCCACCGCCACCGCCCTCCGGCCCCGCAGCTCTGGACCTCCACCGTTAGCCCTATGTTAGCACGACACAGACGCGGACCTATCCGCGGACCCGGCTCCCGTTAGTATCCGCTGCGTCTCCGCGGCGGACGAGTACAGTTAGTGAGTGGTACTGGTAAGTATGGGTGAGTGTGAGCCCGAGCCCGGCTGCGTACCTACGGGGGCGTGGCGCGGTGGTCGCGGAGCGGGGCCGCGCGGGGCCGGGGCCGCGGCCGCGGCGATCTCTCGCGGCGGGCACAGCCGCGCTACGCATTGCCCTGGGGACAGCGCACGGGTCAGTGTCGGGCGGGCCCGGCTGCGTGAAGCTACCAAGCGGGGCGGTGCACAGCTAGTACCCGACTACTCAGCTCGTACTATTAGCGAGTTAACATCATCTCAAACGGACATCGACAACACAGAGATCACCTACGTCACTCGATGCGATCGGGCAATTACCGAGGAAGTCGGCGAATAGATATTTAAGGCAGTTCGAGTCTTCGTCGGACGAGTCCTTGTCCTTGGGAATAGAAAACAGATATGTATGAGTGTTCCGTTCCGGCTCCGCTGACAGGTCACGGGGTAAGTGTGTCCAGACCGCTACACGGTGTGCGTATATATAGACAGGTGATCGCATACATTTTTACGGTACGAAAGTATCTTAAATGTATATAACAATAACAGACATACGAAAGGATATAATAATAAACTTAAATAAATAAGCCAAATATCACAAGAAGCATAAAGCATGTTAAAAAGAGGCGTCGTCAACTCGCACTCTCTTTGATCGTTACCAAAAGAAAGTTGTTATCGAATTTAGTAGCTCTGTTACTCAGCTCTGATACACACCACATTGTAACGTTACTAAAGATCTAGCTACCATCACCTCTAATCAACTAAAACTATCTATGTATAATATTAGAAAGGGAATACGAGGAGGGTATTATAAAATTTGCCAAACCGTTACCATTCCAATCGTAAGTGTTTCGAATGAGATCTAAGTACAAGTAAAAATTCACTACTGGTATGATACCGCACTAGGTGCTACGCAACTGCGACTGGTGAGCCCGGCGTTAGTGATGACGGTGAGGTGAGCGGGCGTAGGGTGATTCGATACTTACTGAAACGGCGCATCAGGTTGCCCGCGAACGACGCCGACTGCGGCGCCGGTGGCTTGCGGCGCTCGCGTGCGCCCTCCTGCTTACTGAACTTAATGTTGGGCACCGAGAGCAGCCTCTGGTCGCGCTTGTCGGGCTTGCTGCGCCGCGGCGGCCGCGCGGGCCGCTCGTCCGGCTCGTCGGGCCGCGCGTCAGGCCTGTCGTCGAACAGCGGCAGGTTGTCGGGCCGCGCGGCGCGCTCGGGCTCCGCGCCCGCCAGCGGCGACGGGCCGCGCTCCGCCTCCCCCTCCCCGTCCCCGTCGGCCGACTCCCCCTCGCGGCCCTCCTTGTCGTGCCAGCGCTCGTGAAGCTCACGGTGCATGCGGTCGTAAGTGTCGGCCGTCCGTTTGTCCTGCAGCTCCCTGTGCATCCGCTCGAACACGTCCGAGCACACTCGCAGCGGGGAGGCCAGCCGGCTCCGATCGCCATCATCGTCGCCGTCGGGCGACTCCGCAGCTGACTCGCTCGTCTCGTGTCGCTCTATTGGCTCGCAGTAAAATTGGGAATTGCTCTTCTCGGCGACCTCCTCGAGATTGTTTTCGGCGGGCGTTGCGAACGCGGCCTTGAATTTGAGATCTACTTTGGAGAGTTGTCGTTTCAGGTTGAAAGTCTTCCAGGAGGTGGACTTGCGGCGTACGTCGGACTTGGGCGCGTCGGACTCATCTCCGGGCTCGGCGGGACTGGGAGCCGGCGCCGGGGCCGGAGCCGGGCCGGGAGAAGACCGCGTCGCACTCTCCTCCAGCTTCGGGGACACGGGAGGGGAAAACGTCATTGATGAAGTAAAGTCGCGCGACCGCTGAAACTGACTCATGAGTTTGTGCAAGATTTTATGGTATGCTGTGACTCGTGACATCGATACATGAGATCGCTACAATCTTACTCGCTAAGTTTCGGTCGATGTCGACGTGATCTATCTACGTCGCAGCGTGGTCGGGGTTACTCGGGCTGACGCAGCGCAGCGAGCGGCTTCGACCCGGTATCGATTTCGAAGGGCGATACTACGCGGCGGAGTCGACATTGCAAAAGTCAAACAAAATTAACAGGCATCGGCGCGGGGGCCGACGTGCGATCGTCGAAATCTAGCGATTGCACGAGAGCGGCTAACAGGCGAGGTGAAAAGAAGAACTAACGATGCCATGCCAGATGTGACTACGGGCACGAGCCGGGGCACTACGGCAAAGTACAAATAGAAAAATAAATAGATAACAGAAACTATATCGGAAATCGACCGGGACGGCGGCGGGGCGAGCGGTCCGCGCGGTCGTCGCCGGCCGGCTCGCCCGCGCCGCTCGAGCAACTCATCGGAAACGAAATAAAATTGCAAATCATACGTAACGGGAACGGAGGAGGGGCGAGGGCGCCGCGGCCTGTGCCGGGGTCCCTGCGGCACGCACCTGGTCGAGCGAGGGCGAGCGCTGGCGGTCGGCGGGCCGCGGCGGCGCGTGCGGCGCCTGGTACAGCTGCGCCGGCGCCAGCGCCGCCACCACGGCGCGCCGCGACACGTCCGCCACCACCACGCCGCGCTCGCCGCCCCACGCCATGCTGCCGGCAACCACCTCGCGTCACGTCTCGTCGAGGCTTATTCATCGATAGAGATAAAAAAAGCCCACATCCTCCGTGAATTGCTCAGCGTGTACCCTGCTTCGTGATATTCGATCGAACCGTCAAGGCATCGGAAGGTCACAGACGACCTCAGCTTCACATTTACAATAATAACAGTGACGGCAAAAATTGTATCGCTGATGGAAAAACGAACGGACCAGGAACGATATAAAATTAGGAAACACTCAAAAATACTTCGTGACAGTTGTAAAATAACATATCATAAAATAATAATACAAATAGTTTTAGTGGTGCTACGCTGGTTAAGATGAGGGAGATGGTGTGTGCCGAGAGCACGGCACAGACGGCTGTGGCGAGAGGCGGCGGGCACTCACAGGCCGTAGGAGGAGTTGATGGTGAGCGCGGTGATGGGGTGCGGCGGGCCGAGCTGCAGCGCCACCAGCGCCGGCTGGAAGCCCGCCGCGCGCCGCACGCCGCCCGCGCCCGCCGCGCCGCGCACGCGCAGCCACCCGCCCGCCCACTGCAACGCACCCCACTCACTCGTGCGCCACTTCACCACACACCACCACACACCACCACACACGGCGCTTACATCTCATTGTTAAACGAAATAACACGCCTTTTTCCACTTTGCTGTATTGCGATCGAAAATAACATTCTTTTTATAAATATTTATAGCATATCAGATTGCTGCGCGTGTATAGGTAGTATGGCCCCATGTGTGTGAAGTAGCGAAGTAAGGAAAAATTTAATATAATACCGTAATAATAGTGATGACGCCTTCTTTATATAAAATACCACAAACATGTGTAACATTTAGATTCGGGGTTTTTAAAACAAGGAGACAAAAGAACTACTCACCCGGCGGGCATCCGCGTCGGCCGATACGCAGCGCGAGCCCTCCGCCTCTGGGGAGGGCTCCTCCTCTACGGAGTCTGTTATCACAGGTATTTCTAGTACCTGTCGGAGTATTTATATAGAATAAATAAAAAATATTTATTACAAAAAAATACTTTTTGTCTTAAAAGGTTAAATCGCTAGAAACGTAAACTATTGTTGATTAGGAGTGTTGTTTAATTACTACCTACTATACTATATACTAATCGGTACCATTACTATATGTGCGATGGCCAACATTTAAGGATTGACATTTATCATTATTAAAAGTTGTACGATCTTCCTTGTTAGTTATCAAAATCTAACCGTTAATCAAGTGGGTACAGAGAAACATGCTAGCCCATTTAAACCTAGGCACTAGTTGCGTATATAAATAAAAAAAAAACAATAGTAAGCACCGTAGGAATAAATACAATAATAAAGTACAAATATCGAATAATAGTCGATAAAGAGGAATTTTTACTAAAAGGAAATTCAACATTGGATTAGTGAATGAAACGAATGAATGAATTTATTCAAATGTACTTGTTAGGGTTCAGGAAACTGCAAAGAAAATTGCTGCTTTTAAACTTGCAGCAATTTTATTCTATTTTTTTTCTTCCTTGCGTTGCCGCTGATTTAATAGGAGACTAGAAAAAAAGTTGGAAATAGAAGCATCTAATGTACACTTATAATATTTAAGTAGTGTATGAACATGAAAAGATGCGTGCGCTCGCGCGCGACTCACGTGCGTCTCGCCGACCGTCTCGGACTTGCGAAACTTGAAGAGCACGACGTGGCCGTGCGGCAGCGCCACGGCCAGGCGCCGGCTCTCGGCGCACAGCGCCAGCTGCTGCACGCCCAGCGGCGCCTCCTCCGCGCCGTACGCGCCGCCCGCGCCGCCCGCGCTGCCAGCGCGCCGCTCGAACACTGGTGCCACGCACCATTCATACAAGTGGGGGCAAGCCTCGACAAATCTACCATCACTTACTCCTATATCTATTCGAGTATAACCACTAAAGGAAAGTAATTGAGAGAACTCGACAGGGAGTTCACCCTCATATCCTACAGGCTAAATGGTCGAGTACAGCGCGGTTTCAGAGATGTTTTCTTCCACGAACACTCAGATTACGAAATGAGCTTCCTGCCGAGGTTTTCCCAACAGTCTACAGTATGGGGTTCTTTAAAAGGGGGGTAAAGAGGTTTCTTCAGGGTCGGCAAAGCGCGCGTAATACCCCTGATACTGCAGGCGTTCATGAGCTACGGTAACCGCTTACCATTAGGTGGGCCGTGTGCTTGATTGCCACCTCAGCAGTATAACTAGAACCTTTAGAAAAATCTTACCTTTTGAACATTTTAATTTATACAATATCTGTAGGGTCCCAGCGCTTGCGTCCCAAAATTTAACGCTGCCGTCCGCATGCCTGAAATGTAAGGGGAGAGATGTTAAGACCACCTAAAGTACATCAGCTGCTAGCTGTCCATTGCTGAACATAGGCCTCGCTTTATTAAAGGGTTTTGCCAGTAGGTGCCTCACTTAGCAGAGACGGATTGGCAACCGTAATTAGGTTTTGGTGATATTTTAAGAGGAACGTTGCTACCCATTCCTCGACCATTATGTTTCCTTAGTCGCCTATTATGATATGCCCCTTATGATATTCACGGGAAAGGAAAGGAGCTATCGATACTATATACGTTGGAACAATTATTAAGTGTCTACTTTGGTTTGGGTCTTTTAGAAATTGACCGACTGTTCTGGGTTAAGCGTCCAGATTTTCAGTGCTTATAGGCCTAATTACTATAATTTTTCTGAATTAATTCATAGAAATATTATTAGAAGAATAAATAAAGTCCAAAGAAAAGATATCTAATGATTTATTCCACTATACCATACTTATTATCGTACGGACTGTATCAACTATTGTCAACATAGGAGCATTTATTTGTTATAAATTGCGAACTAGTAATAACTACATATTTCGTACCCGGTGAGTATGATTTCGCTGTAGGAGCAAGAGGCGGGCGCCCACTCGCCGCCGTTGATCGGCCACAACTTCTCGCTGAAGCCCGCCGTCTTCTTGTTCACTTGCCGGCCCACCGAGTAGAATGCTGGGATCTGCAAAACGTTTCAAATAAACGTGCGATCGTTACATTACTTTTTGTGCACTTGTGTTAAATATTTCAGCTATTACACTAGAAGTTATTTTACTAAGGTTTTTTCTCTTATTAGAAGTGATCTAAACATTTTTTTGTCGCCTAAGGATGAAGTTTCGAAATCGGTCGCGTGTATAATTAACAAAAAAAAAAAACATTTTAATAAAGACACTGGATCAAATTACAAGTATTATAAATAATAGATGAACGAAATATCTTTTTATTCAAGCCATGCTGATTAGTGTTAAGAATAAAGTAGCGATGAGACCATACAAAACTGAGAGCGTGAGATCGTATGTAAACTAACCAGATCTGAAGGGCAATCGGCAAAGTATGAACAGCACGTCACTGGTGACTCGTGGATATCCATAGGGTAGGGGTTCTCGAAGCAGGGGTACCCTGGCGAGAGCAGGTCGATCACCACCAGGTCGTTTTGTAGTAGCACCACTATCGCGTATGGCTCCTGGTAGTCTGTAATGCAATCGATGGTGTCGTGGCTAAAACCAATTATGTATTTAGTCGGTTATGCTCAGGCTTTTTAATGACCATGTTATTTTTTTACATATATATTATAGTATATTTAAATAAATACACATAATATTAACAGAGATTTCAAAGAGTGACTGTCGAGTTTCTTCTGGGTTCTTCTCAGTAGATAACAACTTTTCTAACTTTGTAGTAGAATCACAAAAAAATTACGATTTAAAAATGTTTGTAAACAAGTCTATTTGAATAAAGTTTTTTTTTTAATTGGAATAAAGAAGTACAAGTATAATTATCAAAACTAATATAACTAAATTAAAGTTAATAATAAAGTAAATTAATTTAGGTTGTACCGTCGATAATCGATTAGTCAGAAGGTCAAAACACTTCATTTTAAGAACTTATCGTATTGACAATGTAATTATTGGTATCGACTGTTTCCGAACCACTTGAGTGAGAGGAACAGTCAACTAAATAATAAGTCCTCGCAAATTATGGTCTCCAGAGTTAGGTAGTATTAATTTATTGCAGTGGAAATTATAAGATTGTATATGTTGTTGCAGGTAATTGTCGTTTTTAAATAATTTTAAAATCAAAATTGTAATTATGTATATATCTTTTTTATATTCCAAAATGTTTGTAACATTATCTATGCATTCATTTTGCTCAAAGTGAGATCAATTGGAAATGTCAATAAAATAATAAACCTAGCGAGGTTTGAAATACGTAGTTAAGATTTTGGAATAAATATCTTTTACTATTATTAAGTTCTGACATATTTGGAACTAGCTATAATTTTATACAAAAATACTAAGTAGAAGGCAGTAGCAGTGATGAATGCTCACCAGCAGTGTGTGGGGTCTCGCACAGCGTGACGAAGTCGACCACACTGTGCTCCATCTCTAGCACGGTGGTGGTCTTCCCGTTGAGCACTGTTATGCTGTGCGTGCGGCCTGCCTTATCAGTCGGCAGGCCCCCGGAAAATATCACCAAGCTCTCCCTGAAACATTGATAGCATTCATCATTATCATGTCACCCGTTAACTGTTTACTGCTGAACATAGGTCTCCCCATTAAAGGAGGGTTTTGTCACTATATTTTAATTGATACCATTAATTCTAGTTAACTCATAAGGCAGGCAAGTGCAGTTCCTAAGATTTAATACATACAATTTTTAATATCTATATCCTATAATAAAAGTGGTAAAAAGCATACGACTTGACTGATGGTAATTAGTAATTATGGCTTTAGATACCTGCAACACAAAGTCATTAGACTCTCGGGACATGTAGTTCTTAAGTCACAGGAAGCAGTCTATTAAATATGTAAAGGGTTGTTTTGATGGGTGAAAATGATATGGTAACCCCGCCTGCGCTAATGGGATACGCTGGCTGAGCACCAGTGAAGGGTGATAGATGAGAATGAAAACAGGCCAGTTAGCGCATCATGATGAATTCATCAGGAATTAACCATGATAGTTTCCAGGGAGAACCGCGAGGAGGTCAACCTGGTTGGGTATATTGCTAGCAATGGGATTCTCAGTCTCCATTACAAACAATCCCTTTCCCCCCAATATGTAAAGGGTTTTGGGCACGACTTTCTACCACGAAGACAACTTTAGGTGTTGTAATTCCATGTTAATTACATTTAAAATACAAATACTGTATTAAATAAACGAACTTAAATACATCTAGTTAACAGGAACACGACCCTGTAACTACAGACGAGAGTAAACGGAATAATGTCGTTTATAGTCTGCGTGTAGTTTCTTCTAGATCGTTTGCTAGGATCTGCACCCTTCACTCCCTCGCCACGTCTCTATGCCTATTGTCGCTGTGTCGAAATTGTCGCAGCAATCTAGGGAAACCAGTCGCTCCGTCAAATTAGCCATTTGCGTAAATGCAGGCAGTCAGATAAAATGTCGACGACTTGGAAGCCTATACGGAAAAAGTTCGCCGCTGACTCGTATTTTTCCGAGAGCCGTAGATAAAAACGATTTCGACAAATGTCGCCGGTAATTTATGGTCTGAATGATAGAAACACGTATTCGGAGTGCCGTCGAAGATAAAAGAAAACGGTATCTTTTAAATTAAAGAAGATTTATCTACGTATTAATCTTCATTGTTTTTTTTAAGGGGAGGCAGGTAAATCAACTTGCTGTTCACCTGATGGTAAATTTAAGATTACTAGAGGGAGATTTCATACAAAAGTGGCGTGTTTGAGTGCCGTAAAATAATTATGCTAGCATGGTTGTCTCTCGTGTGGATTTCGGCAATACGGTAGTTAAAGATACAATGTACGGAGACAACATTTTAGTAAAGGCAACGCATGACGAGTGGACGGCACTGTGATCATAACGATCACAGTGCAGTTCACGTCTGAAGGCGGCGGTAACCACTTTCCAACAGGTGAGCCGTTAGCAACTTTGCTAATGTAAGTTGCGTGAGAAAAATTTATAACTGCAATGCATTACATTAGCAATTATTAACAAACGTATATACTGTTTTGTGGCCAATTTCAAAAATACAAAGACAAAGTAGACGTTAAGCTATTTTCTGTGAATTTACTGCAGTTAGTTATAGCTACACACATAAATATATAAATGTGTGTATAAAAATAACGCAATAAGCAGTAATTTTACTCAGTAAACGCGCACACTTTATAGGCTATCATAACTAACTAAGGAAAGCTATAAATATCCAACCAAAGAGACTGTTTCAGTTCTATACATAGAATTAGATAGACATAATAGAAATTAACGTTGAATAAGCTTGCTCGTATTAATAAAATAAGGAGCGTAAACAACGTTTTATAGACACAATATTATTTAAATGAACTAGACCAATAAGTAAGCATATCTTACCCTGTTCTGTATGTTTTCCATTCCAGCCGTAGTATAGGTTTGCAAGGTTCTGGCTTGCCGTCTTTGTTTGCTTTAGCTGTAAACAATAGAGGAATTTAGTTTACGAGAACTGATTGAAATACTGAAGACAAAATGAACAACAGTGAATGAATACCTAAAGCGGAAAACAATGAAAATAATATGTTTACAATGTTAGTGTTAGGTGGCATGTAATTAATCTAATTGCCTAGTTCGTACTAAGATGAGATCTGTGATGAATTTGTAATTAGATTGTGAAATGTTAACATAGAACAGAGACGCGATAATTGATGAATGTTTGGTTCAGATTTCGGATGGCATTAATTCAGAGCTACGATAATTAAAGATTGTTCCAAAAAAAAACTACTTAAATTGTGACAAAAGCAGTTATTTTGATAAAATTTCTGTGAAACCAATTTGTCAGTATACTGAAAAGATATACTGAAACTTTCCAAATAAAAAATGACGGTATGATGTAACAAACATAAATAAAGATACATCCGAATTAGCTTTCTTCTTTTTGAAGTCGGTTCAAAATTAATGTGCTCAACTATTGTGATACTAAAATTGGTATTGTCTTAGTAATCGTGTATAAAAAGAACTTTATCGTCTGTGGAATAAACGCTAATTCGAATGTTAATTGAAACATGGGCTTTTACGATACAAGTTCTCCGTGTGAACCGTGTTACTATGTCAACGTCTGAGATTAATCATGAAATGGCTATGGAAGATAATTAATTTACTGCTAATCTTATTTATAAGATGGTAAACGTCGCAGATACTGGCAAACAAAACTGTCAACAAGAAAATGTAACGTAATGTAAGTGACTAATATATTAATGTATTGTCTAAATAAAATTAAAGTTATGACGACATATGCCCTCTATGGTTCAGAGCGTTGTTTTATGTGAATGAAATTCAATTCTTGGCCTAATATTTTCGGTCATATTCATTCAGGAATCGAAACAAAACTTTTCTAAAGTTTGATGTCTGGCGTTGTGCTCCAGGCCAAATGTTTGTTGACATGTTTCTTGTAATTTAGGATATTTTAACTTAAGAACAGACATTTGGTGATTAACTGGTACTTCTCCCATATGATGACAAAATTGTTTATACTTACAACTTTTTATTTTGCATGTATATAATAATATAGTAAGCACATTGGTCGGATCATTGTAGAAAAGTGACATTTTGAAATTAAATTTTCAAGATTGGCCTTTGAGCATTCAGATATTATTAGATTATTGCACATAGATCAAGGTAATCAAGTCAATCAAACCAGAGGGAGACTTTGTACAAAAGTCGATTGCTTGGGTACCTCTGTCCCATTCGTGTTTAAACCGTGAAGCAGTTGTGTTTGCATGGCTGTGTTTCGGTTTGAAGGGTGGGATATAGCGTGAATTTACAGGGTACAGAGTGGAATGACACCTGAGTCCTAAGGAATGCAAACGCATGGGTGTATTATGGGCAAAACAGTATACTCTGTTATGTCCATGGTACTGCTCATGTGTATAGGCGACAATTACCACTTTCCATCAGGTGGGCCGTCAACTTGTTTGACATTCTAAGTTGTATAAAACAAAACAAGAACAAGTATAAATTGAAGATCAGGAAATTGCTCTATATCTAACGAAATTCCTAGTCTAGTCATGGACTTATGGTCATGGAATGAATGTCCTGCTAAATGGTTGAATGTATGTAGAGTATGTAGAGGTATTGACCGTGCGGGTAGGAGAGCGTGGCGGGCCTGGGCGCGCGCGTGGTCCAGGTGGCGAGCGCGCCGTCGGCGTGCGCGGTCATGAGCTTGCCGTCGTGCTGCCAGGCGGCCGCGCGCACGGCCTCGCCCGGCGCGCCCGAGCCCAGCGAGCCGCGCCACTCGGCCGCGCGCGCGCGCAGGTCCCACACCACCACCAGGCCCGTCTCGAACGCGATCAGCAGCTGTCGACGGCGCACCGCGCCACACATTCATACAAGCTCCTCGGTAACCAAACGAAAACCACATCGAGTAATTATTGCCGATTGTGGCGACGTGGCATCCGTAATGTGTGGTTATCTCATACGCTCATACGCTTAGTGTAAAGAGGTTCCGGGTAAAATTCTTAGTTGAGCCAATTTAGGAAATGAACTTTTCTATATTTTTGTTCTGGCTTGGATGTTCTAGGTCGTGTCAATATTTGTCACCTGGTTCTTTATAGTACAAAGAGCCTTGCCTTGAGAATCAGGTTATTGAAGTGATTGCGTGAGGCTGACTATGACAATCACAATACAAATTACACAATAAATGAATTTTACATACATACATACATATCTGTCATGCCTGTCTCCCATTAGGGTAGGCAGAAACAATAGAACGACAAATGCTTCGATTCAAAAAAACTTCTTTCGCTTCTTCCACATTCATCAAAAAATTAAAAAGAAAAAAAATGAATATAAAAAAAAATGAATTTTAGAAATACATAAATAGTGAGTTATATATAGTTACTTGCTTATTACTGAAATTTTAGTTATTATTAATTCATTAATTTAGACTAATTATTATTATCATATGACATTGTTAATATGTAAAATTATTGCATGTTTGTGATTTTGCACATGTACGGTCTAAAAATCCTTTCATATTCAACACAATGTAATATTGTTATAGAATAAAATTGATTTGAATTGAATCCAAAATAAATAAACAATTAACTTGAGTTAACATCTTCATCTTCATTACTCAGGCTAGACATTTTTTGAGACAATCCATGGAAGGATTATTGTCTTCAAATGTTTACAAAAAAATATACGTAATATTTTATCTAAAGTCTTCAAACAACTTATCTGATTAACCAATTACACAAATGTTTTACCTAAACCATAATAGCAAAGCCAGCATCTAATATTCCGCACACTTTAATGCGAAACTCTCATTCAATCATTAAACAGTAGGCGCAATGATTGGGAGAATACATAATGAATGATGACCCACCTTGCTGGCGTCGAGGGGGTTGTCGCTGATCTCCACCACCGCCCCCGGGTGGTTCTGTCGCGTCCTGCAACAACAGGTGAGATATAGTCAGTGGCGTTCAAAGTCTGGCGTACACATTCGGGAATATGGAGGAAGCGAAAATTTTATGTTTCAAGTTTTGCTGCTGTATATCGAAGTATATGTAACAATATGTTACTGCGTGTAAAGGATCACGGAGTTCTAAAATAATATGTACTCGATTGAGTACACATCATTTTGGAACTCTGTGATCCTGTGATATTAGAGCCAAAATGCAAAATATTAGAATCATAAATAGTCTTCATCTAATCAATCAAAATCCAATTTTCTTTTTGCAATTTGAAATGGCCAACTGGTTGACGGTCCATCTGATTGAAAGTTATAATCGTCCCCTATAAATGTAAATAACACTACGAATATAACAGAATAGGCTGAGACGGTCGTGTTACCGCTCAATATTCCATCGTTATTCCTGAGTTCTATGATGTTACCCGCTGTTTCTAAATATGTTGGGTTATATCCCAAACCAACACACAGTCATGGAAACATAGCTGTTCGACGACAGAAACACGAGCGGGACAGATATTCAGAAGTAGAAGATGTAACCTAGCTCTAAGTTTATACAGTGAAATTAGTACTACTATCAGATACTGTGATGTTTATCAACATTCTCGTATGAGCATTAGACGTGTTGATTCACATTCCACGTGAAGACAATCCGCCAAGAGTTTTTCTACGGCCCATCAATATACGTATTGGAGGCGTCGGAGTGGCGCGGCGCGGCGGGCCGGTGGTGGCGCCACTTGTTGCCGGGCGGCGTCGTGACGGCGGGCGTCGGGCGCCGGGCGCCGGCCGCCTCCCCGTCACGGGGCATTGAGTGCTATTGGTTTCACAGTATCAAAGCGGCTCAATTGTAAGATGAACCGAGGTTGCGACGCTGTCGACTCCGTTAACACTTTAAACACTTACATTGTAGATTTAATTAAACGTTTCTTCTCAAGAGTCACTTAACAACGTTGGAGCAGCGAATTACTCGTGTCTTATTTACATTCCTGGAAAATGGGAAATAAAGTGACGTCCCATCCGATGTAAAGTGGCAATAAAGATGCTTATGGAATGAAAGCGCTATCGGCATTATAAAATGTATTGGTCCGCCCAAAGTACTCTTCATGCGTAGGAATAATTGATATTAGAGATTCAGATGAAATTAATTTACACGTGTTAGTTTACGCAAGTTAAGATATTGGGTATCGCACAATAGTGTCGAATAATAAAAAAAAAAAAAAAAAACTATTGACAAAAACACTAAAAGAAACTGACAAAGGATCTCAATAGAGATTACAAACTAAACAATCATAATTATGGCGAATTTAGGTTTCAGTGCTCGCAGGTGAAAGCAAAATGGGGACTACACTCTTTATATTGAGGAAAATAAATCGCATCGTTTCCAAGAACAAGTTAAAATTCTAATGAGTGAACATAATTGATCTTAGAAAGGTCTCAGCGTTTCAACTCTGAAAAGCCTGAAACAGATCAAATCCCAGTCAGATCAAACGTAGTTTTATTGATTTAATGATTACATGGGATTTAAAGAGTGAAGATAAATGCAACACTCCCTTTACATTGGAGGGTAGCAGGCGGGGAGTATAATATCCATTTGAATTAATTATATCTCTTAATGACATTTACCTTCATGATAAGTTTAAATTTAACACAATTTCATATCATGTGATTCCATTCACCAGCTACGTGTGGTGACGGAGTAAAATTACATTTTAATGTCGCCTTTTTTACATACTCAGGGCGTAAAAGGCAATTAATGGAACAAAGAAGATTATAACAGTACAAGAGAAGTGAAACTCGACATAATACTCTTTATAATTTTGGACGGACGAATGTAAAAATATATGTGCATCCGTCCACATATGTAATGGTCATAAAACATGTGTTTACGGTCGCAGCAGCCCCCAACTCCGCACCTACGGAAACGATCTCATTTCCTACAGTTCGCTAATGGATCGCGCCTAAACTTTACGAGCGTGCCAAACTCAGCTATTAATTACAATCATGTATATAATAGTCAAGCCAAACTGTGCTATATTTGGATATTTTAGGTAAATAAAAACTTTGTGATATTTAAAAGATAGTGGTATTGAGCAATAAAAGTGATTGGAATTCTATATTTTCATACATACATACATACATATCTGTCACGCCTGTCTCCCATTAGGGTAAGCAGAAACAATGGAACGCCAAATGCTTCGATTCAAACAAACCTCTTTCGCTTCCTCCACATTCATCAATCTTTATATTTATATATTTACTCAAACCAAAATCACAACTGGCCATGTCTTCACAGAGAAAATAATTATGATAAGCTCATGTGAGAGCCCATTATACCTGTATAAGTAGCAGTCGTTTAGAAGTATTTTAAACTGTCGTCCGATAGGCCTTAATCTCACTTAGCAATTATAAGATTGCTAGCTATATTGTGAGGCTATTCTGCCCCCGAGAATTAGAATAAAAAATATTCTATGCGTTAATCTATAATATGGTCCAATTATTTACCAAATTTAATTTAAACCGTCCAGCTTTTTAATCATAATAGTAACTTTCACATTTATAATACATATTTTTAGTTAAATTATTTATTAGCTAGGATAGATGTTCCACAAACTGGCAACACTTGTTGCGTATATGAGTAACGCATAATACCATTAAATCACCATGGAAAAGTAGTTACTTTTAAACAGTCACAAACTGCGAGAAACCTTAATGGCCACCATCTTGTCAGTGTTATTGTATTTTCTAAGTTATGGCAGAAGAAAAACAAGTAAGTTAGTGTAGGGTGATTTATAGTCGACGGCTGCGGTAGAGGCGAGGGCGAGGGCGAGGGTTACCATACGGAATATATTTTCTGAGATATTTCTACTAGTAAATATTAATTCGGCATAGAATAGGAATCCTTATTTTCTTACTAACACATTATACAGTAAATGTGTTTATGAGCTTGTTCCTTTTGTTTGTTATCTCTTGACATCTTAGCGCATTAACCAACGTCATAAAAAGTCTTTCCAATTTACTTATATAGTCAATCAATATCACTATCAATAATTATCAATACGTCTGTTTATCAGTTGTCTAAGCAACTATAATACAGGCTCCATTTTACCAGTGACCTTTCTCGTGTAACTGAAATGAAAAGTAGCCTACCTTCTTCGCCATCTTATTATTCCATTATATTTGTATAATAAAAATAAGTACGAAAGTTTGGAACGCTGGATAGATGGATGGGTGTTTGTCTCTTTTTCACACAAAAACTACTGAACGGATTTGAATGAAATTTGGTACACGGGTAGGTTATATCCTAACTTAGCACATAGGATACTTTATGTAATAATTAACGCGGGCGACGCCGCGGGTATAGCTAGTCCCAAATAATACATGTGAACCTTTGATGACAATTGGTTAAGCTGTAAATAATAATAATATTAACTTTATTATAAATAACTAAGATCCATTTTTGTTAGTAACAATTGAGTTAAACTATATTAGTAGAAAAAAAAATACAAAAAAAAAACATTTTATGGCCCCTATAATAATTTTGACTCACAATGAGAGGTTCGGGCTATCGTATTTATTACACAATGCCCACAGAATGCTGTTACTGCCGCCACGCAGATGGTATAAAAGAGATGCGATCCGTTTGCGTCTGGTGACATAGAAGTCACCTGTCGACGCTGCTGCAAACATTGTGGATGCACTACAGAAACGTGACAACCGTAACAATGTCCTGAAAACATTATTGTATTGTACACGCAGAGCGCTGTATGCCCGCCGTGTGTAGTCAATCCATCCAAAAAATGTGTGTGTAAAAAGATTGGCAATATGCCTTGAACAATATTATTTTAACTTCAAAGCATTAAGAGGTAACAAACGAGACGTACTCACTTTAACATATTAGTATACTACATATATTGTACTACCAAGTATATGAAAGCAGCTGCATGAAAGCTCTTAATTTTCCATGCACGTCCACCATACTATCTGTATTATATATATTTTGTTTTGCATATTGTGACGATAAAACCGTGTCGTGCCGTACCGTGCGACGGTACATTATAAAAGCGCTCAATGATGCAAGAAAGTTGCTTTCGTCGCCAGTTTATGATCTCGTGATATTTTCATCTATTTCTCTCCGTTGTAGTTCTATCTGGAGAACATATTTTTGTAGAATTTGAATTCAAAATAATTACTCAATTACCACAGTCAAACTAAACATTTTTCACAAAGTGATAAAGTTTGAAAAATGCCACAAAATTTCGTGTACCACCATGACTTATCCAAAAGGACATATCATATTACTAAGTGACACCATTTTAGTGTTTTTCTTTTCCTTTTTATTAATTTCTGTTTATTGTTAAAATATTTTTTTGCAACTAAGTGTTTATGTACGCGTCTTATTAGTAGCTCAGAGTTTTTTGTCGTTATTCCTGATGGAATTTCTCAAAGAAACATTGATATGTTTTTTTGAGAAAAAGTTTAACTACAATGGTACAGTACTCTTTTAAAAGATTTCCAAGTGTTACTCTTAAGCGGGACGCGTTAGCGCGTGTTAAGTGAGACGAGTGTTTCTAGCTGCAGGATGTTAAATTAATTTATATCGAGCGAGGTTTGCTCCCCGTGGCCCGCGGCAAGGGTGCCTTGTTACGCCATTAACAATGACTTCACTGACCTCTGCATTTTATTGCCGTTGGCAATGTACTTGTTTTTCTTCGTATTCTTTTTTTATTTTTAATATAGTATAAAATTCTCGTGTTCTGATGCTCGTTCACGCAAGTCTTTGAAACCGCTCAACCGAATTTACTAAAATATTTTTGTTTTTTGTTTTCTCTAATTTGATTTACTAGAATAGATTGTGGATAAGATAGTTTTTATTTCGATAAAAGAATAAATATAAAGATCCAATATGAGGTAATAAGGGGAAAACATTGGTTTAGGATCCGGGTCAGATGGTCAACTATTTTTTTTTGTGGGTGAAAATGG